TATATATCTTGTATGGTACAAGAACAAGAGTAATCAGCAACCCGATCGCTTACCAAGCTGGGTATATATACATATTGTTAATTTGTTACGAGAAGAGTTATCGTATTAAAATGAGAACTTTTGGGTTTATATTTGTTTTAGTGCTTTTATTATTTAGTTAGTATTTTGACATTAATTAGGCATATTGATATTAGTTATTATTAGAGTTTTATTATTAGTAGTTATGCTTGTAGGATTTGGATTGCTATTAATTAATTGTCTAAGGCTAAATTCTAGTTTCTTCGTAGGAGAAGTATTCATATAATTTTTTGGATAAGAAAAGGGAGAGATAGGGTCGAATCATAGGAGAGAAAGAAGAAGAATTTTGGGTCTTCCTATGCCTACTATAAATATGTACTTGCTCATTCGTTTAACTTCATTAGAAGATTGAAATTCAAATAGTTTGCTAGCTAATTGTTCTCTTTTATCCTCCGTCGTTTTAGTTTCTTTCGAGTATTGGTTCTACTTAGTTCTTGAGTTAAAAAAAAAGACGACATTCCACCATATTTTTGGTCTCGTAACACATGTCAATCCATAATCCATAAACCAAGTTGTTAATTAATATGTGGTATAAGATCTATTATCAACAACTCCTTGAAGTTATTGGTACCAACCGGTTCTTTAATTCTCACATGGAAGGTAATGAACGCTTCTGGCAGCAGGGTTAATGGATTTGCACCCTTTTTAACTTGTGCGCAGTACGACTCGCTCGATCGATGAATCCCACGGCCGGGCTAAAGAAAACAAGCCATAAAACGGATCATTGATTGCAAAGCCGCAATCAGCGCAGCAGAAGCCGGCAGCCCATGATATGGAATATTATTGCAGTACGTACGACTGCAAAATAACACAAAGAGGCCGGTTCGCTGAGCTGAGTTGTCGTCGTCTTAATTTTTCAGAAGAAAAAAGAAACCAGGCGCACAAAGGAAGGATGTCGGCGATTATGAGAGCTACTTCCGACCGACTTCATCGCGCCGCCGCTCTCATAGCGGCTGCTGGTTTCATGCTGCTGATCGGTTGCTGCTGCGCTGGTGGTGCTGAAGACAGAAAGGCAAATACATTATTATTATTATTGAATTAATCCTTCTACCTCTGCCCATTAATTTTCTTCTACTACTTTCTCTCTGATCATATCTTGTATTTTCTTTCCAAACAACGTAACTCACGAGCTAGCATATTTTCAGATCATACATGAATTAGACGTGCATATATATTATATATGCACGGTGTATTTGGGCTAATTTCTGCATGATTGATCATGGGATCTAATGGCGCTATCTAATTTTTGTTTTTTTAATACTTGATCTCAATTCTCAAGCAGGGTTATTCTCGAAAAAGAAATATACTCAAGCTGTTTCTAATAAGTTTCTTTTCTTTTAACATAGCCCATGTTTGATAGTTAGGATTCTCTAAAGTGATACGTTTAATTAATTATATAATTTAATTAGATGTGTTGTTTCATGTATGAATTTAAAAAAATATAGTGTTTGGAGTTTCACTGATTTTGGTGATCCCTTAAAAAATAGGAAGAATATAAAAAGAGAAATTGACAATCATAATAATTTTGCTGTTGTGTTTCATTTTAAAACTCCAAATACATTTTGAAATATCAACTTTCAAACGAACCGTAAGTGAAATCCAATACACAAAATAAACAAAATAATTTGGTATATGAACAAAAAAAAAATGGATTGTATTTCAATTGTTTGGGGCTAGATCCAGATCGCGCGCAGGAAAAAGAAAGCAAAGACTGCAACAGTCTGAATGGGTTTGGGTTTAAATTTGTTTGGTCTTCATGGGCCAGAAACCCAAAGAAAATTGGGCCGTTTGCTAACAGCCACCGATTACATTTGCAGGTCTACATAGTATACATGGGCGACCGACCGCGACCCGGAATCGCTGGAACTGCTGCTGCTTCTGCTCTCCACATAAGTCTCCTTCACCAGGTCACCGGCAGGTAAAAACGATTAACCCATTTCGGATTCCCAGCCAAAACTTCAGTTCCGATTTCTGAATCAGTAAAGTGTGATTTTCCGTCTTCCAGTGCCACCGCTGCTTCCGAGTCCCTGGTTTGCAGCTACAGCAGGAGCTTTAATGGCTTTGCCGCCAGGCTGACCAAGACCGAGTCGGAGAAACTTTCTGGTTCCTAAATCGCGAACCCAGCGAACAACATTGTTTTTATTCGATCAGAATTCGTCATTAATTAATTAATGTTAAAATGAACTGTCTTTGCACCGCAGGGTATGAAGGTGTAGTGTCTGTTTTCGCCAGTCAGAAGAGAGAACTCCACACGACAAGGTCATGGGACTTCCTGGGTTTCCATCAGAATGTCAAGAGAAGGACTGTGGAGAGCGACATTATCATTGGGATGCTCGACACCGGAATTTGGCCAGAGTCACAGAGCTTCAACGATTCTGGATACGGGCCACCTCCGCAGAAATGGAAGGGCATCTGCCAATCCTCTGCCAATTTCTCCTGCAACAAGTAAGTTAGTTAGTTAGTGCATCCTCTAATAAGAACTGGGTCTTTCCCCAATTTCGTGACCCAGTGCCGCTGAATTCCAAATTCCATTACTTATGTCTCGTCCCTTGATGCCTTACAGCAAGATCATTGGAGCCAAATGGTACCATGCTAGGCGCAACTACAGTGAACATGACGTTCTCTCGCCAAGGGATTCTCTAGGTCATGGAACTCACACAGCTTCTACAGCAGCAGGCAACTTGGTCACTCCAGCAAGTCTTTTTGGCCTTGCCTCAGGGACTGCACGAGGAGGGGTGCCCTCTGCCCGACTCGCCGTTTACAAGATCTGTTGGTCTGATGGCTGCTTCGATGAGGACACTCTAAGGGCATTCGATGATGCAATTGCTGATGGAGTCGACATTATTTCCATCTCGGTCGGCGGATTGTTTCCAAAGGATTACTTTCACGACCCCATTGCTATAGGAGCTTTCCATTCCATGAAGAACGGAATCCTCACGTCCAACTCAGCAGGTAATAGTGGCCCTTCTCCAGGAACATTGTCTAATTTTTCTCCTTGGTCACTCTCTGTGGCTGCTAGCACCATCGACAGAAAGTTCGTGACTGCGGTGATGCTGGGTGACGGGAGAACTTATGAGGTGAGCTTTTAGAACGTCCTATTATTGCTTTGGCCTTGATGTTTGTTTATATATATGGAGCTTAACAGAAGCCTTCCTCCAATTTAGGGAGTCTCTATAAACACCTATTCTCCCAGAAGGTTCTATCCTCTTGTTTATGGTGGAGATGCGGGGAATAATAAATCTGGAAAGATTGCAACTGATGCGAGGTGAAAATAGTGATACACAAAAATATGACTAGAACTTTGTTTTATATATGCTTGTAAAAGTAAGACGTTGGTTCAGAAGCAATTGATGGATTGCCCTTGTATTATGAAAAATACCTACTCCAGGTATTGCGCTCTAGGAAGCTTGAACAAGACTTTGGTGCGAGGAAAAATTGTGCATTGTGATGCTATTGGTTGGGGAACACTCACAGCGGGCGCAGCTGGTGCCATAATGGGTTCCTCTTTGGTTGAAGATCAAGCATCTTCCTTCCCTTTACCTGTTTCCATCTTAACGGATGCTGAAGGAGCCACCATTGTGGAGTACATAAAGTCAACCAGGTAGTTCTTGGAAACAAAAATGACTTGTTTGGATATTGCTGAAATTGCTAGGCGGGTAAAAGAAACATGATGGAGAAACAACTCTAATCTTGTTGATTATTTTCTTTTGATGGATCTCCTTGCAGTGATCCAATAGCACAAATATTTATGACTCAAGACTACATGGATAATTCATCTGCATATGTCATCAGCTTTTCTTCAAGGGGTCCGAACCCTATAACCAGAAACATTCTTAAGGTATCATCAAACATAAGTTTTCACTTCCACCCTTTTGAGCTTAATCCTGATGTGATATGGGTTATATGGTGCAGCCGGACCTTACAGCACCAGGAGTTAATATCCTGGCTGCATGGTCTCCAGCTGCAGCTCTGACAAATCTTCCGGGAGACACTAGGATTGCTCCGTTTAATGTAATCTCAGGCACTTCCATGGCCTGTCCTCATGCAACTGCAGCAGCAGCTTACGTTAAATCTTTCCACCCTACATGGTCTCCGGCAGCCATCAAGTCTGCTCTAATGACAACAGGTTTCTGATGTTATTATGCAATGAAATCTCCTATGTATGTTTTTATTCTTTGTGATTCTGACACCTTTCCCCCCTAACATTCACCACAGCTCATCCTATACGTGTCAAAGTCTTACCTGATGCTGAGTTTGGATATGGATCAGGGCAAGTTGATCCTTTGAAGGCTGTGGTTCCGGGATTAGTTTATGATGCCGGGTTAAGTGATTATGTCAAGTTTCTGTGTGGCCAAGGATATACCAATGCTCAACTCCGTGAGATCACGGGAGATCAGAGTTCATGTAGTTCTGCAGCAACAAATGAAACGGTATGGAATCTTAACTACCCTTCTTTTATATTGTCCACGGAGAAGCCAAGGACATCTGTTACTCGGGTGTTCCACCGGATAGTTACAAATGTTGGATCAGCAACATCAACCTACAAGGCCATAGCAAAAACTCCAGTGGGCCTGATGATCCAAGTTGAACCACCTGTGTTTTCATTCAACAACACTGGGGAGAAGCGGTCTTTCGTTGTGACAGTAACTGCTCGCCTGGGGAGGACCATGTTGTCCGGTTCTTTGGTTCTGAGTGATGGGACTCATTCTGTGAGGAGTCCTGTCGTTGCATTTGTGGCATCTCAAGAACGTAACTGATCAGGTGGTTTGGATCAAGATCAGGTTCATTCTCGTAACTGCTAAATAGTAACTTCAGCATACTTTCGGATAATTTCAGTGTGAGTTGTTTATTTATCCTGCCTTTGACTGTAACTTATGTAGTGATGTTATTGATATTGCCAATCAGCATTAAGACTCTACAACTGTGTGTGTGCGGTGGGTTATGTGTGTCAAATGTAATGAATGCCTTCCTATGTGTGTCTTAGTAAAATATCCATTATCGATCCTGCTTGAGGTGATTGGAAACCAAAAGGCTCAACATCTGGAGCATAACAGATTGCAGTAACGACATGTCATTTTGTTTCTGCGCAGGAATATCACTTTTTCGCATCGTAATCTCTTCACTTGAAGATTGCAGTATCATTCAAATGAAATGATCCCAGAGTTTCCATAAAGTACTTGGATGATGATGACACTCTGTGATACTACTTCCCAAAAACTTTAGAAACATGACTTCCAGTGGTTGAAATTGATATCATTAGAAAGAGTAAGCTCTGAAAGAAACAGGGTTCATAGGAAAGAGAAGCTTTTCTCACTGTCTTGCTCGAAATGTTATGCTGAGCTGCCATGGCACTGTGGCACTGCAGAAAAAGTTAGATTGGCGGTTTTTAGGAGTTAGTATGGACATTAAAAGTTGGAATGTTTCTTGGAGGAGGGTTTTCGAAACATTAAAACTGTCATTTTCGAAACAGTGGTGAATCAGAATCGGACTTTCTGCTCTGTAGCTACTTGTAAAGCACTAAACCTTCAGTAAGTCTTGCTGTCATATTAACAAGTGGGGTGGTGCAGAATTTCGCCAGTAACGTTCTCTCCACCAGACTTAATGAAACGAAACTTCTTGAGTAAAGAAGAACTTTGTTTAATTTATTAAAATTTCCTTGTTGCGTTACATAGTTGGTTCACAAATGAATCATCTGACCAATCGAGACTATTAGCTAGACACCAGTTGTTAAGCCGGGCATCACCTTTAGCACACCCTTCACCCCTGCAAAATATGGTTCACAAATGAAATTAAAATCCAATCAGAATGTATATTTTGGTGATTACTTTGGGTAGTAATTTAAATATATTCTGATCACTTACCTGCCAATTTTTTGGCCTCAGCTTCAGTGAGTACTGCTGCAAATGTCTCGAACCACAATTTGGTCTCTATAAGTACGTCTTCTGGTTTACTGTATGTATGGGCCACATTCAAGATCCAATTAGAGGTGGAAAAAATGCGAGCCAAAAAGTTGTTAGTTAGACGCGAGAAATGATTTTCTTGGTCATTTTTTATAAGTATAATAATTAACCGCGATCGTAAACTAAATGATGATAATAACAAAATTAAAATTTTGAAACTTTCGACTTTGCTCATATTCTAAATAGATTGATAAATCATGTGGCACGATGAATCGATACTGACGATCAAATGCTTTTTTCTTTTTAACTTCTAATAATAAAGGTAAGAAACAAATGTTTTGTTTTTGTTTTTGTTTTTAGAGGACCTTGTAATTAGAGTTATTTTGAAAACTTACACTCCTTGAACAACACCTTTGAGAAGGGCCAAATGGGCAGATTTGGTATTGGGTATAATTGATGAATCCAAGTCCACGTTATAGATCTGCACAACACAACCCATATAATAACTAATAAGGAGGAAATAACATAGAATTAGGAAAAATTCCTATTACACTTTCAAGTCACGGGATTTAAATTAAGCATATGTTATCACAGATCTTGCAAACCAACATCACATAACATTTTATGGTGAAGTGTGTTTTTCCTAGACGCGTAAACAAGTATCGTGATAGCAAGGAAGCGTCTACTATTGCAGACATTTTTATTTTCCTTCAGCAAGTGAATGCTGAATTGTAATTGGGTGTTAACAATTTAATCTTGCCTTTCTGGTGGTCTCATCGGCCGCCTGGGTATGCAGATTGACACTGGCAACAAAGATGATGAGGGCTACTAGACGGACCAATCTCAGAGATGCAACAGCCATTTTGTTTCTGTTGATGAATGAAAAGCAGATGCCAGTTATTGGAGATGACATTCTCTATCAACTCTATCTATCAATATATATCTTCCCAAGCCACAAATTTATTTCAATGTGCATTTCCCAAACAGGGCGTAACATAAAATTTATGAGAGCTATTTAATATTGGGGTGAACGGCAAATTCATGGGCATGCTCCTTATTTACTTCTAAGTTCTAACTCCATAATTTTAGCGGTTCGAAACCTAATATAGTTAGGAGAAATTAAGGGGTTGTTTGCTTGTAGGAATCATTAAATAAGAAAGAAATTTTGGATAATTTTGGATTTTGAGATTGAAGAATTATATTGAATTTTGCTATTTTGTATCTATGTTGGATTTTATAATTTACTTGTTGGCTTGTTGAATTGTAAAATGAATTTTTCTCATATAGATTTATTGGTTAAAGAAGGCATTTACTTTCATATCCTTAATGAAGTATTAATTATTTTGTATATATATAATTGATCAAAGAAGGAATTTATACTGCACAACTAGGTGAGGAGGTGAGGGGCTAGGTGCAAACACCCAACGTGTTAGCATAATGCTAATACTAGCTCCAAACAATTAAAATATTTCGTTTTAATGACAATTTTTATTCCCAAGTGTTGACGAGAATTAACGAAGATTTACAAGGGGATATTCTTGTCATCATTAAAATTTGGGGTACAACATGTGAGTTGTGCATTAATTGTGGGGACCACAAAATACAAGAAACCATACCACATACATACCACAAAATTTGGGCTTGTTTGCTTGAGTGTTTTGATGATGGATTTGATCATGGAAATATATCCATAATGGACTTAGAACCGAAATCCATTGTTTGTCTTAGGACTTAGGGAGATGGAATTCGTAGGGCCCACCTCTTTTGGGGTTCCAAATCCGTGGACCCCACGAACTTGGAAGTTCCACCTCTTGAGGTGGAATTTGGGTGATGGATTAAAATCCATGATGATAAATTACCTTTCTACCCTTACTTATTTCTTTAATTACAAATTTGTCCTACTTTAATTCAATGGTCATGCAATTGTAAACTTTTATGATGTCGTATTTTATAAATATGAGAATTTATCATTTCGTTTTGTAATATCGTATTTTATTTAAATATGAATGTGTATGTGATTTGTTAGATTCACCTATAAACACCTTATGCTCATTTTATGCATGATTATTTGATTGACTGTCGGATTCCAAAATCGGGGAGTTAGCAAGAAGATGATAAGTTGTAGCAATAAAGCAAGCAATAGGTTGCAATTGATACATAATATTGCGTACATTATTAGAAGAATTGTTAATCAGTATCAAATTGTAATACATTTCTATATTTGTAGTTATTAAATTATTAGTCCACACAGTGGTTAAGAGTTTAAAATTTCTTTCTATGTTTTGAATTTGTTTTAAATGAAAGATTTGGATGATAATATAGAAATATAATTAGATAATGGTAACAAGGTAATTTGTATTTAATATCCACAAATCTAATCAAACAAAATCCATAATCAAATTCAACAAGCAAATAATAGACTTGTTCAAATCCATAATGCCTCCAAATCCATCATATATCCATGACGCAAACTCCTATCCCACCACATCATAAATAAAATTTAAAGGTGATACTCGATGCGGTTATGAGTTAACCGCACCACAAAGGCGGTTAGCCGAGATCGACTATGAGTGAAAATCGTCCACCGACACCGCCATTGCGATTTGCGAGCTCTATCGGTTAGCCAAAAACCGCAACCACCGACATCTGCTCGGTGAGGCGGTAGCTTAAAACCGTCACGAGGAAGGAAGAATGGTCCTTGGCGACTGCAAAGTTAACAACAAAGATGAGTTGGGGAAATGAAACCCTAGAAGTCTTGGGTGTTTCTCATTCATATTTGGGTTTAAATAGACAAAAGCTTTGCACTACAAGACAACAAGTGCAAGCTAGCATTTGGAGACTACAAAGATAAACAAACATTGACATTAAACTAAACTTGATGATGATGATTTCCTCTAAACCTTGTCGATCCACTTTGACATTCATGGTCATCGGTTTGAGTCTTGACGATAACTTGAAATATCTCTTGATACCCCCGCAAGCGGGTGAGCAGAGAATGTGCACACCAAGCTTAGAGAGAGAGAGAGTTCAGTCTTGACTTGAGAATGTTGCCGCACCGTTGGCTAGCTAACTTCCCTTAAAACTTCAAATGGTGAAGCTGATGCATCTTGCTAGCTAACTTCCCAAACATCTTTTGAAAAGCTGCTGTATCTGTGGCTAGCTGGCTGAAATCATCTTCTTCTTCAACCGGTGATACCACTGCATCTTTGGCTAGTTGGCATCCCATCTTCTTCTTCTTCTTCTTCTTCAACAACTTCTTCTTCTTTAACTCCTCAACCCCCAACTCAGCTTTGTAGCTTGAGTTTCTCCACATTAACTCGGATATGTTGCTGCTTTTTCTTGGTTAGCTAGCACTCCTTTCTTCTTCATCAACTACTCAACCCTCAACTTCAGCTACGTAGCTTCAGTTTATCCAAATAAGATGGGATATGCTGCTGCTTTTTCTTTTTGCTTGCTAGCACTCCGATGATCTTCAAATGTGGATAGGATATGATGTTGCTTTGTTGCAAACTACCAATTCCTTCCAAGAAACAAACCTTGAAGTCAGTCGGGGAGTGTACTGTTTGACTACTACCCTCTGCTTCTCCAAGTATATGAGGATATGTTGTGGCTTCTTGAGCTAACTAGCATTCCAAATAAAAATTACTTCAAACTCAACAGGGAGCCCTTTTAGGCGTCTTCCCTCTGTTGCACAATCTCCGGCTTGGTTCGGATATGCTGCTAACTCTGAATTCATCAGCGTAGTTCTTCCCGCTGCTGCAACTTTGGTGCTTTTCTTCATCTACTTATCTTCTTCCAGAAACAAGGACTTCTTTCTCTTGATTCTGCTCCTTCTGAAACACTTATTCTCTTCTTATTGTTCTTCAAAAAAAAAATTTGTGCTGCAACTGAACTTGCAGCTCCCCTTTCTTCTTGTTTTCTATGAATTCAGAACTATAAACTTGAGATTCTTACTGTGTAGGAGGTAGCAGTGGCTTCTCCTTCCCACACAATCACGAAACTCGGCATAAGAACATTCAAACATTTGATTTCTTCTCTTGAAGAACCAAAACAGACAAACTGACCTATCTTCTGAAGCTCAATCAAATTCTTCTTATAAAAATTCTGCACAATCACAGCTTTCAAAACTTCCACTCCATCCGCAGAAATGGCTGAATTTAGCCAAACAGAACCTCTAACTCGTTCAAGACCAAGAACTCCATTATCGGCAGCTATCTTCTTCTCATTCAATAGGGTGATTTCAACATCAAGGTCAAGATTTTTACCTTCCTCGTCTTGGTATTCTCCAGTGGGTGTGAAATGCCTTCTTCCAACGATTACCTTGTGCTCTGTAATCATCCCCTGCCTCAAGCTGGCTTTTGATGGCGTTGGCCTTTTTGAACGACAGAGCGTCTTTTTACTTTCCCCGCCTTCTTCAACCCCGCCACTGTAGTCAACAGATCTCTTCTCGCTTGGCACGGTTTGGAAATCGATTGATGAAGTTGGAGTGAGTCTTCTGGTGTCCTTCAGCTGAAAAATGGAAGCCAAGGGCTCCGAAACAGATTCTCGTTCGGAGTCGGTGGATATGATTTTCTCCTCGCTCCCCTCTTCTTGTTCGTCCTCCATCTCCCCCGGCGACAGTGAACTCTCCTCAACTGGGTACCTCTGGTACTAGTGGATCTCACAGAGCTCCTTGTACTTGTTCGGTAACATGCGAACCGGTAAGTTTTGAGATGGGAAACGAATTTGGAAGGTGAAGATTACAGATCTGTAGGTTTGGGGTTCAGATTTTGTGGTGGTTTCTGGGCTTTTCAAAAGTCGGGGTTGAGTCGGCGGCAGAGAGAGATCCGCGGAAGATGGAGGGACGCGACATGTCTGGAGATTTGGGGAGAGCACGGGAATGGCCTGAACTAGATCTGTATTCTTGGGTTGAAAAGGAAAAGAAAAGGCAATGATTTTGCGGCGGAAGGTGGAAGGTGAAGGGAATTAACAGGGAGACAAATTGGATCTGGAAATTTGGGGAAGAAATGATGGGTTGGTATGCTGGGTAGAAATGCAATGAATAAGAAGAATTGAATTTTTTTTTTAGGGTTTACATCTGAAAAATTTCAGATATGGATATAGTCCTTATTTTCGTGGGTAGAAGGTTTTTAGGGTTCTTTAAGATCTAGAGGCTCTGATACCATAACAACAAAGATGAGTTGGGGAAATGAAACCCTAGAAGTCTTGGGTGTTTCTCATTCATACTTGGGTTTAAATAGACAAAAGCTTTGCACTACAAGACAACATGTGCAAGCTAGCATTTAGAGACTACAAAGATAAACAAACCAAAGTCTAAACAAACATTGACATTAAACTAAACTTGATGATGATGATTTCCTCTAAACCTTGTCGACCCACTTTGACATTCATGGTCGCCAGTTTAAGTCTTGACGACAACTTGAAATATCTCCTGATAGAAGTGGAGATTTCTAATGGGTGGCTGGTTGATGATTTTATATTTGTGCGCGATGGAGGTGGTGGCCGGTGAGGAACACTTGAACAAAGGAGCATTCACCTCCATAAAATCGATTTCCTTCTTGAAATCTTGCACACAGATCCTCAGCTGTCGTCGAGAAGGAATAACCAGAGCATGCATGAATGCGGATGGGGGAGGCGAGGTGGTTCTAGATCTACTATAGTCGATTCCTTCCAGCTTCCTCTACTCTCACTCTACGACGACCACTTCGACGAGTTTGGGCCGTGAGGTCGAAGGCGGGCGGGCGGCGAGTGAAGTGCTGAGGTAGATGGCAATGGATGGTGAGTTCAGGAGGGAGAGGTCTGGATGGTCGATTGTCAAGACTCGTGATTTTGGCGATTGATTGAGGGTTGGGTGTGAAGCTTTGAGGATGGAGGTACAACGAGGATGCTTCTGGCGTGACGAGGGAGGGGTTGGGAGCGAAGGGGATTAAGGGAAATAGAAGAGGGAAACGGTTATGCGGTTCATCATTCCATTTATCGGTTATAAACCGACAACCTTTGTTCACCCAATAGACATTGTCAACCAACCATGAATAACAGTTATCGGTTAGCCGACATTTTCACTTTTTGGTTAGACAGTTAACCGAATAACCAACAACCGATTATCACCCTTATAAAATTCATAAAGTATACCAAAAAATTCACAATATCATACCAGAAAACTTATAAAATATATTAGAAACTCATTACACCATAAAAGTCATAAACCACATCACAAGCATACTATAAAACTTATAAAACATATCATAAGTTGATTAAAGCACACCACACACCACACAAATCACCTGATGCGTATCATAAATCTCATAATTAAAGCATACCATAATTTTTTTAAATTACACAATCACACAAAATTTATAATGAAGCAAATCAAATATTTTAAAATGCATTATAAGCAAGGATTGAAATACCGTACCTGAAAAGTCAGCGGTAGGGTATTTTATGCTAAAATCGTGATTTAATCGTGATTCAATCGCTTCATACCGCTAAATACCGCCTACCGATTTAGCCTCTGATAGAAGATTTTTCTGGTCAAATCGCTGATACTGTACGGTATTTTAATCCTTGATTATAAGCTGTGTGAATGTGGATACCCTCCGTAAACATCAACTGTATTGGTGAACATACCTCACTAAAGTCTAGACAGTTATGGTATCTTACTAGGCTAATTAGCTTAGAGAGGAACGAAAGCGAAAGAAACCACAACGGGGCTCCGAACTCGATGACCCGACGACCCGGCCCACACCAAAGAACCCGACAGAACCTGATCCATCTCCTGACCCAGCTGCTGCAGCGCCGGCCCTTTCACTTCCACCTTAAACGTCTTCTTCTCGCCCACTTTCTCAAACTCCAACCTCGCCGGCACCACCCTTATCTCCATCCCTGCTGGAGCCGTCGTTGTTGCCACGTAAGTTGACTTCGCTGGCCCCACGTTGGTGACTGTGCGCTCGAAAACGGCAGCGTACGGTGACGTGGAGTCGAGTGCCACCTGGAGGTTCATGGACGGGTAGTTGACGAAGTCACGGGTGTCGGAGTATTTAGACGGCGACGGGCAGCTCACGTCTCCTCCGTCCGTCATTATGCTCAACGACGTGTTGGAGTAGCCCTCCGAGCAGAGAAAACGGACGTAGTCCAAAAACGACATGTCGTATACCAGCCCCGGATCCAGTGCCTTCACCGGGTCGATTTCGCCCGACCCGTACGCGTACTCCGCCAGTGGATTTTGCTCTTTCGCAACCCGCGCTGAAAATCGTGAATAGATCGAGAAGCGTCATTTTAGTCATCAATTTTTTTGGTGTTCTCTTTTTTTTTTTTTTTTTTGGTTTATGATAGGTAGAAAAATTGTGCATGGTAGTGGAAGAATTAATATATTGTATACGTACCGGTGGTCATGAGGGCGGATTTGACGGCGGCGGGAGACCAATGTGGTCGGTGGGACTTGACAAAGGCGGCGGCGGCGGTGGCATGGGGACAAGCCATGGAGGTGCCACTCAAGAATCTGAAAGGATGGCCGTATGAGTTATCTTCCCCGGGTAGATACGGCGGGAAAGCTGCCAGGATGTTCACTCCCGGCGCCATGACGTCCGGCTGTGCAAAATTATTCACATAATTTCATGAATTACAGCTAATTATCGCTAACAATTAGGGTTTGGATATTTTCATTTAATGTCACAGACGACAAACCTTCAAAATAGTTCTGGACTGCTGGTTGGGACCTCTGGACGAGAAAACTGCAACGGCCGGAGCAGTGACGTTGACACCCGTGGTCTTCAATATATATGCTCGAGGATCCCTGCATTCAATAAAGTCCTGATCATTCTGTTGCCGCCGAAGTAATTAACATAATTAAGCATTTTGATTAATGCTATTCTCACCTTTATAAAAAAAAAAAAAAACATAAGCATTTGATTATTTGAAGGTACGTACTTGGTAGAATTAATGTAGCCATCGACAATCTGGCCGCGCGTCGGATCGAGCAGCGACGCCGGCATTGGGTAAGTTTGGGGGAAGTCGGGGTACCAGGAAACGGCATCTCCGATGAGTCCAACAGCACCAAACTCGCTCAAGGTATCAAGAGGAGCCGATTCGCCGTTCTTGCAGTAAACTATTTTTCCTTGCACCTTCTTTGGGTCCAAATTATTCGTGTCACACTCCCTGTTAATTTGGTTCACAGTACGTAACGATGTATTTATAAATTATGCTTTTAACTAAACAATATACAAAGTAAAATGGTTATTAGCAAAGAAGCTTCTTTAATTACCCTGAGGCTGCATTATTGCTGTCGTTAGTAGCTTTTGCTACGTTAGTAATGGGGTACCATTTCTTCGTGGAGAGGTAGTTAAATGTAACACCCTGCACACAAACATATTGAAGAAGGTATTCAACGATAAAACAAAATTATCAATTATTGTTATATAGTTTAGTTCAAATACGATTATTTTATAATTTATTTGGATAAAAATGTGGATTGAGAATCTGTTGATATTTGGATCCATCTCCTTAAAATCATTATCTTGTTGTCTTATTGGTATTGCCAGATCAATGATTTCCTCAACGATAGCTTTTATGTTTATGTTTTAAGTGGGATGAAAAAATTGCTCTTATACTAAAAGGTCGTAAAATAACAAAACCATTAAAAAAAGCTTAAAATAACTCGGATTTGTTCACTTATACATGAATATTAAAACCAACTCATATTATATTATGTTTTTTTATAAATAGATAAACAAACGATGTTCTGTAGCACTTCTTTAGGGAGTTATATATCCATTGTAGGTAACACTTAAAAAAGAAAAAAAAAAGCTAATATTTTTGGTAAAAATGAATTAATTAAAATGGCCAATTTATGGACGATAACTCATCATTAAATTATTAGTTCTTGATTTACCAGAGTAGCAAAGCGGTTCCCGAGCACGATTGGAGTCCTCAACTGCTTCCCGGTGCGGCTAGCGGCGACGGTGAGGATCCACGGCGCCACGTTCTCGACTTGACCCATTTCACCTTTGTTACCAGCCGCGGCGCTGACTATGATTCCTTTCTCCATGGCGTGGAACGAACCGATGGCCACCGGATCCTTGAAATAGTCCATCGGTGGAGCGCCCAGCGACATCGATATGACGTCGACGCCGTCGTGGATGGCGTCATCCAGGGCCGACATCAGGTTGGCGTCGGTGCAAGCGGCTTTGGGCCCGCACACTTTGTAGATGGCGAGCCGAGCCGACGGGACGCCGCCTCGCGCCGTGCCTTTAGCCAGGCCGCGGAAGCTGGCTCCGCCGACGGCTGAGCCGGCCACCGTGGAGGCCGTGTGGGTCCCGTGGCCTTCCGTGTCGTCGAGTGGCGTCAGCGGCGTGGTTTCTAGGTCGCCCACGTCATACGCTCTCGCCCCAATCACCTTACTGGGGGGGAAAAAATTAATTAATTAATTAATCGAGCTGGTGATTAAAAATCAATATTTAATGACATTATTATAATTAATTACTTGTTGCAGCCAGTGAAGTTGAGTCCCTTTTGGCAGATTCCCTTCCACTTCGCCGGAGGTGGGCCCAATCCCTTGTCACTAAAGCTCGGAGCATCGACGTTGATTCCTGCATGAAGGTCAATTGTTTTGAAACGAAGAAGAAAAATGAAAGATGATCATTCTAACTAAAAGTAAAAGAGGATGGTAATTAAATAGGTTAAATTGATTATTTTTTACCGCTGTCAATCATGCCAATGATAATATCGGACTCGATATTGAAATTTCTTTGAACCGAGAGAGGCATGTCCAGGTAGTCCCAAGACCAAGTTGTGGAGAGCTGCTTTGTTCCCGATAGAAACACTGAGACCACATTTTCGTTTTCTGCACAAATTGATCATAATTAATCAATTACTCGAATTGAGTATATCGTGTCAGCCCCATCGACAGAGTAATCAATGTAACTAATCAAAGTGATGGAAAAATAATAATAATCAGTAAGCATACCTTGTAGCCACTCAGCCTCTTGTGGGAGTAAATTTGCGGCAAATCCGTCGAAACTCTTGCCATAAGAGGTGAGTCTGACTTGTTGAGCTAAATCCTCGCTGGAAAGAAAAACAGGCTGTGAGATTAATAACGGAGTAAACATGATTAAGGAATCATCATCATCACTACTTACTCTCCGAGCACAGACGAAAGCAAATTGTGGTGACGACGGGCAGCAAGGAGATGGTTATCATTGTTCTTCTCAGCGGATACACTTCCCATGTACACAATGTAAGTCTGTGATAATTAGTTAATTATAAGACTCATTAACGTTAATTAATTGCTTCATATAAATCCAGACTAGAGAAAGGAAGAAGAAGAAGAGAGGAATTTGATTTGGATCTGACCTTTCTTTCTTGGGCAGAAGAAGAAGAAGAAGAAGAAGAAGAAGAAGAAGTGGGTGATCCTTTTACAGGTCCACATAAAACAATTGCTGTAACTACCACTAGTTTGATGACACCAATCAAGTGACGATTCATTGTTCTTTGTGTGATCACCATGGCTGCTGACTGTCAAATGAAAACTGGGAGGTTAAGTATCTAGTACTAGTATTTATAGAGGAGAAAAAAAGAGACGATATTTTCACCTAAACACAAGGAGAAACATAATATATTTCAGATAAACTCTGTTAACAACTTGATATAGAACTACTTTTGGGTTATCTTATGAAAACCCACTTTGATATTCATATTATTCCAATCCGATTTTTTTTACCATCAACTGTGCCTAACTTGACCTCCACGGGATTACAGTATTGCCCCTGTTTTTTTTTTTTTTTGCTAATAAATATAGTGGATTTATTAAGAAACCAAAAAGGATGAGTATAGACAACAACTAGTCACGTTAATCTTATGATGGTATTTTTCCATCAAAATTTCAATGTCGTAATTGGCTCTCGTCGTTGGAAAAATTGGTCGTATGCTGATATTGACAAATTTTTTTGACTTAATATCTTCAAATTGAAACTAGAAGTAATACCACTAGACCAAGTCTTTGTAGAAAAAATTGTTTATAGAGTTTTGTCAAAGGTGTTGTAGCCTGTAGGTGCTAATGCTATCACTAGTGAAGCTGGAGTGTTGCTGATTTATTTGGTGAATGGTTAGTAAGTATTCGCAGAGCCAATTAGTGATCACATCCCAAATTAAAGAACTTGCACATGAGCAACATAACTCCAATCCAATACTAGCTGAAAATCAATTACCTGCTCTAAACAGCGTTTATTCATATCATAAATAGCTAGCATTCTTCTCTACTTGGCAGCCAAAAATCCGATATAGAATCCGATGAAGCTGAGGTTTGCTTCAGAAATCAGAAAAAAAGGGCCGAGATATGATTGCTTGGGGTTTTATTTGAAATCCGCAATGTCAAAGACCCTAGCAGTGCCATCATATGAGACCGAGACCAGGAAAGCTTGATCAGAGCTCACGGCCAAGGACTGTATGCATTCGGTGTGGCCCTTGATTGTGCTCACCTTGGTTCCATCTCTAGCGTCCCATACCACTATAGCACCGTCTGCACATCCTGCAGCAACTAACCTCGATGTGCCTATCCATGTTAAGCAAGTCAATTCACTCTGCATCAGTAACACACATATTTGACATAGCCCTACTTACAGTTAGATTCTGGGGTCGCAAAGAAAATACGAAACTGTAACACGAAAGGAAGTACAAGCAACTAGACCTCATGATAGTAGATGCTACGAGGAACTGAACGTTGCAGATCCCAGATAATAAGTTGCTGATCCTTGCCTCCAGTTGCCGCCCAAGGGAAGCTGGTCAGGGATATAGATGTTGGATTAACAGGGAACACGAAATTTAATTTTATTGTGGTGAACAATCTTGGGCATACACAGGGATGAAAAGAGTCTGGAGCTTGTAATTGACATATTACCTTGGTGAACCTGGCAGAGCAATGCACGAAACTGAATCTGAGTGACCAGATAAGGTACTCACCACCTGTTGGACACACACACACATACACAAAGTTGAAACACGCCCAATGTTTTGTTTGAGCTAACAGGTGGATGAAGAAAGTTGTTTAGGCATGACACGAGAAGTTGCAAACCCTTCCATTCTCAATGTTCACAATCTTCACAGAACCATCTGAAGCACCGGTTAGAGCCAGAGGGCGAGTTGGATTCGAGGTAATGGATAAGCAAGTTAGCCCTGCTTTGTGATATGGATGCCCTAGAAGCAGAAAGATTATGGAATCCATGTCAAAAAATCGGATATGACTTGTAAAACATTCATAAAAAGTGGTTGTTAACTAGAATACTACTCGAATTCTCTCATCATCATTCCATATGTGAGTTGTAAGAGAAATAAGTTTCAGTACGGCTTGACTAATATCAGAGATCAAAATGTAAGCAAACATAAACCTCAACTGCACATATTACCTCTTACAACGTGTACACATTGCCCAGTTTCCAGATTCCATATTCTCAAACTCTTATCGCCAGAACCAGTGCAGATAGTTCTGCCTGCATCAGTCAAAATGAGATTAAGAAGATTTCAACGAAAGGCAGCCAAATGTGAACAAACATGAAACACTGTTTTTTCTTTTACAATAAATCAGCAGAAGCAGGAAGAATATCCCAAATAATACCATCAGGGGTGAAATCTCCACAGGTAATAGGATCATTGTGACCGTAAAACACACTGATGCAAGAACCTGTATCGGCATCCCACACCCAAGCAGTGCCATCATTTGAAACAGCCAAGACTAGATGACCTCCAGGCTGCCACCTGACCAACTGTGAATATAAGTAACCTGATTAGTCTCATTAGATTACCAATGGGTAGATAGTATATACCACCAGAGATAACGAAATCACTACACCTCAAGGCCGTCCGTAGGAGGATCCTCTTTTTGCTCATTCTCAACATGGTCTCCAAGAGTACCTTCCTCTATTTGTTCATTCTCAACATGGTCTCCAAGAGTACATATAAGATTTCCAGATTCATCCCAGATTTTAACCACAGAATCAAGCCCTCCAGATGCAAGAAACTGTCCATCGCTACTGAATGCTAAGCTAGTAACGGACTCCCTATGACCTTCAATTAGGTTGAAGAAAAGGGTTCGAGCAGAGAATGTTAATTTATATAACACTATGACTTGACGTTTCCCAAAAGGATGAAGCAATAAGCGATTCGTGCAATCATGTACATATAGAGCATATACCTCCTAGTTCAGCAGCCCAATCTCCCTGTCCTATCCTCCAAAGAAACCCTCTTTCATCAGCACCTCCAGTTGCTACCAGTGAAGGATCTGTTGGGCTGCAAGCAGCTACATAAACTTCAGCTGCAACAAGAAATTAATAAACAAAAGGACTGTGAATATAGTCAGAACTCATGATAAACTACTACAGCTACTCAATACTGCATCACAGAAACCCTAAACGCAATAACAATGAGATCCTCACATGTATGCCCTATGAATGTGTGCACAGAATCATCCGCATCCTCTGATTACAGAAGCAAAATACATAAAGAGTTATCATTCGAGTTAATTTAATCGTAAGAACCTCAAAGATCAGCTAAGAATTTGCTTGTCACGGCATCTTAAACATTGGGTCAATAAAGTTAAGCAGTACCTTCTTCGTCATCAAGGGCAATGTCATCGATGGCGGCAGCAAGCTCTACATCACCATCGTCACTCATCTCACCGTCCTCCATCTTCATGCATAAGGAATTATACACAATTCAGCAATATAGGCGAAGTCCACTGTCCATAAAAGCGGGAACAAAAAACAGAGAGAAACACGATCAAAGAACTTACTTTTAAGAGGAAAGTTACCTCTACTTGGCTGTCAAACCAGAGTTGCCAGAATGCGGCTACCGGCGGGAGTAGGGGTATTGGCGCCGCCGTCAATGTGCTATGACGACAGAGAAGTGAAGCCCCAGCAAGAAGGATTTGAAGTGTTATTTATAGTGGGGAAGGAAGGCAGCAGCGACGACGAGTTGCTGCTTGCTGGGAGTCGAGCCGCGGCGCTGGCGGCTGGCTTACAGCCCAGTCGACCCTGATTTTATGATGTCAAAATTGACAAAAGAAAATGTGGCTTCAGTTCAGGACTCAGGGTGTACCAATGAACCGGGCCGGCGCTGGGCCGGGCTCGCCTAGGGCCAGACATGGATCTTATACGGATAGCCGAACTTCGAACTTACACCTTCGACTTCGATTGCTCATTAACTCATTTAAAAACCACCGACTCAGGACCGGAAATATCGGACATCGATTTCAAATTAATTGACAATTTTAGTTTTAAGAAATGATTAAACAATAATTAAGCCATAATTTTAATATAAATTACTTTATCACTAACTATTTCGATATCAACCCCCGATCGTATATTTAAGTACAAACTCGGCTCTTATTCGAAAATTTAGACTTCAGTTTTGCCTTCACCGTGACGAAACGTCAATGTTTCACCCACACCCTTAAACCTCATCAATTTTGGATTCACCTTGATCTTAACCTCTTTAGAATACATCACAGTTACCACGGAGTTTTCATGACAGGGCGAAAGAAGGGTAATTAAGGTTGCGAACATGAGTCTTTTTGCCCACTTCAAAATAATCCACAACTTTATTTGTTCTTCGACTTATTTCTTTCACACGTATCTTGTTCAACGAGTCATAGCAAATATAGCTTACTAACACAACACACATATATGATATATCAATTTCTTCCATTACTTGGGACTTTTATGCATTGAAATCCTCCTGTGATATTCAGAGCCTCCCCACTGTAAATGACAAGATACATCTTTCCGCTAAAGATCAATCAAGTTGATTAAAGCACCCTGTCGCACATTCAGAACCAAGGTATGGCGAGCTTTTGTCGTGAGCACAGACATTATATATGAAATATAATTTGTTTACTCAAATCAAATTGTCTGGGTGGTGTAGTTGGTTATCACGTTAGTCTCACACACTAAAGGTCCCCAGTTCGAACCTGGGCTCAGACATTTATTTTTATTCCTCAAACCCTTCATCACTGAAACTTTTGGATTCCTGTCCACAAATGTCAGGATTTTGTACTGTGGAGTTGGTTCTTCCTATTGGGGAAATGGAAATGATATCATGAAAACGTACATGTAGTCAATCAGATGAAGGGAATATACATATATATAAGAGCACATAGCATCAACTGTTACTAATCAGCCAGATTTTCACTCCCTCAGGTGTCAACATTGCAGCAAGCCCATTAAAGCTCTTCCTGTAGCTGTATAGAATCGAATCCGATGCATCTCCGTTGAAGATTGAAACCCATTTGTGTATAAGTTAGTACTTTGAAAAGGTCAGATTAGCCTTTTCAAAGGTCATATTACTTTGAAGATGAGCAAGTTATACACGGGTAATGATCCTGAAAAGGAACTCTTATGAGAGTATCAATTCATCAAAGGGTAAGCAACTATAGGGCTTCTCACAGTATGTTCTCCATCATCCCAGATCAAAGCCCCAGATACAGAGTTTTTGCCCAACTTCACCACCACAGTTACAGTGAACGACTTGCTCTCCCCAACAGACTGGAAAGTCAGAACTGAAGGTCTAACTTTAACCACAACTTCTTCAGGAACCTTGACTATGGCCTTGTAAGTACATGATCCACGGCTCCCTACATTCGTCACAGTTCTATGAAACACCCTCGTCACGCTGCCACCACCAGGCTTGATAGACAAGGTAAGCGAAGGGTAGTTCAAATCCCACACTGCCAGCTTCTTCTCATTGCTGCAGTGGATGTCCTCCCCGGTGAGAATCTGAATTTGTGTGCTGTTATAGCCTTGTCCACACAAGAAGTGAACGTACTCTTCCTCAGCAGCATCGTATACCAGGCCGGGGTCTACTGCCTTGACAGGGTTTATCAGCCCTGCACCGTACGCGAATTCTGCATCGTGGTTCTTGGCGCGGCTCATTGGCATTGCTGTTGTCATTAGAGCAGACCTAAGGGCAGCAGGGGACCAAGTTGGTTGGAATGACTTGACGTATGCAGCTACTCCAGTTGCGTGAGGGCAAGCCATGGATGTGCCTGAGATGATGTTGTAATTTGTCACCCTTTTGTCTCCCACTAGTCCTGTCACTGTGGTAGCTGGTGACCAAGCAGCCAGGATGTCCGAACCGGGAGCTGCAATGTCGGGCTTCAGGATGTCTTTTGTTATGGCATTAGGCCCTCTGGATGAGAACCCAACTATGTATGGAGCTGAGTCGTCCCTTTGGTGGATACTCTTGAACATTGTTGCAGTTGCATTTCTGAAACAGAACAGAACAGAACATCTCTGTTTAGCTTCAACTCAGTTTGGAAAGCTTTGAAAAGAGAGAAATGACTCACTCAGTTTGTTTCACATAAGCTGAGATTTTAGATCCGGGATCGGGACCAAAGTGGGAAGCTGGGACAGCAAAATTGTAAGCAACATCATTGTATGTGTTGTCTTGCATCATTGCACCAACTCCTCCTGCTGCAGAAACTGACTCTCCATTAACGATTAAGTCACAAAGAACAATCTTTCCTCTCACCAATCTCCTTTCCAATGACCCTTTCTGGCAATTTCTGCATTTTCACCAAGCAGAATTGATCAGATACTTCTGAGATCAAAACACACATTGACGTTATGCTATTGTTGCGCTGTTCGGGTTACCTCGCTGCAGTGACGTTTGGTTTCTTCAATGTTGGGGCACGGCCACCGTATATAATGGGGTACATTGTGGGATAAAGATTAACAGTATTGATCGAAACACCCTACATGGCAACAAACATTTTCAGCCTAAAGATGGAACCACATAGATAAAGAGAGGTGTAAGTTAAACTTCCATATGCTAACCTCATACGAAGCTCCATTTCCCAGCTGAATTTTCGTCATAAACTTCCTGTCTATGCTGCTAGCTGCTACAGACAGAAGCCAAGGTGCAGCGTTGTTGACTGATCCTGGAGTGGGACCATCATTGCCAGCAGAAGTGGAGGTAAGAATGCCATGTCGCATAGCGTGGAACGTCCCAATGGCGATGGAGTCCTCGAAGTATCCCTTTGGGTTAGTAGCTCCGAGGGAGACAGAGATTATGTCAACTCCGTCAGCGATGGCATCATCGAATGCAGCCAGTATATCAGCATCATAACAACCATCAGCCCAACAAATCTTATAGACTGCAATTCGAGCAGATGGTGCCCCGCCTCGAGCTGTTCCCAAGCCAAGCCCTTCAAGGCTTGCCTTGGGGACAAAGTTTCCTGCTGCTGTTGATGCAGTATGGGAACCATGGCCTTCTGTATCTCTTGGTGAAGCCACATCAAGGGAGAAGTTCCCTGTTACCCTGTAGTACTTAGCTCCAATTATCTTGCTGCAAACGAAACAGATCAAAATTACATCAAGATAACAAAATAGAGGAGAAGAATTGTGCTGCTTCACCAAAAGGACTTGTGGGTTTTACTTGTTGCAGGTGAAATTTTCTGACTTCATGCATGTTCCCTTCCATTTTTGAGGAGGTGGACCAAACCCTTCATCTGAGAAACTCTCAGATTCTGGCCAAATTCCTGTGTCAAGCATCCCGATGATCATGTCCCTCTCTAATGGTCTTCTTTCAGATTTCCCTGTAAGGCCAATAAAGGTCCATGATCTTGTTGTGTGAAGCTGCATCTTTCCATTGGGGAAAACAGATATCACTCCCTCCATTCCTGAGAAAAAAGAAGCTCTTGTCATACAGCAGATCATTTGTTAAGAAACAGCTCATCTCAATAAATCCTGCATATTTTACTCACTTGTCAGCTTCTGCACCTCCTCGCTTGTTAGCATGGCGGCAAAACCACTGAAGCTTCTCTTGTAGCTATACAACATATGGTCTGACCCACCACTGTTAAAATTAACAGGACCAAAACATTAGGGGAAGAACAAAACCCAAACAATAAGTTCCTGAAGATCAGATTCTGAAAGAGAGGTAATTAAGTTAGGCAAAAACCTGCCAACCACTTCTTCCATCATATTGGTATGAATCTCTGTTGCTGATACTTCCTTCTGTGAATGACTTCCCATGTACACAATGTAAGCCTGAGTATCCAATAAATTCACCAACATTTCGTTAGTAATACTTTCATAATCCGTTCATTCTGAAACAGAAAAACAGAAACTTGTGATCTTTCTCTTATGATGTTAAGGAGCTGATTTACTTGCCTGTCTATTTTCGGCTGCAACATAGCCATGACAGCAGCTAAGAATCAGGTTACTAGTGAGACCAATCAATATGATCTGAACCACAGATGGAAGTTTTGATGCCATTGGAGACCTGCTGGTTGAGCATTTCATAAGAAGGGAATCGATGAGCTTTTTATATTAGCAGAAGTTGGTCTGCATCATTAATGAAGATCACTGTATCTTCCATTAAACAACAAGAGACATGTTTTCCTCCCTTTGATTACTGTCAAACAATGTTGGTTCTTGTCTTTTCATTTTTGGCTACCCTCTCAATTATGTTTTTATCTTAATTCACAGTTTTCCTTCTTCAAGTAAATAATGGACAAATGTTTTATATACAGTTTAATTTTGTTTAGTATGGTATACGATCTAACTATTTTTCCTCCCCACATAACCCATAAAAGTAATTATTATATTGTTGAAGGATATAAGATATTATTACACTGTAGCGGTGTAGCCTCAATTTCGTATTGCAAAATCCCATTAACTTTAACAAACGGCTGAGTATATTTACAACAAAAACAAAAGACAAAACTGGTTCAAGGTAGGCATTACCGAGGCTTCTGCAACTCGTAGACAAACTGGTTGCTGAAGTTCTTGGGAACCCCATTAAATATCACAAATGCCTTGAGGCTTTGATTCCAGCGTAGAGATGATTGTAGAAGTTGATCACTTTCGGAAAGCTCTTGTGAGCAGCAGAATTTTTGTCATGCACGATCTATCCATTCAAGGTGGTGGATGCACCCGATAATCCTCTTACCTGAAACCATAGCAATATAGCATAGGATTTGACGAGTGAGAACCGGCCATGAATAGCACACAAGCAATTATATGGGCAGGAGATCACGTGCTCTGTTTTCCAGTTCTATGTTAACTTGCTTATCCAGTGTCCAAATCAGTACACTCTGAGCTAGCCATGGTTTCACGGAGCAAAACAACACTGCACAGCCAGCAAGCTGATGGAAGTATGACAACCATGGTTCTATGTTGCGAAGCCACACCATTCAGGTAGTAGTCTCTATTTTCCATGTACTAGCTACCTCGAATCATGTTGATGCAAAATGCAGTCATTCCTGCTGAATATTTTTGCTTCACCTGCCAAAGGACTCGTTTCTTGTTGTGAACATGACAAGCAAAACTTACTGAAGCTATACAAGTAGATACAGAGCAGTAAGTCTGATCCTAATTCACGGCTGTTAAAAATGACATGATAGCCACTAGGGTTAAACATTACACCTCGCATATTACTAAAACGGATAAGTGTTATGCAATCAGACTCAAGTTGACACAGTTGGGATCAATACCTGGTCAACAACTTATTCAACATGTTGCGATGAATGTCCGCTCTGAAGCTAGCTGCATCCTGTGAATGACTTCCCACTCATGCATATATATAACCCTGCTCCACAAAAAATGCCAATTTTTTTACAGTAATTTTCATATTCGCTCACTTGAAAACCTGCAGAAAATCCTGAAATCCGCCCGTCTGTCTTCATCTGCTGTACTGCCAATTCATGGCTCGAGACCAACTAGAATGATACAAGATAGTGGAAAAGCTTTACTCTTTGTGAACAATAAGATTTACTTCCTTTTTCCCCATTGCTTTACACTTTCCAAGGAAATCCATTTCAATAACTCAAAATCATGTTTCTGAAGTTCTTGTGAAGTAATATCACAGAATAAAGGTACTCAATGATCAATAAATGAGACTAAGCTAAGTACAAGGAGTCGCATTCACTTTTCAAGTTTAGGATGATGTTCTAGAAGTGGTCTTATCATGTAGAAACAAAATTACTCTTTGTCACCGCAGTGTCTTCGACACCTAACATCGAACCTTTTTTACTTCATAAACAAGCATGTGGTTTCCAAACACCTCAAGCAGGATCAAGAACGGGAATTTTATTAATTCAGAGATGACTAGGAAGTCACTCATTAGTCATTACATCTGAAACACACATTACATCCGAAACACACCCCGAAATTCTACACTTCCTATAAAGAAATAACATTATTATGCAAATTGCAGTCACCTGCTATACTCGCAAATCAACTAGACTGATGCTATTGGAAAATGTGGTAGAGTTATCATCTAGTGATTACGAGAATGAACGAACCTTACCTCACTGAACTCAAACCAGCTGATCAGTTATGTTCTCGAGGTGCCACAAATGCGACAATAGGACTCCTCACAGAATGGATACCATCACTCCAAACCAAAGAACCAGACAACATGGCTCTTCCCAACACAGCCGTGACCGTCACAACGAAGGACTGCTTCTCCCCAATGTTCTTGAACGTAAGTACATTTGGTTCCACTCTGATCGTATCGAAGCCCACTTCAGCACTCACTAAGGCTGTGTAGTTAGATGGCGCATACCCAACATTTTTGATAGTTCTGTGGAACACCCGAGTAACTCTAGCCTTGGGCTTCTTTGATGACAGAGCAAATGAAGGGTAGTTTAGATCCCACACTGCGGTACCATTAGTAGTTGTAGAACTACAAGAGCTCTGATCTCCTGTGACAAGTCGCAGTTGTGTACTGTTGTATCCTTGGCCACACAACATTTGAACATAGTCAATCTCTCCAGCATCATATACTAGTCCAGGATCCATGGCCCTCGAAGGATTAATTTGGCCTGATCCATATCCAAACTCAGCATCAGGCACGTCTGGAACACTTATGGGATGAGCGGTCGTCATTAGAGCAGACTTAATGGCTGCCGGGGACCATGTAGGGTGGAATGACTTAACATAAGCTGCTGCTGCAGAGGCATGGGGGCAGGACATGGAAGTACCAGAGATTATGTTGTATGGGACAACCCTGTCGTCTCCAGGAAGACCTGTCACAGTTGTAGCTTGGGACCATGCTGCCAGGATATCAACTCCAGGTGCTGTAAGGTCAGGCTACATAACATAATCCACGTCACAACATGATAAGCCCGAAAGAGTGGCGTCAAGCCGCCAACTGTAAAGTGATGTTTGCTGGTACCTTGAGAATGTCTGTTGTTATTGGGTTTGGCCCTCTTGAAGAAAAGTAGATCACATATGCTGATGAATTATCCACAAAGTCATGTGTCGTGAATATTTGTGCAGTTGGATCACTAGCAAAGACATCAAAAGATATAATTAACAAGATGTAGTGTCGTTTCCCCGATTTTTGTAACTATATTTGAAATTTCAGTAACATTCAACTTGCTTGTTTTCTTTCTAAATCTACCTAGTTGAGTTTATGTATTCCACAATGGTGACTCCTTCATCATCGGTCAAGATGGACACAGGTAAAAGTAAGGCATATGCATTATCTTCAATACCAGTAGTCGTCATTATGGCCCCAGTTGCACCCGCTGCAATTTGTTCCTCCCCTGCACTAACATCATCACAATGCACAATTTTCCCTTGCACCAAATTCCTATCCAAGCTGTTTGGATCACAATACCTGGAGTTTTTTCATATTACATGAAAATATATCAGTTGTTCCTGAATCAACAGTCACATTTAAACAAAAAACATGAAATAATGTTGAACTCTTTATTTGATTCTCAAACAATTTTCACCTTGCCCCAATTGAATGTCCTGGTGTTGTATTCGTCGCATCTCCACCATAGATAAGAGGATACACCTTACTGGGCGCAAAAGTGTTTAAAGAGATCCCCTATATCAGAAGAAGGCCTAGGTTATGCTGCATATAAATATGAGCATAGAGATGTCAACACCAAATAACATTTGGAAATCTCACCTGATAAGTTCTTCCATTACCCAACCTGACCCCAGTTGTGAACTTTCTGTCAATGGTGCTAGCACCCACAGAGAGCGACCAAGGAGAGCAATTCGAAACCGATCCAGGAGAAGGGCCTTCATTACCAGCTGAATTGGATGTGAGAATCCCATTCTTCATGGAATGGAAAGCCCCAATAGCTATAGTGTCTTCAAAATAATCTTGTGGCGAACTACCAACCGAGAGAGAGATTATATCGACTCCATCAGCAATGGCATCATCGAATGCTGCTAAAATGTCGACATCCCAACAGCCATCTTCCCAGCAAATCTTGTAGACAGCAATTCGGGCAGAGGGAACCCCACCTCGGGCAGTCCCGGAAGCAAGGCCAAGGAGGCTAGCTGGAGTTACTATATTCCCTGCTGCTGTGGATGCAGTGTGACTTCCATGACCCTCAGAATCCCTGGGGGAGGCAATTTCATCTTCGCTGAAATTGCGTCCACCATGGTAGTATTTGGCTCCAATGATCTTGCTGCAAAGTGGCGATAGTAAAGCATTTGAATTCTCAACATCACAGTTATAGACTTGGGGAAAGTGAAAAGACCAGTTTTTTAGAGGGTTACTTATTGCAGGTGAAATTGGAAGAGCTTTGGCAGACACCTTTCCACTTCTGTGGAGGTGGGCCGTAGCCAGAATCGTCGAAGCTCTGCGACTCGGGCCAAACTCCGGTGTCGAGCATCCCAATGATAATGTCGCTTTCCACAGTTGCTCTTTTCACATTCTGGGGGAAACCCAGGAAATCCCATGATCTCGTCGTGTGGAGTTTTCTAATCTGACTGGGGAAAACTGAAACTATCCCTTCATATCCTGCAATGATTAAACAGAGGCATTCAGATGAGAATTCTTACCATGTGAAAGAATATTGAAAGAATCATATATAGTGAGTTGGTTACCCACCGGAGAGCTTATCTTTCTCGGCATCAGTCAACCTGGCAGCGAAGCCATTGAAGCTCCTTTTGTAGCTATAGACCAGGGAATCGGAAGCAACGCTTACGCTAGGGGAAGGCAAATCATCCAGTTCCAGTTCAAGTTAGTCGCATTCGAATTGAATGATGGCCTCGTCGCATAATGTTGCGAGACATACCTGCCGGTGATTTGTTGAAGGAGACTCTGGTGTTGAGCGGCTGCCGGAGTTTCAGTGTTGGGCTTGTGGCCCATGTACACTATGTACAACTGCAGAACCGAGATCAAAGTGGGAATGAGTCTTTAGCCGTAGCCCATTTTATTTGGACCAAAATGTTGTGGCCCAATGTATAGCGAAAGAAGCCATGAGCATTGGTATTACTTAGGCTTTAACTGGTAGCCCATTAAGCCCACAAAAGCTATCCTAGTTGGTGATTAGCCTGTAATTGGAGCCATCTTGATGTTGGTACCCATCAACTTTTGATAATTTTGTTTTGGGTAGCACATTTTTTATTAACCACTAAAATCTTGGTGGGAAAATTGTTTAAGAAAAGATAGATTCTAAAATTAAAATTTTTTGAACAGATTTATCAATGACTAACCCCCAAAAATATCGAAAAGTAATCATCCCATTACTAATACATTTTTATTTCCAACTTTACTTCTTAAAGAAAGAAATACTCTCAAAATTACATTTTAATTACTAGTCATTCAGCGAGCTAAAGAATGTCTTCCGAAGTGAATTGGCATTTTTTGACGAAGTGTGATTTATGTGAATCATGATATCATCGATTACATACTAGTACTGAATTGAAACGACCCATACTTAATCCAAAGATGTCCGAATTAAATGGAAACTAGCAATTCACTTGTTATTACGAAAAATGAAAAGATGGTTATTAGGGGGGAAAACACAATCTTAAATACACATGCCTTCCTGTCGTCGTCGTCGGAGGTTCCATTGACAGCGTAGCTCTGCATCATGAGGCAACAAGCGATGATTGCCGTCACAATCCGAATCCGCTTCTGACCAGTACTGCAGTGATAAGTTTTCATTTCCGCCATTGATGATCCCATCTTCATCTTTGTTTGGCTGCTGTTGTATTCCTTTCCCCGTGCAACCATATGTACATATATATATATATATATATATATATATATATATATATAAGGTCTTTTCGTTTTTCGTTTCTGATCACTTAATTATATATGGTGCAACATTGTGAAAAAGTAGGCCGGCTTTGATTCAATATTCCAAACAACAAAAGTGTAGCTTTCCGGAGCTGGAGCAACCATTGTTGAGCTCGCCGCCGATTAGCATCCATATTTGCATCCTTAGTTGTTTACGGAAATATATTGTGCTGATGCTATTGAAACAAACGTCAACTGGGCATCCTTTGCTTTTTTGCCCAATTTAGTGGCTTGTTCTTGTCTTGTCCTTGTTTTTCCAATAAAATAGTATCTTATCAAGGATAGGGTTATAGTAAATACTTATACATGCACGTATGATTGTACGTAGTTTATCGGTTTAAAATTTATGTATTTGTATTATTGTCGAATTGTTTTATTTTCTCCCGTTCATTTGATGGCTCTCGTGCTAACCACGCATAAAATCCGTATAACACGTTTTAATATCCGTATTTGATGACTAAATTCCTAACTTAACTATTAGTTATATATTATTTGTTTTTAAAGTAATATATTTTATAATTATTGACGGACTATTGAAAGTACCATTAATTTAAATTCAAAATAAAATATCTGTATGTATTTTGTAGGTAACTTACCAGTACCATATTTTACTAATTAGTTTGCTCCAATTGTATCACAAGAAGAACTACAAGTACTATCTTCTAACCCCCATCATACAATACGGTGTAACCGTGTAACTGTGGAAGAGGCAAAGCAAACCTCAATAGTAATACTGTCGAAACGTACAGACACGTAGGTAGCTGTTACTCTTGTTCGGGTCGAGTATCAAATGTATATCCTCTTGTTAATTAAGTTTTTAATTATAATTAAAATAAATATGATCTTCAAAATAATATCCATTATTTTCAACATATATTTCGATAAATGAAATTTAAGATCAATTATTTCACCATCATGGTATTATAGTTTCATACTACCACAATATAATTTTCGCCATGGCACATCTCTTGGGAAAACTGTAAAACAATGTATGAAGAAATTCATCCAAACAGCATATATAAGATTTAAATTATTGTAAGCTGTAACAATATTCTAATACTTGCAAGAAAAATAAAATAAAAAATAACTCTAAAAAAAGAAAAGGAATACTTGGAAAACTATAATTCATAGTAAATCAAGTTATTGGAACCAACCAACTTATAACTAGTTTTATTAATTTGATCAATTAACAATGAACCCATCTCACACACATACACATGATCTCTTCCCTAAATATCCTCTTGTCCCGAAACAAACGCGACAACCGGACTCCTCACTAGGTGGATCCCATTACTCAGAATGAAAGAGCCAGATAACATGCTTGTTTCCAGCGCAGCCGTGACAATCACGACGAACGATTGCTTCTCTCCGGTCTCATTGAAAAAGAGCACCTCTGGTTCAACTCGGATCTCGAGCTCCTCTGGGACATCAATGAAGACCTTGTACGTTGTCGGTGCGGGTCCCACGTTCGTAACGGTTCTACGAAACAAGCGAGTGATCGACGTAGGTTTATCGTACGACAGAGCAAAAGAAGGGTAGTTTAGATCCCCCACGGTTCTGGTAGTTCCAGAACAAACAGTACTCTGGTCTCCGGTGACAAGGCGGAGTTGTGTAAGGTTGTATCCTTGCCCACACAACATCCTAACATAATCGATCTCCCCGGCGTCATATACCAGTCCCGGATTCACGGCCTTGATCGGGTCGATCTGGCCCGACCCGTATGCAAACTCGGCATCACTGTTATCTTCGACGCTTAGTTGACGAGCTGCGATGAACGTACATCATAAAACATGATAGGGCAATCATGCTCAAAATTATACGTGAAGCGCGGGAATCGAGAGAACACTAGTGTATATATATATACCTGTTGTCATCAGAGCAGACTTGATGGCGGCCGGAGACCAGGTAGGATGAAACGATTTAACGTAAGCTGCTGCTGCTGAGGCGTGGGGACAAGACATGGAAGTGCCGGAGATTATGTTAAACGGGACGATTCTCGTGTCCCCATTTTGTCCTGTTATGGTGGTAGCTTCAGACCATGCTGCCAGGATATCGACTCCCGGTGCTGTAAGGTCCGGCTGCATGCATGCATGTTACAAATCGACGGGAATAAGGACGTTAAGACTTAGCACATGATAGAATCACTAGACCAAGCCTTTAATCCTTAGAAATACAATTATTAATCAATGAGAGGATTAATTACCTTGAGAATGTCTGTTGTTATTGGGTTAGGCCCCCTTGAAGAAAAATAGATCACACGTGGGGATGAATCATCATTGGTGTAGTACTCCTGTGTCTTGTATATCACTCCAGTTGGATCGCTGACCGAAAACAAATCATAAGCATGTAATTAGACCAGTGCAACTTTTCTGCTACGACTTAACTTTCTTAAGAAATTACAGCATTAATATGTGCATGCATGCAATCGGACGTGTTTTCGTTCGCCATCTACGTACGTACCTGGTTGAGTTGATGTACTCCAAAAGGTCAACTCCATCGGCATGGGTCAAGATGGAAACAGGTAAAGGAAATGGATATGCCACCTCACGTAGATTAACAGTTTTGGGAGGAGGAATCATTGTGGAACCGGCGGCACCCACTCTAACTTGCTCAGTCCCTTGGTTGACACCGTTGCAAACCACAATTTTGCCTTGCACCAATGTCTTGTTCAAGCTTCCTATATCGCAACGCCTGTAGTTTTTTGTTTTTGTTTTTTGTTTTACATAAATAGAATGATGAGTTAGCTGTATTTATGGAGTATACGATAATCCGAATACTTATAGTAAGATAGTTCTATCTAGATTATGAGTTAAAATCGAGTTTGTTGTATAATACTATATACTCTAACTTCTAATGGTTAAACTTCACGTTCCGATTCTCTAAACCCAAAAACTAATTTAATGTAAGATAATAATAATCGATGATTTGATTCGCTGAAGTACAACGAAATACATCCAACGGTGAGATCACTTAACTTGGAGTATGATATACCCCTAAAATACAACAGTCATTACCATAGAATGATACAAAAGAAAAAAACGCTAGGAGTTCTCTTTTTCTGATTTTTTTTTTTTTTCATTTTTAACAGCATTGAAACTTTTCACGCCCAATCGTTAGGCAACCATAAAATACATGTATTTGAATAAATGCATTTTGCAGGAAAATCTGTAAAAAAAGAAGAAGGTAATATTAGTATTTGGACGAATTATCTTATTTTTCTGCGTCAAGGTACCCACCGTGAACTGGATGAATCAACTCCAAAAGTTCCGTTTGGCGCATCTCCACCATAGATGAGAGGATACAACTTACTTGGCTCGTATGTATTCATAGATACTCCCTACAATAATTAAAGAGACAAAACAATCAAAATTACGTTTTAAAACTTAAACATTTAAACTAATATAGTCAAAATCTCACTTTAAAATTTAAAAATTTACGCTTTCATGATTCTCGGTCACCAAAACAACGCAATGTATCACCTGGTAAGTTCTGCCATTACCCAACTTCACTCCCGTGGTGAACTTTCTGTCAGTAGTGCTAGCCGCCACAGAAAGCGACCAAGGAGAACAATTCGAGACAGTTCCTCGATCAGGGCCAGAATTACCAGCCGAGTTCGACGTAAGGATGCCATTCTTCATGGAATGGAAAGCTCCAATAGCTATGGAGTCCTCGAAATAGTCTTGTGGCCAACCTCCGACCGACAGGGAGATAATGTCGACTCCGTCAGCAATAGCGTCATCAAAAGCTGCTAAAATGTCGGCATCCGAACAGCCATCTTCCCAGCAGATCTTGTAGACGGCGATTCGGGCGGAAGGGACCCCGCCGCGGGCTGTCCCGGAGGCGAGGCCGAGGAGGCTGGCCGGAGTCACTGTGTTGCCTGCTGCCGTGGATGCGGTGTGAGTCCCGTGACCTTCCGAATCCCTTGGAGATGGGATTTCGCCATTCTTGAAGTCTTCACCGGCGTGATAGAATCTAGCTCCAATTATCTTGCTGCAAATTCAAAGTTTAACTAAATTAATTAAAAGCAACAACGGGTCTGAAAGATTTGGTATGATTTATAAATGTATTCATAAGATATAATTGAGAAGTATCTAAATTGCTTGTGCTTTTCTATAATTTGCAACAAAAATATATTATAAATATCATTACAGTTAAGTCAAATCGAAGAATTATTTTTATAAATGAACCCACGACCTAATCGTTATCCACCATAACTGACCAACCCAACACAAAAAAGAATGTGATTAATTGATAGTGAATCTCAATGATATCAAAACGTTAATAAACTAGTGACCAAAAGCTATCCAACCTAGCCATTGACCGCGCCTATTACTATGTAATGAAGAAATTAAAGAAGAGTTTGTAATTAAGAGGCTCACTTGTTACATGTGAAATTGGAAGAGGATTGGCAGGTACCCTTCCACTTCTGTGGAGGTGGGCTATACCCAGAATCGTTGAAGCTTTGAGATTCCGGCCAGATTCCGGAGTCAAGCATTCCGATGATAACGTCGCTCTCCACAGTCGTTCTCGTGACATTCTGGGGGAAGCCTATGAAATCCCATGATCTGGTCGTGTGTAATTGTCTCAATCGATTGGGGAAAACGGACACTACACTTTCGTGTCCTGTGACATGTAATAACATAAACAGCTAATAATTATGAGAGTACTTAATTAGCTTCTAAAGGGGAATAATGATCAAGCCATTGAAATTCCTGAATTGCCCACCAGACAGTTTCTCTGACTCGGCCTTTGTCAGCTTGGCAGCAAAGCCATTGAAGCTCTTGCTGTAGCTGTAAACCAAGGACTCCGAAGCAAGGCTCACGCTTTGGATAGGCAAATCAAATTTAATTTCAGGGATTAGAGCTCAAGACTAGACGAAAATGATAACATCTGCCACACTCTAGATTCAACTCAAGATCAATAATTCTTTTTATATATAATTAGTGGGTACGCTTTTTGTCCACACTTCTTACTACTGTTTCAATATTTGGCGTTTAGTGAAAGAGCTTCTCAGTTCCCAACTTCGGTCTTCCCCAATCCCGCACTAGCACTAAAAGAGCTAAAAAATACAAAACTCAAAATTAAAAAGAGATGAAAAATAGCCTGTCAGGCTGTCACCTCTTTTTCTGCTGCCCCCTCCCCTGCCAAATTCTTTTCTATACTCTTCCCTCTCCAATCACATCACTCCCAATTTTCTTCCAATTAAAATCATCTCTCAATCACTCAAGTCTGCACCAGCAGTTCTCCCTTTCCTTCTCCCATGCTTCTTTGTTCCTTCTTTACCTCCATCCAACGTCTCCTCTTCCCACAGAAAGCTTGAAACAGAACAGCCCCTTGCCTCTCATCCCTTTCTTATCTATTCCATAAAAAATCCAGCACCCACCTCCAATTGTCGCTCCCTCTTTTCATCCGGTTTAAGCTGTGGAAGAGGATGTCGGCGACGCTTTGGCGATGGGAAAAAGTCGTGTCTGCAGCAAAAGGAGAAGCTCCGACTCCAATGTGCACTGCAGGACTTCTATGGTAATTAAGCTTTATCTCCAGATTCCTTTATGGTACTTCTGAACTAGGTTGGCTGATTGATTTCTTATCTTTTACGGATGGCAAAATTCACAGGGGAGAGAGATCCATGTCATGTTCAGGGATTGGAGATCAGGAGTTAGAAGGCGGGTGTTAATGGCGGGGATCAGCTTGATGAACTGTCAGATGATGGGTCACAGGTAGGGCAGGGGAGAAGAAGAGGAGGTGAACATGGAACAAGTGAAGACATTGGAGAAGAACTTTGAGTTGGGGAACAAGCTTGAAACGGACGGGAAAATGCAGTTGGCTAGACCTTTTGATCTGCAGCCTAGGCAAATTGCTATTTGGTTCCAGAACAGGGGAGCCGGGTAGGAATCCAAGTCGCTTAGAACATTTCTTTTAGATATGTGCAGCTATGAAGTTTGCCTTTTATTTTTGTGGGGTTGTATATGTATTGTTTTTAGCTTATACTCAATTTTATTGGTTGGCTTCTTTGTGCCCTCTCTACTTTAGGATATAGTTTATGCTAGACTTTCACTTTTGATTTGCAGGTTTGAAAGGAAAGGCCATTTGGTACATACAAGAACTGCTTTGATCACTTACTTCTCGCTATTTCCATTGCGTATGTGCCTCTGGAGCTATATATTTATGTTAGATTCCTATTCAATCATCATTTTTATTCTTAAGTTGTCTTCATGATTTCTCTTTTGTTTACTGCAAGTACCATTTTTTGTGCTCATGGCGGAAATAAGTCCTCATTCTCAACTAAAAGACCGAGGTTAATGAACTTCAGTAGTGTTTTAATCTCATGCTTTAACTAACTTACATCAGGAATCTCTCTAACTTTGTTTTTAGTGCATTCCTTTGTTGGTATTGGTTGTTGTTTGTTTTCCTTCATGAATTCCTTTTCATTGTTCATCTGAATGCAATGTTCGTATTTGCTTTCATGGGTTTAAACTTTAAATTATTCCTTTGCTGATTTATGTGACCAGATCATATTTCACAGTTTGATGATGATGACAAATCGAGAACATCATCAAGATTGCAGGAGGTTTCTCTGATTCCGGTATCTGATAAGCTATTGGAAAATGACGATCCTCAGGTACCTCTTCACTGCGTTAGGTGCATTTCATGCGCAGAACTGTCAACTGAAAATAAAATGATCGATGACGGTCACTGCCTTTGTGTATTTCATTTTTAATGATTCACATTCAGGTTTTGGATTCTCGCCAAAAACACAACACCAGAACGTGAACCTGTTGTATTCAGGGCAGTAACAACCCGCAGAGACAATATGATGGATGAGCTCATCTCACTGCTTTGGCCTTCCTCTGCATATTCCTCTCGAGTTCTCCAAACTAGGTAAGCATTCAAGCCCACAGTTTGCCTCCAACTAACTTCGATGGGTTCCCTATAGAATCTAGCTGTTTTCCTTTACTTTTGGGTTTGCTTTTGTTGTTATTGTGTCATATTCATATTGGGTTACAGTAACAACTTTAGGATTAGGTTACATGATACAAGGAATCTAGAAATGGACCAAGTGCATTAAGAACTCATCCAGATGGCCCATCAGCCTATGCAGAGGATACTTTTGTTATAGAAGGCAATGGTATTGTTTCCGACAGACAGCAGGGTTAACTTGAATTTAGCAGCAGCAACATGATTCATTCTGAGGGAAATGCAGAGAAGTAGAGGAAGGTCAGAAGGATAATGATGCTTAAATTCAAGTTGTTTTCTAAGGTTTTCACGGTTTAAAACTAGAGGTGGCATACATGATTTTCTAAGAATTCAATATATTGTGTCTGTTATAGTGACATCAACTAAGGAGTTGATTTCATGCCACCTATTGTTTTACTTGCTTGACGTCTCCTATGCCATATATTGAATTCTTAGAAAACAACTTGCCCACTGCCACGTTGAGATGACTCAATTTCAACTGAGCTATTAAAAATAATCTTTTTACATTTCCCTTTCTCTCTATTAGTGTTCATTGTTTTTGTATGTGTGTTGTATATATATCATACCCTGGAAAACTTCTAAGGAAACATGAAAGTTATATTAAGATCTTACTTATCCTATTTTGTTTTCATTCTTTAAATCCATCATTACTCTATGTTGAGGTAAAACAGTAGGATTAGTTGCACTCAAAAGATCATGAAAGTTATTGTAAAAAAAAGATCATGAAAGAAAGATAACTTCAACTCCTTAAAATTGTCAATTAACCATTGTCATAGTTATACCAAGGTAAATTGGATCCAAATGCCAGATCAACTCCATTATGACTTATGAGTTGTTGAGTTCAGTGCTTCAATATTGTAATATTCTATCTGCTATGCCCTCCTGTATAAGCTTCATTTGTTATATGAGGCTACGTAGATGTTGGGTTATCTATCAAATCATTTGCTTTGCTCGCTCATTATGTTTGTTGTCTTCAACTGTGTCTCAGTTCTTTGTCTCTTGGGCCAACGAGACATTCTTCTTTGCATAGGCAACAATCGGGCTAATAGCCTCATTGTATGACGTCTTCACATTTGACAACAAATAGTAGCAGTTGACGTCAGAAGGGAAATGTAAGTGGTGGTGGTAATCCCATATGGAGAGGAATCATCAGGCGTTGTTGAGATTATGCAAGCCAAGGAGATTAGCATGAAGGTGAAGGTTGCGGATCATAGTTAGTAAATACTCCGTTTAATACACGTATATGTACCGTACGTACTTTATCCGTTTAAAACTTTCGTATCCGTATTATTGTCAAGCCGTTTCATTTTTTTCCGTTCATTGGATGGCTCCCGTATTAAACATGTATAAAACCTGTATAACACGTTTAATATCCGTATTTAATGAATTAAATTGTGAACTTTACTATTATTTATATATTTATTTATTTTTAAAATAATTTATTTTTAAATATTTATTACTATTAACGTGGTATTAAACGTACCTTTAACTTAGAGACGACGTAAAATACCCGTATGTATTTTTTACGTAACTTTCCCGTACCGTATTTTACTAACTATGTTGCGGATGGAAGGACAAACCAAAGAAAATAGGTGAAGAAATCCAATGTTGAACTTGGAGATGTAAATCTGCAAGTTTATGTTGCTGTAAATTTGGATAAAAAAAAAATGAAGACATGTTGAAACAAGAGATGCAAGTGCATAACTGAATAGAAGTTTGTAAGCTCTCGGCACCCTGAGTAGAACTATGTAAATAAGTCTAATTCGATAGGAGATTCTTAGAGTATGATTATTATTCGACTACTAACTGGATTAATAGGAAGATTGTTAATTAATGTTGCCTATATCATTTCATCACTTAATTATGATCTATTATAATGATGGTACACAACATTTCATAGGGGATTAAATTTCAACAGCTCTAGCCTCTCATCTTTCAAAACTTTTAAACACATTTTCTTGCCAGTAGCACAACGACCTCCAGTTTGCCTTCGTCTAAATCAGACACCATACAATCATGTTATTGTTGCTTTTGTTTTCACGGCGTTGCGTAGCCGCCGTGGGTATTCATTCTAGTCATCCTTAAAAAACGAAAACAAAAAAGTGACACGCTATAGCTTTCTTACCTGCCAGTAACCTTGTGAAGGAGGCTAATGTGAACAGCAGAAGCAGCTGTAGGAGTTTCAATGTTGTGGGGACGATCGCCCATGTACACTATGAACATCTGCAAATATATAGAAATCATATAATTAAATGAGACTAATAATAAGGAGATTAAAGTAATTAAGTTCGATATATGTCTCTGTATATGCCTTTCTATCGGTCTCATTGCCACAGCAACTGAGGGTGAGCCAAGAAGCGATGACGGCGGCCACCAGAAGCCATGAATTTAGGAAACTGGAAGTCTTCATTGCCATTGTTGTACCCAGGCCATGATAGATGTTGTCCAAGGTTCCTTTATGTAGGCTTTTATTTCTGTCTTCTTCCCCATGGCGGGTTATCAGGAGGATTGCTTGCTGCTAGCTACCGCATTGTGACACTTCATAAAAGGGACCGAAAACGTCGTTGTGCTGGATCGATTGAATCTATGTAAGAGCGTGAGACAGCACATCCATTTATGGGTATCCTCGAGAACAACTGGAAATTGGACCAGCCGCCAAAAGCTGGAGGGTAGAGAGAAGTCATGTACTACAAGTCCATTGTGGTTGTGGAGCTCCTCTAGTGATCTCTGCCACCAATCAAGTATCATATATCATCATTGTGTTAGGAAATTTGATTATGATGCACGAGTATTATTTATGACGTCGTTATCATCGATGGATACATTTACATGGAAACAAGTCATTAATCAATCCGAACTAGTTTAGATTAAAAGCAAAAGGGCAGCAGATGCCAGATGATGACATCTTACAAGAAACAAAGTCTCGAGAGAAAACAACAAATCGGCACAGTTTCGACTTTCGAGAAAATAAAAAAGAATAAGAACTCATTTTGAAAGGGGAAATCAATTTAAAAAACTACCACCGATTTTGGGGCCAATTTATATATATGCAACCTAGCATGTGATCAAGAGCACATTTATTGATTAAATTTGAGTCGAGACAGAAAGTGTTGTCCATCGCAGTTTGCAAGCATCGTTTTATTCTTCTATCGATTTTTTTGTATGTTTTATTATGGTATTCTTCTATCGATTCCGGTTACATAGATTGGCTCTAACTAATTATTATTTTCTAATTGCTATAAATTTTTTAAAAGAAATTGAACAAATGAACCTCTTAGATCATATCAGTCCCAACTATTGACCGTCCAAACAGACGGCAAATTAATTAACATAGTTTCGATCTAATAAAGGAAGGAAAGCTCAATAATATTTCTGCAATGCAAATTCTTTTACCATATTATTACATAATGAATCATATAGAAAAACATCAAATTAAAAATGAATTAATAACGACGTCGTCAGAATATATAAAACTGCGTTTTAATTAAACCGCTTTTACATCATTCACGCGACGAACGCCACAATAGGGCTTCTAACCACGTGACTGCCATCACTCCAAACCAGCGAACCAGAGAGCGTAACGATCCCCAATGCAGCCGTCACCGTCACAACAAACTCCTGTTTCTCCCCAACACTCTTGAAGTTGAGCACGTCCGGCACAACTTCAACCTTTAGCCCCGACGGCCCCGACGGCCCATTTACCGTCGCCTTGTAGCTAGACACCGCCTTCCCAACATTCGTGACGGTCCTACGAAACACTCGGGTTACACTGTTCGCAGGCGTTGACGACGACAGAGCGAAAGAAGGATAGTTAAGATCCCACACTGTTCCATTCGTCGTGGTCGAACAAACACTGTCGTCTCCCGTCACGAGCCGGAGCTGTTTGGTGGTGTATCCTTGGCCGCAGAGCAACTTCACGTAGTCACTCTCCCCGGCGTCGTATACCAGCCCGGGGTCCACGGCTCTTGATGGGTAGATCTGGCCCGACCCGTATGCGAACTCGGCGTCGGCGTTGTCTTTGACGGTCAACGGACGAGCTGTTGTCATTAGGGCAGACTTGATGGCGGCAGGAGACCAATTAGGGTGGAATGTTTTAACGTAAGCTGCGGCTCCCGACACGTGGGGACAGGACATGGATGTTCCGGAGATGATGTTGTACGGGACGATTCTGGTGTCTCCGGTTTGATCCGTCAGAGGGTTTGCTTGAGTCCAAGCTGCCAAGATGTTCAATCCTGGTGCTGTCAAGTCCGGCTACATGTGTACATAATTATACAAGAATCATCAGGATTCATCCAAACCCCTAAAAACAAGTTTGAAAAGTATTCCTTTCTTTTAATTTATGTATTCCAAAAAGTGGTAACATAAAAGAAAGCGGTCGGGTGGTCATGTGTTCGAATTTTTACGATCATAATATATTAACAGCTGATTTAATCACATGGGGTATGGTGAACATGTACAAATTTCAAACTGTTGATTTTTGTTTGATGAAGTATAGAAGAGAGTGGTATAATTAAGATTCATAATAAATTTTCTCCCAACAACTCGAGTTATTGAGACCAACTGAATAATGAAGTGTTGTTTGACAATTCCTTTCTTTAGACCTTGTTACCTTGAGGATGTCACTGGTTATGGGATTAGGGCCCCTAGATGAAAAGAAGACGACATGAGGGGATGATGAATTAGAATCGGTGGAATCGGTGGTCTTCGATATGACTGCAGTTGGGTTCCTGGTAAAAGAAACCATAAGAAATATTGCAAGTAGGTTAAGCCATTTGGTGCTCTTGATCTATTGACATGTGTATCAGTGTATCAAGCTGGAAAATGTATATCAGAGTTGTTCGAGCATACTTGGTGGAATTTATGTATTCCAAAACTTTATCTCCGGTAGCGGCACCCATGAGAGAAACGGGTAGAGGAAAAGGAGATTCCAATTCTCCATAAGGTGAAGAAGATTTCATTATAGAGCCAACGGCGCCGGCGTCTATCTGTCCCAACCCGGAAGCGGTAGCATCATCGCAGTACACAATCTTCCCTTGCACGAGATCCTTGTCTAATGACCCTGCATAACAGTACCTACAATGTTTACGGGTGAACGAGAATTCATTAGGTCAGTATAAATGTATAATCATTATTTCAAAGTCCTTGATCAAAAAGTCTTCAGAAATAATTTATTTGGAGTTATTGGGATGAAAGATTCTAGTGGATCAATTTGACTCAATTGTTTCGTTTTGAGATAATCTGGTCAAATTGATCCGTTTGGCAGCATAAAATTTAGATGAAACAATTATGTCTGAAGAATTTCAAACCGACTCATTTTGAAGCAATTACAATTATCTAGGGGGTGGGGCTGACAGTTCCAATTGACTCGTTTTAAATTACTCAGTTTTGTAAAATGAGACAATTGGTCAAATTGTCTCGTTTTTTCAATTGATCCGTCCAAACGACCCTTTTCAAAATACGAGTTCTTGACATTATTTATTTACAGATGTGCTACGATGACCTAAAGTCAAATTGACTTGCATTTTTTACTTGCTATAGCAGGTTTTCAAGGTCATTAAATTACGTAGTAACTATTTACATAATGTATGTTTCTCTTACGTCATAGTTGTAGAATGGCATTACGTAAATCTTTCTTAATATATGGTGTTTTTACGTAATGGATATTAACGACGACTTATGTAAGACGCACAATCATTATGGAAGTCTTACGTAATAATATTTTGGCAAAATACATTTCCATAGCCATAACTATCCACTTTGTGACAATAATAGCCAAATTTTAAAAAATACACAAATATAGCCAATTTTTGAAAACTAGTTTGACAAATTTAGCCATTTTCGTTAAAAATTTTAACACCGTCAATAACTCCGTTAGTTACATAAACGTTACGCTGATGTGGATGCCACCTAGACGACACATCATCTACAACTAGACATATCATACTCACTTGAATGCCACGTCATACTTTAAATAAAAATTTATAAAATTAAAAAAAGGCAAGACGATTTGGGAGTTGGGACAGACTGGTGCTTCTTCTCTCCTCTTTTCCCCAATTTCAGAGTTAGGGTTCCGACTTCCGAAATTGTAGCAAAACCGGATTAGATCTTCCCCTGCTTTGAATGCGCCAGCATTTCGACGACCACCACTGGGAGTTCCGAAATTGTAACTTTTAACAGCGCCCGGAGTCATCTCCCGCAAGGAAGACAACGAACCACTGTAAGCTCGAACAGAGCGAGGGCTTCCGACTCAACGGACTCAGCGAGTTGGCAGGCGATCCATTGGTCGGCGAGTTGGATGAATTCGTGTTCGGAAGCGGCCGAGAATATTATTCTGTTGGCGTTGGAGTCAGAGAGAGTGACCAGCAGAGGAGGGATCGATGGCGCGACGGCGGGTTCATATGCGGCCGCTCCACCTGCGACCACTGCAGCCGCTCCACCCGCGACGACGAGATCCTCGAAGTGAGCGATGAGGAATTTCACCGACATTAGTGGTGATTTCTTCTTCTCCTTCGCTCTCTATTTCGATTTCCCCATCGTCCTCCCAAATCAATGTTTCAAAACCGTTTGGAATACAAATTGTTGAATCCGGGTCGACGAAAATCGCCGGAATCTGCATCCCATCCGGAGAATCCCAATTCCAGAACGACAGCGCGAAAGTGGGGTTATTGAGTAACGAACCCAAGATCCGCTTGCAGATGTAGAGGCAGTATTTATCATAGTTATCATCGCCTTCCTTATCTCTTCGCCCAAATCACTCTGCTCCTGTCCTCCTTTCTCGCTCGGAGTCGCCGATGGTTCAATCACCGCCGCCCTAGATTCATTCATATGCTCAGATTCCGTCTGCTCCTTCTGGCTCTCTTCGACTGCTCTCCTTACGAGAGGTTCAGTCTGCGGCTACCACTGAAATTGAAGACGGAAAGGAGAGGAAGGCGGATTGGAGACGGATAGGAAAGGAAGACGGAGAAGACGAGGAAAAGGGGACGGAGAAGACGGCTTTTCATTTTCCTTTATTGTTTTTGTTTGATTTTTGTGTTCAATGTAATTACAATAACCTTTCCATCTGGCATTAAAAATTGCCACACCACTTTTAAGCGTTAGTCTAGTCAGCCATTTTGACGTTGCCGTTAAAGTTATTAACGGAATGGCTATTTTAGTGTATTTTTCAAAATTTGGCTATTATTGTTACAAAGTGAATAGTTATGGCTATGGAAGTGTATTTTACCTAATATTTTTATAAACATTTAGATAAATATCTTGATAATTGCTCACCTTGACATCTCACCACCAGCGGTCTTATTTGGAGCATCCCAACCGTAGATTATGGGATACATCTTCTGACCAGGCTCGAACGTATTCAGAGAGTTCCCCTGCATGCATGGCATCATCCATGCAACGTAGAGCTTGAATCAGAAACCCAGCAAAAAACAAAAAACCAGATCAAAACCATAACCAACACGATTCCGCCATCTCACCGTGATAACCTTGCCGTTACCCAACTTCACATTAGTTTCGAACTTCCTGTCAGTGGAGCTAGCAGCCACAGAGAGCGACCAAGGAGAGCAATTGGAGATCGTTTTAAGACCGGGGCCTTCGTTGCCAGCTGAGTTGGAAGTGAGAATTCCATTCTTCATGGAATGGAAAGCTCCAATAGCAATGGAGTCCTCAAAATAATCCTTTGCGGAACCACCAACCGAGAGCGAGATTACGTCGACTCCGTCGGCGATGGCGTCGTCGAACGCTGCTAGAATGTCGGCGTCGGAGCAGCCGCCGGCCCAGCAGATCTTGTAAACGGCGATTCGAGCGGAGGGCACGCCTCCTCGGGCCGTCCCGGAGGCGATGCCGAGGAGGCTGGCGGGTGTCACCGTACTGCCGGCTGCGGTGGATGCTGTGTGGGTCCCGTGGCCTATGGAGTCTCTGGGGGATGGGAAATCCTTTGCGGTAACCTTGACTCCGGTTTGGTAGTATCTAGCTCCAATTATCTTACTGCTCGAAAAGGAATCAAATCACGATGCAGGAAGTGGTTAAAGATCCATAATCAACTTTAGCTCGAGTTATTGATACCAGTTCGTTTATGACATGTGGTATTAGTACTGATTTGTTCTTGGAGTCACGCATTTAATTTCTCGTGATCCCTAATATTAGTCGTTGTTTCTAAAGCACGTGATATAGCAGCCATGTGCAAACTTGAGCTCGTGTATTAGTTTTTATTTGAGAGGGCGTGTAAATAAGTGATCAACAAAAGGTTAATGAAATTGGAGGGAAAATTGGGAGGGGTGAATTACTTGTTGCAGGTGAAATTGGAAGAGGACTGGCAGGTGCCCTTCCATTTCTTTGGAGGAGGGCCGTAACCTGAATCGTTGAAGCTTTGGGACTCGGGCCAAATTCCGGTGTCGAGCATTCCGATGATGATGTCGCTCTCCACGGTTGCTCTTGTGACGTTTTGGGGGAAACCCAGATAGTCCCATGATCTTGTCGTGTGGAGTTTTTTCATCTCACTAGGGAACACAGACACCACATCTTTGTACCCTGCAAACAGAAACCCAGCCAACAAATATGAGACTAGTTTGAATTCCCTGTAAAAAAAAAAGATCTTTGATTATTGAAGGAGATCAATCCGCCATTATATGATTTGGTTGAAAATGTTTTGACCCACCGGCTAGTTTGTCCTTCTGGGACTCAGTCAGCTTGGCAGCAAAGCCGTTGAAGCTCCTGTGGTAGCTGTAGACCAAGGAATCTGCCGCGAGTCTTAGGCTGGCCGGAGAAAGACAAATCCCCCATAGTTAAGTTCATGTTCAAACAGAATAGGCTGTGAAATTTCTTCTTGCTTTTTTTTTTTTTACCTGCCGGTGGCGCGGTGGAGCAAGCTGCGGTGGAGTGCGGAAGGTGGAGCATCGGCTTTAGGGCGGTCGCCCATGTACACGATGTATAACTGCAACCATGCATGCAAATTCCATCGGTCAACGACCGAAAAAGCTTAATTCTGACGTGGGGGCCAAATTAGTGGGCTGGCACTTAGGCCCACGGTACAATAATGTTTATTTTCATAATGTGGACTCTAGGGTTTGGCCCAATATTCAACATGCAAGATCCAGCTTTCTGGCAAGAACGGACAAGCCACAGTGTACATTAAATCTTTTACCACGTACTGCCACAGATTTACAGTCTAACAAGTGCCATGTAGTGAAAATATGAGGCAGACAAAGATGAGATGAAAATGGTCATGCCTTTCTGTCTTGCTGCAAGTTGTCACTGCTGCTGCCTCTGCAACTGACGACAAGGCAACAGGCGACGGCGAGAAGCAGAAGGCAGGAAGAAATTAAAGAAGTTCTCTGCATTGCCTTTCCCATGTTGGCAATGTACACTCTTTCTTCTTTTATGTGGTGATGATGATCAATGTGTTTTGTTCTCCATTGCTAACGCAGGTTGCAGTGCTTTATATAGGGGACTTTGTATATATGGCGACAAAAGTAAGAACACTGGCCAATTACAGACATCGGCATCAACCATAGGTTCAGACAAAAGATGGTATCGTTCAATATCGCTACTCCTGACGACGAGTCTTGTCCATCTCCGCTTCTCTGATTCGTCGTTACCTGTGCTGTGTATTAGTATTCGAGAAAGAAATGATTCTGTTTTAATGGATAATAAAGTAATGATTAATTTGTAGACTGAATATAGCAACATAAGATCAAACGTGGAATTCTTTCCTTGGGAAGAAAATTAACTGGAATTTACTGCTCCAACAATATTAGTCACAGGCTCATAGCCCTCTTATAGGCTCTGCTGACATTTCTTACAGAACCCGAGACCAAAAGAGAAAAATGATGGGTAGTTCAGCTCAAAAACTGTCAGATTGATTGCCGCAGAACTAGCAGAGTGATCTCTGGTTATAAGCTGCAACACCCTTGTGCTGTAGCCTTGTCCACACAAGAACTAGGCATAGTCTATTGGTTCAGCATCATATATCAGCCCAGGATTCACATCCTTGGCAGGGTTAAGCTGCCCTGCTCCATATGCAAGTTCAGCATCGGGATTGGTCTCAGAACTCATTGGAGGAGCTGCACAAGGGGATTGTTCAATTAGAAATTAGCATTAGAAGCCACATCAGGAATATGGACAGATATCTGAACTTGCTGCAGCTTGGATAATTACCTGTATTCAAGAGGGAAGACTGGATAGCAGAAGGGGAACGTGTGGGGTGAAGGGATTTTATATAAGTAGCAGCTTCACTCGCGGGGTGGACAAGCCATTGATGTTACTGAGATGTTGTTGTACGCAGAGAATCTAGGATCCTCTGGTAAGTCAATTACGGGACTGACTGGAGACCAAGCTGCTAGAATGTCAAACCCCTGCAGCGATATCTGGCTGCAACCAGTTATACATTATACCAAGGTGAGATCCTACCTGATTGAACTACTTTTGAGGATGTTTTTATACAGGAAGAGTGAATTATATTCGGACCCCCTGATGAAAAGAAAGCAACAATTAGTGCCAACTTATCATTGGCTTCTGTACTTCTCTTTATGGTAGCAGTTGCATTGCTGCAATTGCAAATTCTTTCATTTTGGTTAACTGTTTTGACCTCAATCTCATTCTACTACCTGAATCAAAGTGTTTCTGGTTGGAAGGTCTCTACAGTTAATGGATGCTAAGAATTGCTGCTGTACAGCTCAGGACATAATGTAATGTCAAAAGGAAGGGCATCTTTGGCAGTAAACGAATCAGAATTCAGAAAGATGATATTAGATTTCAATGTACATGAATCAAAGTACATTACAACTTTAATTCTATAATAATTTTAAATATATTTACTTGAACATATACTTGCATCCAGCATGCCACCAACTAAAATTTAACATAAATCAAACTCCCCCAGAAGATACACTCCCCAGTATAATGCATAATCACTCACTGAATGACATGAATGCAGCAATGGGACTCCTTACAATGTGCTTCCCATCACTCCAGATCAAAATCCCAGTTATGGTATAGTTCTTAACCACAGTGGAGACTGTCACAGCAAATGGTTTTTTCTCTCCAATAGTCCTGAAACTAAGCACACTTGGGTTGACCCGGACCTTAAGGTTTGCTGGTGCTTTTACCATGGCTTTGTAGGTTGTATTAGCTGATCCAACATTTGTAACGGTTCTGTGAAATACCCGAGTCACAGAGGCTCCTGATCTGGTTGCTGATAGAGCAAATGTGGGATAGTTTAGATCCCACACGGTTCCATTTGAAGCTGCAGAGCAAGCACTAGGATCTCCAGTGACAAGTTGGAGTTGCTTGGTCGAATACCCTTGACCGCAGAGAAATCTGATATAATCCTTCTCCGTAGCATCATACACTAGTCCAGGATCTGCAGCCTTGATGGGATCGATTTGTCCTGTCCCGTATGCTAACTCTGCCTCAGGATTATACTTGGCACTCAGGGGTTGTGCTGCATGTTAGGAAACATAGATTAATAGAAATTAACTTCAAATTGTTTCTTACTATCTTGAGAGATTATTCACAGAATTAGCTCAAGGGTAAAGCTGATATGTTTCTAGCGTAACATGAGCACCTGTTGTCATAAGAGCTGACTTAATCGCTGCAGGGGACCAAGTACGGTGGAACGATTTGACATAAGCTGCTGCTCCAGATACATGGGGGCAAGACATTGAAGTACCGGAGATGATGTTGTATGGTACAACTCTTTTGTCACCAGGGTCTCCCGTCACAGTTGTAGCCTTAGACCATGCTGCCAGTATATTTACTCCTGGTCCTGTCAAGTCCGGCTGCATATATAAAAGCTCATCAGATTAAGCTGAAGGAACCAAAACCACAAGAACCAAAACAGAGAACTAATTCATTTTTTACTTTGAGAATGTCAGGGGTAATCGTATTTGGACCCCGCGAGGAAAAGTAAACCGCGTAAGCTGGTGAGCCATCCAGGTAGTCAACCGTCTTGGATATCACTGCAGTTGGGCCACTAGCAAAAGAAATCACAAGAATTCAACAATATGTTAATTCATACATTCAACAATGTGGTGCAGCAATCCATTGGGGTTGTACCTTGTCGAGTTTGAGTATTTCACAACATCGTTTCCATCCGTTTCATTCAAGAGGGAGATGGGCAAAGAGAAAGAAAATGCCACATCTCCCTGTTCATTGTTTCCCATTATGGCTCCAACAGCACCAGCTGCTATAGCTCCATCTCCCTGGCTGGCAGCCTCACAATAAACAATTTTCCCTTGCACCAGGTTTTTATCCAAGGAGTCCGAGTAGCAATACCTGCAATTTTAAGTAATTATAATCACAAAATTAAAATGTTGCCTTCCTGTACCAATGTTTCAGAACTGATTTCAACTGTTTTTTTCATGTACTCACTTGGAAACGTTTCCATCATATCCCGCCGTCTTATTTGGTGCATCTCCACCGTATATAAGAGGGTACATTGGTTTCTTGGGCTGAAAAGTGTTGAGAGCGCTCCCCTGCATGATTGAAGTAAAAGAAGAAACAAGTTCTTATAAGGTTAAATCGTCAACTCCTAAAGCAACACAACAAAAATATTAAGAGAAAACTTGGAACTTCCATGTCTCACATTATAAGTTTTGCCATTACCCAACTTGACATTGGTCGTCAACTTTCTGTCGATGGTGTTAGCAGCAACAGTGAGTGACCAAGGAGAGCCATTGGCGACTGATCCAGGAGCAGGGCCATCGTTGCCAGCCGAGTTGGAAGTTAAGATTCCCTTCTTCATGCAATGGAAAGCCCCAATAGCGATGGGGTCGCGGAAATAATCCATTGGCCCACCACCAACTGAGAGCGAGATTATGTCGACTCCATCAGCACAAGCATCATCAAAAGCTTTTAGAATATCAGCATTTGAACAACCAAAAGACCAGCAGATCTTGTAGATAGCGATTCGAGCAGCAGGAACGCCGCCGCGGGCAGTCCCATTGGCAATGCCATAGAGATTAGCTGAGGTGACGAGGTTCCCTGCTGCAGTGGACGCAGTGTGACTTCCATGGCCTTCGGAATCCCTTGGTGAAGGGATATCGTCTGGACCGTAATCTCCTTCAGCATTGTAGTACCTAGCTCCAATAATTTTACTGTAAAAAAAGAGGGGCCATTCCAATTAAAGCTATCAAATTCCTGACCATTAGGTTATGATATTGGGGTGGACAAAAACAGAGCATAGTTTAGGGTTTAGTGTTCGTTACTTGTTACAGGTGAAATTGGAGGACGATTGGCAGCGACCCTTCCATTTCTTCGGAGGTGGGCCATATCCGGAAGCGTCGAAGCTCTGGGACTCCGGCCAGATTCCGGTGTCTAGCATTCCGATGATCATGTTGCTCTGTTGGCGGCGGGTGGATGTCGACGCATTCTTGGGGTAGCCGATGAAATCCCATGATCTCGTCGTGTGGAGTTTCACGATCTTGTTGGGGAACACAGAAACTACACCTTCATAGGCTGCCGTAAAGAAAGGAAAAAGAGTAAGCCATTGAAGCTCCGACGGCAGGGGAAAGGAAACGTGAGAGGAAGAAAAAAAAAAGAAAACCTACCGGAAAGTTTCTGATGCTCGGCCTGTGTTAGTCTGGCAGCGAAGCCGTTGAAGCTCCGATGGTAGCTGTAAATCAAGGAATCTGAGGCGACCCTAGCACTGCCGATGATGCGTCGAAGCAAGTTGATGTGGAGCTCGGGAAGAGTTAGAGAACCTTGGCTCTTTGGACGGTCGCCCATGTATGCTATATACACCTGGCAACACGGAGACAGAGTCCACAGCCAAATTTCATATTTAGTGTACTTCTTTCTTGGCACGGTGCAGATTAGTCCTAGAAGTATACCTACCTTACCAAATGAACTCTATATTATTCTTATTGTGAACATTTTAGTCCCATTGTTTTGTCTTTGTATACTAAATCATGAAGATGTGATGTTGAGTGTTTACGAATCGAATATTCAATACTTATCCGGTGTATACTAAGTACTCATGAACTAGGATACAAATGTGTACTAAACTATGTCATGAAGTATAATTTAGTGACAAATGTTTATGTACAATGTTATATGATATATGTGTATAAAATGCCACATGATAATGTTGATAAATAGGGGTTGGATGTGTATCAATTAGGAGAGGATGAATTTGTTCTCGTAAAAAGGATTCTCTAAGAGATGCGAATGAAAATCATAAATGTTTGAACACTAGAAAAATTAGAGTCTATATGAGTTTATCTACGCTTGCCAACACGGACGGTGGTACTCCAACAACTACCATCTAGATTAGGAGGCCATCATATAATCCTCTTCCTAAATTTATTTTTTTCAATCTCGTCCATTGAGTTATTTTTAACAAGTCCCATAGTTTAACATTTAGAAAACAAAACAATAACGAACTTGAATAAATCAGCGCCATGAAAAAATCAGTGATTGAAAGGAAGAAACTCCATTGACAGAAGAAGTAATAAGGAAACTACAAGACTTATATTTATGGGGCATGCCTTTCGATCTTGAACAGAAGTGGCTGGACAGCAAGCAATCATGAGCAAGAAGAAGGCACAGTAGGCAATCTTGAGGGCCAGAAGCCGCGAGGATGGAGAACTGCTGTACATGGCTGCCTTACCAAGGTTTCTTTAGATTGGAGGAAAGATGTCTGTTTCCACTTTCCAGTTTAGGAATAGAGGGTTTTATAAGGATGGTAATGGAGAAGGGAAAACATTAAAACACCATTCCAAAATTACAGATCATTAGTCCTCCGCAGAGACTGAAGAAGACAGGAATTGATATCAATGAACCAGGCTGCAGAAGTTCTCCCCCCTGATTAATTCCATGTCGTATTGTGATTTGGAGAACCAAAAACTGACTTATTCTCCATTGTATATTTTTCAAGCTAAGGATACGATCTACTAATGACTATTTTTTTTGTTATGTGGAGAATCAAAAATCCGACTTTTTTACCCTTATAAGAAAAAATTTACTGGTTTGAACACTCAAGAACTATTCATCTTAAATTGTTGGAAGATTTATGAAAATGAATCTTATATCAATACGTTACATAAACAACAAAGAATCAAATCTATTGTGGTTCAGCATATATTAGATTTATTTGTCATGGTTAAAGCCTAAAAGATGTTCTACTCAAAGATATTGAATTTCTTGAAGTTAATTACTTTGTTAGTTCTTGGAACTCCAAGAACTCCATCAAAAGGAAGCCAAAGCAATTGCCTAGATTCTAAAGCAATGAACTTTTTTCTTAAGATAATGGCAAAATTAATTAAAATGGGAACAGAAATGAAGTAGAGATACAGCAAGAGATGCAGCAAAGTCTCATTATGAACGAGACTAAGGACCCTTGAAAACACACAAGAAGAGCCTAACATATGGGGAAAGAGACACCTCACATCTTGGCGGCAAAAACAGTAAAAAATAGTCAAGAAGGAGAAGAATCAGAGCCAACCTAGCTATCCATTCTCTCAATTTTCGTTATTGCCTGCAACCACTGAATCCATGCACCAACAATTCTGCAGCTGACCACTTTACTCGTGTACTCTTTCCCTCGAACGGTTGTTCCTTTCTTTCCATAGAAACAAACAAACTGCGTGGAGAGCATTCGCCGAAAACCATCCCGAAGGGCAAGATGAAGACAGGGTAGGTCACATTCTAATGATATCAATGATGCTCGTAAGTTGAAGAGTATGTAGTGAGATAGCAAGGTCAACCCGCTGCCAAACATCCTGTGAAAAAAGGGCACTGAATTAGTAGATGGTCTGTTGTTTCTTCGTTGTTGAGGCAGAGGCAGCATCGACTAGATATGTTTCATCCACCTCGCTTCATTGTTTCTTCGTTGTTAATGCGTTAAGATGCTCTGATAGTACACAAACCAAATAAATCCACAAACTTTCAAGGGGATCTTGTGTCTCCAAATCATACTTGAAGGGGATGTATTATCACCCCGGAAATTTATCATGAGCCAAACGCCTGCACATAGAATTAACATAAAAGGTATCAGAAGAATTCCGCAACCAAACTTGATGAGAAGGACCATAAGTCAACACATAATCAGGAAGTAGGTTTAAGACATTTAAGCAGTGAAATTTAAATTGGTGTTTGGGACTTATCCAGCATGAACGAGAGAGAACATTGTGCCGTTCAAGTCCAACGTATTGATAGAAACACCCTACACAAGAGAGCGAGACAAAGCACAACATCTGAGAAGCCAAAATTTTCCAACTCAGGGAACTATAAGCTAGAATCTAGATGAGTTCACTGGACCAACTGAATTCGGATCATTCCCCAACATCACCATCGTTAATCTGCACATGAACCTGCAACATTTTACCTATCTATCAACTATAATAATACACGTGAACTAACGCCATGATTTAGTGTAGCTGTACAACTACGGTTGCCTTGTGATCGATTGGGTGAAAGACCTGTAAAAATAAAAGTGTCCAGTTTGAAGGTATCTACAGTTAATGGATGCCAAGAATTGCTGCTACAGAGTCAAGACATAAAGTAATGTCTAACGTCGCAGAATCTTTGGCAGTAAGCGAATCAATCATAAAGATGATAGTAGATTTCAATGTTGATGAATCAAAGTACATTACAACTTTAATCCTACAATAATTTCAAATGTATTTAGTAGAACATATACTTACATCCAGCATGCCACCAACTAAAATTTTCTCATAATCAAACTTCCCAACAGATACAGTCCCCAGCTTAATGCATAATCACTCACTGAATGACATAAATGCGGCAATGGGACTCCTTACTATGTGCTTCCCATCACTCCAGACCAAAACCCCAGATATGGTATAGTTCTTAACCACAGTAGAGACTGTCACAGCAAATGGCTTTTTCTCCCCAGTAGTCTTGAAACTAAGCACACTTGGGTTAACCCGAACCTTAAGGTTTGCCGGTGCCTTTACCGTGGCTTTATATGTCGCATTTGCTGATCCAACATTTGTGACGGTTCTGTGAAATACCCGAGACACAGAGACTCCTGATCTGGCTGCTGATAGAGCAAAAGTAGGGTAGTTTAGATCCCACACGGTTCCATTTGTTGCCGCAGTGCAAGCACTCGGATCTCCAGTGACAAGTTGGAGTTGCTTGGTCGAATACCCTTGGCTGCAGAGAAATCTGATATAATCCTTCTCCCTAGCATCATATACTAGTCCAGGATCTGCAGCCTTGATTGGATCAATTTGTCCTGTCCCGTATGCTAACTCAGCCTCAGGATTATACTTGGCACTCAGGGGTTGAGCTGCATTTCAGGAAATATTGATTAGTAGAAATTATTTTCAATTGAGATTTTCGCCAACTTAGCTCAAGGGTAAAGCTAATATATTTCTAGAATAACATGAGCACCTGTTGTCATAAGAGCTGACTTAATCGCAGCAGGGGACCAAGTACGGTGGAACGATTTGACATAAGCAGCTGCTCCAGATACATGGGGGCAAGACATTGAAGTACCGGAGATGATATTGTATGGGACAACTCTTTTGTCACCAGGTTCTCCCGACACAGTTGTAGCCTTAGACCATGCTGCCAGTATATTTACTCCTGGTCCTGTCAAGTCGGGCTGCATATATATAAGCTAATCAGATTAAGCTGAAGGAACCAAAATCACAAGACCCAAAACTAAGAACTTATTCATGTTTTACTTTAAGAATGTCAGGGGTTATCGTATTTGGACCCCTCGAGGAAAAGTAAACCGCGTAAGCGGGTGAGCCATCCAGGTAGTCAACCGTCTTGTATATCACGGCAGTTGGGCCCCTAGCAAAAGAAATCACAAGAATTCAACATGAAGTTCACTCATACATTCAACAATATGGTGTAGTAATCTATTTGTGTTGTACCTAGTTGAGTTTGAGTATTTCACAACATTGTTTCCATCCGTTTCATTCAAGAGAGAGACGGGCAAAGGGAAAGGAAACGCCACATCTCCCTGATCATTGTTTCCCATTATGGCCGCAACGGCACCAGCAGCTATAGCTCCATCTCCCTGGCTGCCAGTCTCACAATAAACAATTTTCCCTTGCACCAGGTTTTTATCCAAAGAATCCGAGTCGCAATACCTGCAATGTTTAGTAATGATAATGACGAAATTACATTGTTGCTTTCGTGTATAAATGTTTAGGAACTGGTTTCAGCCCTTTTTCATGTACTTACTTGGAAACGTTTCCATCATATCCTGCCGTCTTATTTGGTGCATCTCCACCGTAGATAAGAGGGTACATCGGTTTCTTGGGCTGAAAAGTGTTGAGAGCGCTCCCCTGTATGATTGATATAAAAGAAGAAGCAAGTTCTGGTATGGTTAAATCGTTAATTCCTAAAGCAACACAACAGAAATATCAAAAGAAAACTTGGAACTTCCATGTCTCACATTATAAATTTTGCCATTACCCAACTTGACATTGGTCGTCAACTTTCTGTCAATGGTGTTAGCAGCAACAGTGAGTGACCAAGGAGAGCCATTGGCGACCGATCCAGGAGTAGGGCCACTGTTGCCAGCCGAGTTGGAAGTTAAGATTCCCTTCTTCATGCAATGGAAAGCCCCAATAGCAATGGGGTCACGGAAATAATCCATTGGCCCACCACCAACTGAGAGCGAGATTATGTCGACTCCATCAGCACAAGCATCATCAAAAGCTTTTAGAATATCAGCACTTGAACAACCAAAAGACCAGCAAATCTTGTAGACAGCGATTCGAGCAGCTGGGACCCCGCCTCGGGCAGTCCCATTGGCAATGCCATAGAGATTAGCCGAGGTGACAAGGTTCCCTGCAGCAGTGGATGCAGTGTGACTTCCATGGCCTTCCGAATCCCTTGGTGAACGGATATCGTCTGGACCGTAATCCCCTTCAGCATTGTAGTACCGTGCTCCAATTATCTTACTGTAAAAAAAAGGTTCATTCCAAGTAAAGCTATCAAATTCCAGACTATTAGGGCCATTCTAATTAAAGCTATCAAATTGGGGTGGACAAAAACAGAGCATAGTTAGGGTTTAGTTTTCGTTACTTGTTACAGGTGAAATTGGAGGACGATTGGCAGTGACCCTTCCATTTCTTCGGAGGTGGGCCGTATCCGGAAGCGTCGAAGCTCTGCGACTCCGGCCAGATTCCGGTGTCGAGCATTCCGATGATCATGTTGCTCTGTTGGCGGCGGGTGGATGTCGACGCATTCTTCGGGTAGCCGATGAAATCCCATGATCTCGTCGTGTGGAGTTTCACGATCTTGTTGGGGAACACAGAAACTACGCCTTCATAGGCTGCCGTAATGAATGGCAACAGAGTAAGCCATTAAAGCTCCGGCGATGACGGGGGAAAGGAAACGTGAGAGAAAGAACAAAAGAAAACCCACCGGAAAGTTTCTGAAGCTCGGCCTGTGTTAATCTGGCAGCGAAGCCGTTGAAGCTCCGATGGTAGCTGTAGATCAAGGAATCTGAGGCGACCCTAGCACTGCCAATGATGCGTCGAAGCAAGTCGATGTGGAGCTCGGGAAGAGTTAGAGAACCTTGGCTCTTTGGACGATCACCCATGTATGCTATATACACCTGGTAACAGAGTCCACAGCAAAATTTCATATTTAGTATACTCTTTTTTTGGGCACGGTGCAGACTAGTCCTTGAAGTCTACCGTCCTTACCAAATGAACTCCATATTATTCTTATTGTTAACAGTTTAATCCTATTGTCTTGTCTTTGTATACTATGTCATCTAGATGCGATGTTGAATGTTTACGAATTGAACATTTATTCAGTGTATGCTAAATATTCATTAACTAGGATACAAATGTGTATAGACTATGTCGTGACTTATAATTCAGTGACAAATGCATATACACAATATTATATAATAATGTGTACAAAATGTCACATGTTCATGGTTATAGGTAGTAGTTGGGTGTGTATCAACTAGGACTTGATGAGTTTGCTTTCGTAAAACATGATTCTCTAGTACTGGATGCGAATGAAAACCATAAATGTGTGAAAACCAAAAATATCATGAGTCTTGTTGAGTTTTTCTTTGTTGATAACAATGGCGGTGGCACTCCAACAACTACCATCTACGTGGATTAGAAGAACATTTCCTCTTTTTAAAATTATTTTTTTAATCTCGTACATTAAATTATTTTATATCAGTCTAGTATTAACGTTGAGGATACGAAATATTAAAAGAAACTTAAAACGATGCAATAAACCACTACCAAGAACGAATCAGTAATGATCATGATTGGATGGAAAAAAACTCTATTGACAGAAGTAAGAAAACCAAAAAGTTATTGGGGCATGCCTTTCGATCTTGAACAGAAGTGGCTCGACAGCAAGCAATCATGAGCAAGAACAAGGCACAGCAGGCAAGCTTGAGGGCCAGAAGCCGGGAGGATGGAGAACTGCTACTTGTCCCTGTTATACCCATGGCTGCCTTATAGGAATTGTTTAGATTGGAGGAAAGATGTCTCTTTCCAGTTTAGGGCTTAGGGTTTTATAGATAGTAATGGAGAAGGGAAAACAATAAAACACCATTCCAAAATTAGAGATCATTGGCCTTCTGCAGAGAGACTGAAAAAGACAGGAATTGATATCAATGAACCAGGCTGCAGAAGTTCTCCCCTGATTAATTCCATGTCTTTGTCAATGCTCAATGTTATATTATGTGGAGAACCAAAAACCAACTTATTCTCCATTGTATCTTTTTCAAATTATAGAGGACGATATTTTATCATGTGGAGAACCAAAAACTGACTTATTATGCATTTGTATTTTCTTAATTCAAACTTAAAGATACAATCTACTTATTTGAAACGTGAATAATTAGTTGTCTCCGTCGTTTGAGTTGTTGGAAGATTTTCAAAAATAAAAATTATATTAATTTAGGATTTAAAATAAATAAAAAAACCAAATGTATTGCGGTTAACCATATTTTAGATAATTTTTTTGTCATAGTTAAGGCCTAAAAATGTTTTACACTAAGATATTAAATTCCTTAATTTTGTTACTTCTTGCTCAAGTGAAGGGATGTCAATCCAACCCGTAATCATGGGTACCCTACCCGACCGTAATCGGTCAACGAGGATAATTACCCGTTTTGACGGGTTAAGGGGCGGGTACGGGTAATACCCGGTTTCAAAATAAAGGGTAGGGTACGGGTATGATAATCGATAATACCCGCCCTGCTAATCAAAGGGTCAATTTCCCTTGAGAAATTTAGTTTAGCTTGAGAAATTGAGTTTAGCTACCATTATTAATGATGAGATGTAGACGATTATTATGTTTGTGTGGATTGTAGAAGCAAGAACAATTATTATGTGTTTGCTGTTTTTATTTGTGTGGATTGTTGAAGTTAGAATAGTTACAAGTATTGAGAATTTTTAATGGACAACCGTATGTATGTGCATATATGTATATAAGTTCATAGTTTAGGATTCGTACTCGTGGTTACCCGGTGGGTAGGGTATTGTTATATAATTTCTATACCCGGTGGTTATTTGGTCGGATATTTTAGAAGGCTCTACCTGACGGATTAGGAGTTGGTATATGGTAAACCCACACCCGACCCTACCCATCGCCATCCCTTCAAGCCTCAAGAGTATCCTCTGACCCACGAGAACAAGCCCGCTGAAATCGTTGGGCCTAAGTCCAGCGTCAATTTTACCTCAAAATGATCCGACTGTTTCTTTGGGCCAACAACATAACAGTGACTCCGGCCCGTGAATACCCGAACCCCCCAAAATTTCGCTCCTAAATCCAAACAAACAGCCGTTTCGCATGCCCTTTCGTCCCTTATTTCTCTGGCTCTGGGTTTTTTCCCCTCTCTTTCTCTCTCTTCCCCTGCCTCCTCCTCCCTTCCAACCTTTCTCTCCCTCAGGTGGAAGAACAAAAGAAAAAAAAATGGAAACAACCAAAATCCAATAGCCAAAAGAAACCCAAAACAACCAATAAGCGTCAAACTTTTTTCCGCCATATTTTTATGGTATTTCCCCCCTGCCGATAACTTCTTCCCCACCTGTTCTTAGATTTTCTTCCCTCCCTGATTCTGTTTTCCGGTTGGCAGGCTGAACCCAGAATCAGAACAGCAACAAAATGGCGTACAAAGTGGATCACGAGTACGATTACCTCTTCAAGATCGTCTTGATCGGCGACTCCGGCGTCGGCAAATCCAACATCCTCTCCAGATTCACCCGCAACGAGTTCTGCCTCGAATCCAAATCCACCATCGGCGTCGAATTCGCCACCAGGACCCTCCAGGTATATTATACCCCATCTCATATCATTCCAATGCGCATCCATTTCTTATCATTCTCTCCGATCTGGCCATGGAATCGGATTCTGAATTCTGGGCATTCGTCAATTTTTCACCTTTTGAAAAAAAAAATCAGGTGGAAGGGAAAACGGTGAAGGCGCAGATATGGGACACGGCCGGGCAAGAGAGGTACAGAGCAATTACAAGCGCGTACTACAGGGGAGCCGTGGGAGCGCTACTGGTCTACGACATAACGAAGCGGCAGACGTTCGACAACGTGCTGCGGTGGCTCCGCGAGCTGCGCGACCACGCGGACTCCAACATCGTGATCATGATGGCCGGGAACAAGTCCGATTTGAACCACCTGAGGGCGGTGTCGGCGGAGGACGCCCAGATGTTGGCGGAGAAGGAAGGGCTCTCGTTCCTCGAGACGTCGGCGCTCGAAGCGTTCAATGTGGAGAAGGCATTTCAGACGATCTTGCTTGACATCTACCAGATCATCAGCAAGAAGGCGTTGGCCGCTCAGGAAGCGGCCAATGCCTCTGGAGTGCCGCAGGGGAAGTCCATTAACGTCGCCAATCTCAATGGTAACGCTAACAATAAAACCTGCTGCTCCAATTGATCTGAGTTTCCGGATTTTTCATTTTCCATTTTTTGCCCTGAATTCATCTGTTAATTTTTGTTTGATCTCTATTGGGTTTCTGCTTTCTGCTTGTTTACGGGTCCGTAATGTATTCGATGATGGTAGAGCTTTTTAGTTTGTGATGATCAAAGAGAGAAATGGGTAGACAAGAATTTTTCCTTTTGTTCCTTTTGTTTTTGTGTTTTGTGTGTTTTTGGCTGTCGATGGTTAGTATAGGTGGGGGTTAAGTATTTGTAAGGATTTTGTATGATCATTACTGTTTGTGCTTGTAATCACTAATCATATGCTAATTTCTGTCACATTCACTAATTGTTTAATGTTAATTGTGATAGTAATGAATTTTTTTCTCAAGTTATTGCCTTGTACACATATTGTTGGTTGGGGATTATGTGCTCTACTATTGCAAGTAAAATGATTGTTCTCTATGTAAAGTGCAGCTAAAGAGAAATATTTAGAACACTGGGATTAGTTCAGCAATAGATAAACATTGAGCTTATGTTAAGGTTGTCAACATGGTTTTAACAATTAGTCCGGTTGAGAAAGTGATTTAAGGATTGATGATCGAATTGGTTTAGGCTAATAACTCAAATATGTATATATAAAAAGTGGCTTCTGTTGTATTTGGGTGAATCTAGGACACTGCATATCTTTAGTAAAAAACACTATCTAGACTAACTAGATTTGGGATATGATACTATATACTTAAACCTAACAACTAAGTTGCACCGGTGTACAATGCAGTTAAAAGTGCGATTCTACCTAAAAGCGGAAAATGGGTAAAATCGTAAAACGTAGAATCAAAGCGTAAAAGCGTAAGTTTTTGACGCACCCTCTAAAATAGCTAAAAATATGTTAAGTACAACATATAGTATGTAAAATGCGAGTGTGTAGATTTTAGATAAGTGAATAACTACATGAAATTCATAATTAAAATGTAATATCTAACACATAAACTAATTTGTGTTGACTCAAAAGTATAGAAAACTCATAACATCTTAATAATAAGCTCATAAACGTAGATCGTAACCCGTAAACGAGCTTGAGAATCCAAATTCTCATAAGTTGGTTTGAGTTTACATAATTACATACGATCAATTACCCATAAACTTTTATCATAACCCAGGTAAGAGCCACATGTGAAGATTAAGGGAGAAGACTGATAGAAGGTTAGCGACCGTTGAGAATACCATTAGGTGTCTTTTCAACCTAATGTGAAGCCCCTATCTCGACACTAGTTGTAGAACGAGTGATGAATCATGTTTTTTTTTTTTTTGCTGTTATGTCTCCAAAATTACATCATTTTGGGCCAATTAGCACATTTTTATGAGATGATCAAAATGGTATAAAAACGCTTCGGAATCGCGATTTTATCAATTTTAAGCGATTTTACTGATTTTACCCATGTTTTTACCAATTTTTGTGACTAAGCGATTTTAGGTAGAAACTGAAACGTTTTGGTGACTTGGATAAGTAAAAACGTAAGTTTTTACGTTTTAATGCGCGATTTTGACTGCACTGCCGGTGTATTGTCAATCTTGTTAACAACATGAGGGAAAAGAGGAATATCTAATAAGCCTAACATTTTTGGCCAAATAAAAAAAAAGTCTCCAAATTTATATTCAAAATTTTGTTGCTATATATCTCAGTCTAATTGATCAATTTCATCTTCCATGATGCCCAAAAACTATGATTCATTTGGGTTTACAAGATTGAATAAACTAAGTATACTTGGAAAAAAATAATTTCACTCCATGAACAAGTTCTTCAATCACATGAAACATTCATGAACGATGGTGGTACCGAATCCCATAGTAATGTGACACAAAAAAATTGGCTTACAATAACGCGACACATGGCTGTAGACATGTTCATTAAAATAAACTTGTATTTTGCTTACATATAAAATGGGTATGATTGTCTAAATTACTTAAATCTCAATTTTCCGTGTAAAAATATTTGAATTTGGAATTGAAATAAAAGATATATGGACTAACTAAAAATGATAGTGAAATTGAAAACAGAGAAGAAAAAAGTGAATAATTTGACTTGAGAACTAAAGCTGATAAATTAAACTAGCTTTGTGCTCGGCCAATGGCCGGATAAATTTTGTTATTAATAATTAATTAATTATTAAAATTTCAGTTAATTAGTATTTTATATATATGAGACCCCTTATATCTATAAAATTTGTGTTTTTATCGATAGAAGTTTGTGTCCGTGTTCCATACGGCTTACAACGTCGAGTCCAAGCTGCCTGACGCCTGTCCCGCTATCTCGAATTCTCATGTTTTGTTTCCTTGTCATGGAAGAAACGGTTTTCGTGTCTTGTTAGGGTTTCACCCTAGTTTAATATATACATATGAGTGGTTCTATTGTACATTGGTTAATATTAAATGTATGATATACCTTGAGTACGAAAAATAATATTTAGACTTTGGATCAATCGGACTATCGGAGTTTGGCATATGATGCTATTCCCAAACCCTTAAGATTAAAATCTAGGTCTTAATTCTATAAATCTCATACACTAAAATCAATTTTGGGATAAAAAAAACGGTGATCTTGCGGGAGTTGTTTATGATGGGTAGAATTTTTTTTAGTGAGAATCAATTGTGATTGGTTGAATCAGGATGCTGACGTGGATGAATAAGGAAAGAGTAAATTTGAAATGGAGAGGCCTGTTACTGGAAAGTGTATAATATATTCTTCAGATTTAGATAAATTTTTATTGTCTTCTCTTTCTCGCCCTTAAGAGAGAGGTGAATAATTAGCTTAATAAAAGTCTAATTATTCGAGAAATCTTTTGAACTACAAATAAAATCTTCAGTTATTGGAATTGTGAAGGTCATTAAACGAAAAAAGGAAATGGTAGTAGAGTACGATCCAATAGAGAAACAATTGGGAGAGAAAGATAAATTTATTTTAGCTTTGTTAATTTTGTCACTATAACCTTGCCCGAGAATGATAAGAGATTAAAAAATTTGAAATGAAAAAAAGTATATAGAAGTGTACCGTCTGTATTAATTATTAGAGGATTGAAGATAAGACCTTCCAACAATACTAAAAAATGCACACGTCATTTCAAATCTTCAATAGTTATCTCATGCGGGGAAATACTGCAACTGGAAAATGCAAAACATTAATCGACTAAAGAGAATCAAGATGCAAATGAATCCATTAGTTGAAGTTGAATCGCCGATCATATCAAGCAAACATGACGAAGGGACTGGCCTTAGTCTTTACTCTTTATCCGATCCATTCAAAATAGAACAGCTCCCTTGTCTTTACTCTTTATCCGATTCATTCAAAACATGACGAAAGGACTGGCCTTAGTCTTTACTCTTTATCCGATCCATTCAAAACAGAACAACTCCCTTGTCTTTCACTGCGAGAGTTGCCCAATTTAGTAAGATTATGTCATTCTATAAATTGATTCCCAGGACACTTTTGAAACCCAAACTCATAAACTCCAAGCACGTACGAGAGAGAGAGAGAGAAAAGGAGAAAGCAGGCGATGGAAATGGATAATGTGCTGCATATGAACGGGGGCATGGGAGAGACGAGCTACGCTAAGAACTCCTTGCTTCAGGTAAATTAAATGATAGAGATACAGTTGAGTAGCATTTTTTTTAAAAGGAGTTGAGTAGCTCTTTTACGTGTTTGCAAAACCGTATTATATATATAGAGAGAGATCGATCGAAAAATTGCCTATTAAAATCCACGTCGGTAAATAATTTTATCGGAATGAAAAAATTGAATCATGATTAAACTAATGTTTAAGTACAAAATACCTTATTACTGAAATTTTCGATAAGACTTTACAATCCTTGGCTTTATTTTTTAATATATCATACTGTGGTATTGCATATTAGTTTGAGTTCTACTTTTATTTTGTAGTAAAACTATTGGTATTTACTAATTAAACGAGTATTAGAGACTTCTTTATAAGGACAATATATGTTTATTTTTACTAAATCGCTAAATGTCGCCCTTAAAAATGTTAACGGTTGCCCTAACTCTAATAATAAATTATCTATATACCACCAATGAAATTTCAAAATTTAAACAAACCAAACAATCCCTAACTCCTCAAACCCAACCCTTCGTCTGCCTTCTTCCCGAATCCCTCCCGGCGCACTAGTTCGCCGACGACCAGTCCGTCGACACCTTTCTCGTCATCGTCGCCCGTTCCCTACCAAAATTTCCAAAAAAACACTCAACCTAAGACAAGTTGTTGTTGGTCCATGGTGCAACCGCAAGTGAGTTGCGGTCCCTTTTTTTTGTTTTTGGAGTGAACTTTACCTCGTCGGAAAAGTTACTCATGATTCAGACGTCCTATCGACAATTCCAGCTCCAGAATGACAATGATGGATTCTTTCTCTCTTGGATAATTTTTTTTTCTTTGTTTATTCTAAGTGGTGTTTGTTTCCTAAAGGGAAAGTAAAGAAGCTAACTACTTAAAAGTTAAAAGATATGTGACCTCAAGATTCAAAACAAGTGGTAATACGTCTAGATTAGCCCTTCACGATCATATCAATTGATACACAATAATTTCAAATATGTATTATCATGGTACTAGACTACTCATACTCTTTGTAACAAAACATGGAAGCGAGTCCAATCAAGAGTAACGAATTTGACTTTGACGCTAGACTAAATTGTTATTTGACCAATTGAAAATTTTGTCTTGCAGTGGAAAGGGATAGCAACCACTCTGCCGATAATAAAGAAAGCCATAGCAGAACTGATGTGCAACTCGAGCTTCCCCATAGGCAGGCTAGCAATCGCAGATCTGGGCTGCGCTTCAGGGCCCAACTCCTTCTTCCTCGTCTCCGAGGTAATCAAGGCTGCCCACAAGCTTTCCAGGGAGTTGGGCCACGAATCCACCGACCAATTTCAGATCTTTCTGAATGACCTCCCTGGAAATGACTTCAACAACATCTTCCGTTCTATACAAGGATTCAAAGAGAAAATTATGGAAGAAATGGGGTCCTGCACTGATTCTGAACCAATATTGATGTTCATCATTGGAGTCCCAGGTTCCTTCTATGATAGGCTTTTCCAAACTGACAGCCTCCATTTCATTCACTCTTCCTATGGTGTTCACTGGAGCTCTCAAGTTCCTCGAGGTTTGGAGGAGAACAAGGGAAATATTTACATGGCCAAAACCAGCCCTCAATGTGTCATGGAAGCCTATTACAAACAGTTTCAGACAGACTTTTCATCTTTCTTAAAGCATAGGGCTCAAGAATTGGTGACAGGAGGACGAATGGTCCTGACCTTCTTTGGAAGGAGAAGTGCAGAACCTTGTGCCAAAGAGTGTTGCTACATTTGGGAACTTATGTCCATGGCTCTCAACCAAATGGCATCGGAGGTACTTACTGTTATATGTTAGTACGTGATATAAAATTCATGATCAAATCTTTTATAATAATTTGAGTTATTAGAATCAACTCGTTCTTGACACATGAATAAAAGAGAAGAAGATATAAGTGTTTTCATTTTAAAATCAAACTTGTTTTTTAGGTACATTTGGAAAATTATTCGTCATGCTCTCTCTTGCAGGGGTTGATAGATCAGGACAAATTGGATTCCTTCAATCTCCCATTGTTCACTCCATCCGCCATGGAAGTGGAAACCGAGATCCAAAAACAGGGGTCCTTTGCCGTTGAACACCTAGAGTTGTGGGATATGAGTTGGAATGCCTACGAGGGGGAAGTGGATTTGCCTGAAGCCCTTCGAGATGGTGGCTACAACGTTTCCAGGTGCATGAAGGCGCTGTTTGAGCCAATAATTGCCCATCGGTTGAACCCGCCGAGGGAAGTCATCAACGAGGTTTTCAAGAGGTGTGGTCTCCTTCTCTCAGATTGGATGGCCAACGAGAGAGCTGTTCTCGTGAGTTTGACTGTCTCGCTCACTAAGCGAGGTTGATGGCAAAATTGGAAGGAATCGAAACATGCACAAGAGTGATTCATGTTTCTTGGAATGTTGATCGTTGTAATAGTTAAAATTATCGGTGGAAAATAAAACTAAGGGTGGTTTTCTTTGTAAATTTGAAAAATGAAGTCTTGGTTAAATTTTGGGTTTAATAAAATCATGAATCTATGATGAAATTTGTCCATTTGATTTTGGAAAAAACCATCATCTGCTTGTTAATTAATTTCATGATGGATTTTACTTAGTTATATAATTAATATACCTTATTGCCTATATAAATCATTATGTATTTTTATATTGTAATTTTTGTTATACACCTTACATCTCATAGGTGGGGATAAAAGAGTAAAGAGACATCATGTATTAGAGACCCTAACACAAATTTCACTCTTTGGACTGGAATTTTCAAGTCATGTGAAATCCACAGATTTAGACCCACAAAAAATCATGGGTAGCACATGTTTATTCCTCCTAATTGTATTCAACAAACAATGGACTTTGTCCAAATTATATGAAGATTTTAAGTTTGATATACCAAATCCATGATTTGCTCAGGTAACGCTAACAATAAAACATGCTGCTCCAATTGATCTGAGTTTCCGGATTTTTCCTTTTGTTCCTTTTGTTTTTGTGTTTTGTGTGTTTTTGGCTGTCGATGGTTAGTATAGGTGGGGGTTATGTATTTGTAAGGATTTTGTATGATCATTACTGTTTGTGCTTGTAATCACTAATCATATACTAATTTCTGTCATATTCACTAATTGTTTAATGTTAATTGTGATAGTAATGAATTTTTTTCTCAAGTTATTGCCTTGTACACATATTGTTGGTTGGGGATTATGTGCTCTACTATTGCAAGCAAAATGATTGTTCTCTATGTAAAGTGCAGCTAAAGAGAAATATTTAGAACACTGGGATTAGTTCAGCAATATATAAACATTGAGCTTATGTTAAGGTTGTCAACATGGTTTTAACAATTAGTCCGGTTGAGAAAGTGATTTAAGGATTGATGATCGAATTGGTTTAGGCTAATAACTCAAATATGTATATATAAAAAGTGGCTTCAGTTGTACTTTGGGTGAATCTAGGACACTTCATATCTTTAGTAAAAAACACTATCTAGACTAACTAGATTTGGGATATGATACTATATACTTAAACCTAAAAACTAAGTTGCACCGGTGTATTGTCAATCTTGTTAACAACATGAGGGAAAAGAGGAATATCTAATAAGCCTAACATTTTTGGCCAAATAAAAAAAAAGTCTCCAAATTTATATTCAAAATTTTGTTGCTATAAATCTCAGTCTAATTGATCAATTTCATCTTCCATGATGCCCAAAAACTATGATTCATTTGGGTTTACAAGATCGAATAAACTAAGTATACTTGGAAAAAAAATAATTTCACTCCATGAACAAGTTCTTCAATCACATGAAACATTCATGAACAATGGTGGTACCGAATGCCATAGTAATGTGACACAAAAAAATTGGCTTACAATAACGCGACACATGGCTGTAGACATGTTCATTAAAATAAACTTGTATTTTGCTTACATTTAAAATGGGTATGATTTTCTAAATTACTTAAATCTCAATTTTCCGTGTAAAAATATTTGAATTTGGAATTGAAATAAAAGATATATGGACTAACTAAAAATGATAGTGAAATTGAAAACAGAGAAGAAAAAAGTGAATAATTTGACTCGAGAACTAAAGCTGATAAATTAAATAATTTTGATTGTCTTCTTTTTCTCTCCCTTAAGGGAGAGGTGAATAATTAGCGTAATAAAAGTCTAATTATTCGAAAAATCGTTAAACTACAAATAAAATCTTCGGTTATTGGAATTGTGAAGGTTATTAAACGAAAAAAGAAAATGATAGTAGAGAACGATTCAATAGAAAACCAATTGGGAGAGGAAGAGAGATTTATTTTAGCTTTGTTGATTGCCACTATAACCTTGCCTGACAATAAGAAAAGATTAACAAATTTGAAATGGAAAAAAGAATACAGAAGTGTACTATATTAATTATTAGAGGATTGATGATAAGACCTTCCAACAATACTAAAAATGCACATGTCACTTCAAATCTTCAATAGTTATCTCAAGCGGGGGAAATACTACAACTGGAAAATGCAAAACATTAATCGACTAGTGAGAATCGAGATGCAAATGAATCCATTAGCTGAAGTTGAATCGCCGATAAGATCAAGCAAACATGACGAAAGGACTGGCCATTAGTCTTTACTCTTTATCCGATCCATTCAAAACTAAACAGCTCCTTTGTCTTTCACCGCGAGAGTTGCCCAATTTAGTAAGATTAAGTCCTTCTATAAATTGATTCCCAGGACACTCTTGAAACCCAAACCCATAAACTCCAAGCACGTACGAGAGAGAGAAATGGATAATGTGTTGCATATGAATGGGGGCATGGGAGAGACTAGCTACGCTAAGAACTCCTTGCTTCAGGTAAATTAAATGGTAGAGATATAGTTGAGCAGCATTTTTACGTGTTTGCAAAACCGTATTGTACATATATATAGATTGATCGAAAAATTGCCTACAAAATCCACGTCGGTAAATGATTTTATCGGAATGAAAAGTTGAATCACGATTAAACTAATGTTGAAGTACAAAATACCTTATTACTTAAATTTTCTATAAGACTTTACAATCCTTGACTTTATTTTGTAATTTATCATACTGTGGTATTGCATATTAGTTTGAGTTCTACTTTTATTTTGTAGTAAAACTATTGGTATTTACTAATTACAAAATATATGTTTATTTTGCAGTATTAGAGAATTCTTTATAAGGACAATATATGTTTATTTTTACTGAATAGCTAAATGTCGCCCTTAAAAATGCTAACGGTCGCCCTAACTCCAATAATAAATTACCTATATGCCCCCAATAAAATTTCAAAATTTAAACAAACCAAACAATCCCTAACTCCTCGAACTCAACCCCTCGTCTGCCTTATTCATGAATCCCTCCCGGCACACTAGTTCGCCGACGACCAGTCCGTCGGCACCTTTCTAGTTTCTCGTCGTCGTCGTTGCCCGTTCCCTACCAAAATTTTCAAAAAAACACTCAACCTAAGGCAAGTTGATGTTGGTCCATGGTGCAACCGCAAGTGAGTTGTGGTTCCCGTTTTTTTTTTGTTTTGTTTTTGTTTTTAGACTGAACTTTACCTCGTTGGAAACGTTACTCATGATTCAGACGTCCGATCGACGATTCCAGCTCTAGAATGACGATGGTGGATTCTTTCTCTCTTGGATAATGTTTTTTTTTCTTTGCTTATTCTAAGTGGTGTTTGTTTGCTAAAGGGAAAGTAAAGAAGCTAACTACTTAAAAGATTTGTGACCTCAAGATTCAAAACAAGTGGTAATACGCCAATATTAGCCCTTCATGATCATAGCAATTAATACACAATAATTTCAAATCAAATTCTGATGTATTAACATGGTACTAGACTACTCATACTCTTTGTAATAAAAACACAGAAGGGAGTCCAACAAAGAGTAACAAATTTGACTTTGACGCTAGACTAAATTGTTGTTTGACCAATTGAAAATTTTGTCTTGCAGTGGAAAGGGATAGCAACCACTCTGCCGATAACAAAGGAAGCCATAGCAGAACTGATGTGCAACTCGAGCTTCCCCATAGGCAGGCTAGCAATCGCAAATCTGGGCTGTGCTTCAGGGCCCAACTCCCTCTTCCTCGTGTCTGAGGTAATCAAGGCCGCCCACAAGCTTTCCAGGGAGTTGGGCCACAAATCCACCGACCAGTTTCAGATCTTTCTGAATGACCTCCCTGGAAATGACTTCAACAACATCTTCAGTTCTATACAAGGATTCAAGGAGAAAATTATGGAAGAAATGGGGTCCTGCACGGATTCTGAACCAATATTGATGTTCATCACTGGAGTCCCAGGTTCCTTCTATGATAGGCTTTTCCAAAGTGATAGCCTCCATTTCATTCACTCTTCATATAGTGTTCACTGGAGCTCTCAAGTTCCTCGAGGTTTGGAGGAGAACAAGGGAAATATTTACATGGCCAAAACCAGCCCTCAATGTGTCTTGGAAGCCTATTACAAACAATTTCGGACAGACTTTTCATCTTTCTTAAATCATAGGGCTCAAGAATTGGTGACAGGAGGACGGATGGTTCTGACCTTCTTTGGAAGGAGAAGTGCAGAACCTTGTGCCAAAGAGTGTTGCTACATTTGGGAACTTATGTCCATGGCTCTCAACCAAATGGCATTGGAGGTACTTACTGTTATATGTTAGTACGTGATATAAGATTCATTATCATATCTTTTCCAATCATTTGAGTTATTAGAATCAACTGATTCTTGACACATGAATAAAAGAGAAGAAGATATCAGTGTTTTCATTTTAAAATCAAACTTGTTTTTAGGTACATTTGGAAAATTATTCGTCATGCTCTCTCTTGCAGGGGTTGATAGATCAGGATAAATTGGATTCCTTCAATCTCCCATTGTTCACTCCATCCGCCATGGAAGTGGAAGCCGAGATCCAAAAACAGGGCTCCTTTGCCATCAAACACCTGGAGTTGTGGGATATGAGCTGGAATGCCTACGAGGGGGAAGTGGACTTGCCTAAAGCCCTTCGAGATGGTGGCTACAACGTTTCCAGGTGCATGAAGGCGTTGTTTGAGCCGATAATCACCCATAAGTTTAACCTGCCGAGGGAAGTCATGAACGAGGTTTTCAAGAGGTATGGTCTCCTTCTCTCAGATTGGATGGCCAACGAGAGAGCTATTCTCGTGAGTTTGACTGTCTCGCTCACTAAGCGAGGTTGATGGCAAAATTGGAAGGAATCGAAACATGCACAAGAGTGATTCATGTTTCTTGGAATGTTGATCGTTGTAATAGTTAAAATTATCAGTGGAAAAAAAAGTAAGGGTGGTTTTCTTTGTAGGTTTGAAAAATGAAGGTCTTGGTTAAATTTTGGGTTTAATAAAATCATGAATCTCTGATGGATTTGTCCATTTGATTTTGGAAAACCATCATTTGCTTGTTAATTAATTTCATGATGGTTTTTACTTAGTTATATAATTAATTACCTTATTGCCCTTATTAATCATTATGTATTTTTATATTGTAATTTTTGTTAGGACTTTGCTACGGTGACATGCATGTCACGGTGACATGCACTTTTCGGTCGACCTCATATAGGATCAGGTCGACCTAATCAGTTGTTTCAGTGTAAAAACAATTTCATGGTGCCTACTTTGGAGATTCATATCTTACAATTGGCTAGATGGAAATTGGAGATTAAAGGCTTGTTTTGAAACTGAAGTGTCCCTCTACACATTAAAGTACTTGGGAGCTCAATAGAAAGTCCAGAAGACCATTTTTGAACCTGACCAAAAGGCTATGCCAAAACTGGGAGACTGCCTGAAAATGGCTAAGTCTGGCAACGTGTTTGTCAAGCCTACTTTCGAGCTCAATTTGAGAAGCATGGATGCGAGTCAAGTCCAGGGGCCTCTACCACGTTAAATTACGTATTTTTTTATACAAAGGCAAGACATTGAATGAAAGATTGAATATATTTAAGGCTTCAAACAAAAGGCTCAAAGTTGCTACGAAGGCTGTTTTTCTGGCAGCTTGCTTGTGCTCGAAGTCTGCCAGAAAAACAGCCTTCGTAACAACTTCGACCCTTTTGTTTGAAGCCTTAAAGATATCCAATCTTTCATCCAATTCCTTGAATTTGTATAAAAACATACTTAATTTAACGTGGTAGAGGCTCCTGGACTCGACTCGCATTCATGCTTCTCGAATTGAGCTCAAAAATAGGCTTCACAAACACGTTTCCAGACTTAGCCATTTCTAGGCAGTTTCCCAGTTTTGGCATAGCCTTTTGATGAGGTTCAAAAATGGTCTTCTGGACTTCCTATCGAGCTCTCAATCACTTCAATATGTAGAGGGACACTCCAGCTTCAAAACAAGTCATTAGTCTTCAATTTCCATCTAGCCAATTGTATGATATGAATATCCAAACTAGGCACCATGAACTGTTTTTACACTGAAACAACATATTAGGTCGACCGGATCCTATATGAGGTCGACCGAATCCTAAATGAGGTCGACCGGATCCTATATGAGATCGACCGAATTCTAAATGAGGTCGACCTAATCCTAACTGAGGTCGACCGGAAAGTGCAAGTCACCGTGACATGCATGTCACCGTAGGCACACCCTTTTTGTTATACACCTTACATCCCATAAGTGGGGATAAAAGAGTAAAGAGACATCATGTACTTGAGACTCTAACACAAATTCCACTCCTTGGGCAGGAATTTTCAAGTCATGTGGAATCTACGGATTTAGACCCACAAAAATCATGGCTTGCACATGTTTATTCCTCCTAATTGTATTAAACAAACAATGGACTTTGTCCAAATTATATGAAGATTTAAGTTTGATGTATCAAATTCATGATAATAACCTTCAAGCAAACAAGACCTAACATATAATTCCATGTATGATAAATGTGGATTGACTATGTTATGAACCCTAAAGTTTTGTCACTATAGCTTTTCATGTTATTGATGAACAAATGATAAATTTTTTAATGACTCAAGAAGCATTTTAATTATAGTTAAAAAAAATGTACGCTTAAACTTACGCTCAGCTCTCGCTAAGTGTTATTCAATGCCTAAATCTCTAGTCCATGGGTCCCGCTCTCAATTAGGAATCCAAACACGTTGATGGAGTACAACGGTAGTAGAGGACGATTCAATGGAGAAACTAGTGTTGACGATTCAATAGATACATACCAAACCGGTTAAATAGTAAATGGTCGGTTCTTGGTAGCCAAATTTAGCTAATAAATAACCAATGGTTAAACGCTTAATAACTGACTGTTAAATGGTTAACCGACTAACCGATTATGACATTCCTCATAGTTAGAGCAAAAAATAATAGACATCCATGAGCTGCAAACATATGCAGAAAATAATGGGGTGTTTGAAGGCTTACAAGACCCCTTGCCTATCCTAGTTGTAAAAGTGATTTAGACTCAAATGATAATAATTTAAATGATAAGTTTTAGAAGGAACACAATATAAAGTCAAACTTGCACACAGTTGCTCGACAACAATCAGTAACATTAAGCTTCCATATAATTTGGTGGGGTTTACGAGTTGAGTAATTGTTGTTGGGTTTCTTATCATGGTATGCTTCTTTAATAAAGTTTGATGGTATAAAGTATTATTGTGTACTTGTGTTGGATTGAGTTGATTAAGTATTGATATGTATCTATGATAAATTATTTTTTATTTATGATAACAACTTAAGAAAAGAACACATGCATATGTGAAAAATTATAGAAAATTTTACAATTGAAAAAATAGGTCTTTTGATGGTAAGGTTATTGAACAATTATTTTGGTATAATCATGCCTAATCACTTGGTTAACGGGTATCCGATTAACCGAAAAAATAAGTGAGAACCGACCATACGGTTACGTTTAACCGACTAATTTTAACGGTCCGGTTAACGGTAACCACAAAGTGCTTAACGGTTAACCGGGAACCGATTAAACGGTTCTGCGGTTATAACCAAACCGATTATCAGCACTAGGAGAAACAATTGGGGAGGAAGAGAGATTTATTTTAGGGTTGTTAATTGCCACTATAACATTGTCTAAGATTAAGAAGAGATTAATAAATTTGCAATGTAGAAGAGTACACAAAAGTGTACTATTTTTATCACTTATCAACACAAATTATTAAATATGAAAGCCAAAACTCATTGCTCAATTTCAAATTTCCTGCATCGAGAGTGAAAGTAGGAATGACATTTTTATCTTCACAACTACTTATTTTTTTCTTATTTATTCATAAAAAATAGTTACATATGGGGATTTGAACCATGACCAGTTTTATGAGAGGGAAGAGCTACAATTAATCACGCTACATATATTTGTTGTATATTTTAAAAGAAGAACATACACAAACCTAAAATCTAAAAAATCAGAAGACCTTTTCAGCGGTTAGCTAGCAACTAAATCTCTCAAGTACTTATTTAATGATTTGATAATTCGACTTTCATATTTTTTATTATTTTAATTATATTTTAATACTTAATTTATATTTCAATGTATATTATAAACAGAGGATAACTTTAAAATTGCAACCTATATATCACTTGTATGAATATTGCATATAAAATTAGAGTATTAAATAGGTCGAAGCAATGTCAAAATTTAAATTAGTATTAAATTTTAGAATTAACTATGAAGAAATCATATCCTTATGCAGACTATATGGGACTGGGTTTTTTAACATTTTACCCGGGTTAACTGCTAAGCTTTCAACATGTTCCTAATCTGGCATGATTAGATCCAATGATCATTATACGAGATTGAGCTTAATTATTGGTTCATTTCACTATTTTTTGACATGTTAATGAATTTCTAGGGCAATGACATATGTCTACGTCTAAACACAATACAATATATAAGACTGGAATGAGAAAAGTATTTTTCCGTTTCAAATTTAGACAACGAGAGCAAAAGTATGAATGGTATATTTGCCTTCACAATTATTAAACTTATTTATTTGTAGAAAATAAACAAGTATTGGAATTTGAACAAATGTATCTTCCAAAAAAGACAAGAATCATAAACATGATTGTCAACCCAAGTTTGACATGGTTGGGCAAATCAGTTTTGCCCAAACCCGAGTATTTTGTTAGTAGGTTGGAGGCCCAGTTGGTTATCAACCCAAACTTGGTCAAACTAACTAATCGAGTTGATTCAACTAACTAATCTAAGCACTGAGTCAATTCAAACCGACATCATTTTCAACAAATCTGATCACTAGCTCTGTTGACATGTTGTCCTTTTCCTTATCAAAGTCCCATGCAACAACATACATCAACCACCCGTGTTCGGTTATCCCATAATATATTTTTCTCCAAAACCTTCATGCAAACAAGACCAAACATATAATTCCATGTACGATAAATGTCGATTGACTATGTTATGAACCCTAAAGTTTTGTCAGTATAGATATTCGTGTTACCGATGAAATGATAATTTTTTTACTGACTCAAGAAGTGTTTTAATTATAGTTAAAAAAGGTAAGTTTTACGCTCAGCTCTCGCTAAGTGTTATTCATTGCCAAAATGTCTAGTCCATGGGTCCCACTCTCAATTAGGAGCCCAAAACACGTTGATGGAGTACAACAGTAGTAGAGGACGATTCAATGGAGAAACTAGTGTTGATAAACGGTTAACCCGTTAACGGTATAACCGATAACCAAACAGGAATCGGTGCTTAACGGTTACACCGATAACCGATTAATAGTAAACGATCGGTTCTTGGTAGTCAAATTTAGCTAATAAATAACCGATGGTTAGATGGTTAATAAGCGACGGTAAAACGGTTAACCAACTAACCGATTACGACATTCCTCATAGTTAGAGCAAAAAATAATAGACATCCATGAGCTGCAAACATAGGCAAAAAATAATGAGGTGTTTGAAGGCTTACAAGACCTCTTGCCTATCCTAGTTGTAAAAATGATTTAGACTCAAATGAGAATAATTTTAATGAAAAGTTTTAGAAGGAACACAATACAAAGTCGGACTTGCACACAATTGCTCGACAACAATCAATAACATTAAGCGTCCATGTAATTTGGTGGAGTTTACGAGTTGAGTAATTATTGTTGGGTCTCTTATCGTGGTATAATTCTGTAATAAAGTTTGATGGTATAAAGTATTATTGTGTACTTGTGTTGGATTGAGTTGATTAAGTACTGATATGTATCTATGATAAATTATTTTTTTTATTTATGATAACAACTTAAGAAAAGAACACAAGCGTATGTATGAAAAATTATAGAAAATTTCACAATTGAAAAAATAGGTATTTTGATGGTTAGGTTATTGAACCGTTATTTTGGTATAATCATGTCGAATCACTTGGTAACGGGTATCCGGTTAACCGATAAAATAATCGAGAATCGACCATACGATAACGGTTAACCGACTAACTTTAACGGTCCGGTTAACAATAAGCACAAAGTGCTTAACGGTTAACCGAGAATCGATTAAACGGTTCCGCGATTATAATTGAACCCATTATCGGCACTAGGAGAAACAATTGGAGAGGAAGAGAGATTTATTTTAGGGTTGTTAATTGCCACTATAACATTGTCTAAGATTAAGAAGAGATTAATAAATTTGCAATGGAGAAGAGTACAGAAAAGTACTATTTTTATTACTTATTAGAGGATAGAGGATAAGACCATCCAACAATCCTAAAAAAATGAACAAAATGCACATGCCACTTCAATAGTTATCTGATGTGGGCAAAATACTGCTACATGAAAATGCAAAACATTAATCAACTAATGAGAATTGAGATGCAAATGAATCTATTAGCTGAAGGTGAATTGCCGATTAGATCAAGCAAATAAGACGAAAGACCTGGGCCTTTATCCATTCAAAACGCGAACTGCTCTTTGTCTTCTCTGTGAGAGCTGCCCAACATTGTAAGATTAAGTCCTATAAATTTGATTCCCAAGTCACCCCGTGAAACCCAAACCCATGAACTCCAAGCAAGAGAGATAGAAAGAAGGAGAAAGCTGGAGCAGATCGGTCTAGAGAGAAAGCAAGAGATGGCAATGGCTAACGTGCTGCATATGAATGGGGGAATGGAAGAGGCCAGCTACGCTATGAACTCCCTGCTTCAGGTAAATTAAATGAGAGAGACACATGATGATAGTGATGAGTAGTGTTTTTTGGTGTTTGCAAATTCGTACTTATAGAAAAACGGTATAATGTAGCCCAGGTGGTTAGGCGGTTTTACATGTATGAAAAAATTGAATCGGGACTAAATCATAGTTTAAACATAAAACATCATACTACTAAATTTTTATTACAACCTTCGACATAACTTTACAATTCTTGGTATTATGTTATTTATCATACGATGCCATTAGTTGCATATTAGTTTGAGTATTACTATTCTTTATAGTAAAATTGTAATAGCATTTTCTCTTGAGTTAGTACGAAATTCACTTTTCAGTCTATTGTAGCCCTTTATGATAATAGTAATTGGTGCACAATAATTTTCAAATAGAATTCTGATGTATTCACATGGTACCATACTACTCGTGCTCTTGTAACAAACCTCGTAAGAAATTTCAAAGAAGAGTGACGAGTTTGAATATGACCAAAACTTTTTTTTTTTATAATAGTCATATAAGTTGATTTTTATAGTTAGATTAATTTTTAGGTTCAAAATTAACAGTATTACCACTAAATTAAGTCGTTATTCACATGACGAGAGACTGATCATTTTAAATTTTTGTCTCGGCAATTGCAGCGGAAGGGGATATCAACCACTTTGCCGATAACAAAGGAAGCCATAGCAAAACTTATGTGCAACTCGAGCGTCGCCTTAGGCAGGCTAGCAATTGCAGATTTGGGCTGCGCTTCAGGGCCCAACTCCCTCTTCCTCGTGTCTGAGGTAATCAAGGCCGCCCACAAGCTTTCCAACGAGATGGGCCACGAATCCACCGACCAGTTTCAGATCTTTCTGAACGACCTCCCTGGAAACGACTTCAATAACATCTTCAGCTCCATACAAGGCTTCAAGGAAAAAACGAGGAAAGAAATGGGGTCTTGTCCAGATTCTGAACCATTGATCTTCATCACTGGAGTCCCTGGTTCTTTTTACGAAAGGCTTTTCCAAACTGATAGCCTCCATTTCATTCACTCTTCCTATAGTGTTCACTGGCGCTCTGAGGTTCCTCGAGGTCTGGAGGAGAACAAGGGAAATATTTACATGGCCAAAAGCAGCCCTCAATGTGTCTTAGAAGCCTATCACAAACAATTTCAGACAGACTTTTCATCTTTCTTAGAGCATAGGGCTCAAGAATTGGTGACAGGAGGACGAATGGTTCTGACCTTCCTGGGAAGGAGAAGTGCAGAACCTTTTGCCAAAGAGTGCTGCTACATTTGGGAACTTATGTCCATGGCTCTCAACCAAATGGCATCTGAGGTATTTATTATTATATGTTAGTACGTGGTATAAGATCTATTATCAAATTTTCTTCAATAATTTAAGTTATTGGGATCAACTGGTTCTTGACACGTGCATAAAAGAGAGAAGAAGAAATCAGTGTTTTCATTTTAAAATCAAACTTGTTTCTTAGGTACATTTGGGTAATTTGGTGTCATGCTCTCTCTTGCAGGGGTTGATAGATCAGGAGAAATTGGATTCCTTCAATCTCCCACTGTTCACTCCATCCGCCATGGAAGTGGAAGTCGAAGTCCAAAAACAGGGATCCTTTGCCATCGAACACCTGGAATTGTGGGATATGAGTTGGAATGCCTACGAGGGGGAAGTGGACTTACCTGAAGCCCTTCAAGATGGTGGCTACAACGTTTCCAGGTGCATGAAGGCGCTGTTTGAGCCGATAATTGCCCATCAGTTTAATCTTTCGAGGGAAATCATTGACGAGATTTTCAGGAGGTATGGTCTCCTTCTCTCCGAGTGGATGGCTAAGGAGAGAGCTGTTCTCGTGAGTTTGACTGTCTCGCTCACTAAGTGGCGTTAATGACAAACTGGAAAGAAATCGACGCATGCACAAGAGTGATTCATGTTTCTTGGAATGTTGATCGTTGTAATAGTTAGAATTATCGGTGCAAAATAAAAGTAAGGGTGGTTTTGTTCGTACATTAGAAAAATGAAGGTCTTGGTTAAAATTTGTAAATCATGAGTCTACGATGGAATCAGTCAGTTTGATTTTTGGAAAAAAACCATATATGCTTGTTAGATTTCACGATGGATTTTACTTAGTTAGATAATTAATTTACCTTATTGTTCTGATTAATCATTATGTATTTTTATATTGGAATTTTTGTTATACACCTTACATCCCATAAGTGGGGATAAAAGAGTAAACATACATCATGTACTTGAGACCCTAATACAAATTCTACTCTTTGGACTGAAATTTCCAAGTCATGTGATCCACGAATTTAGACCCTCAAAAACCATGGGCCGCACATATTTATTCCTCCTAATTGTACTAAACAAACAATGGACTTTGTCCAACTTATATAAAGATTTGAGTTTTATGTACCAAATCCATGATAAAAAGGTTAAAACCCTTCAAGCAAACAAGACTTAACCGATCATTCCTTGTACGATAAATGTGGATAACTATGTTATGATCCCTAAAGGTTTGTCAATATAGAAAAGCCTCAACTTTACCCGTTACGTGTTACCGATGAACAAATGATATTTTACCGACTCAAAAAGTATTTTAATTCTAGTTAAAAAGGTACGCTTAAACTTACGCTTTAGTTCTCGCTAAGTGCTATTCAATGCCAAAATGTCTAGTCCATGGGGCCCCGCTCTCGGTTAGGAATCCAAAACACGTTTATGGAGTACAACAACACCTAGGTGTTGCCTACCTGTAATTAGGCCGAAATAAGCAACCAATATCAAAATCGGAAATTAACATCATCAACATTGACAATTTATTCTCTATTTTTAACAAGTTAAGAACTTTATGAGTTATTAAGTTATGATTGTTTTAAGGGTTATAGGTATAATATGCCCCTCTACTATGACGCTTTATCAAACATGCCCCTCAACTATTTTTTACATCAAACATGCCTCTGTACTTTGTAAAAATGATCAAACATGCCCTTTTGTTAAAATTTTCATCCAAAAACCGTTAATCAATGCCGAACTTTAGTTTGGGCGACACAAATGACTGAAATATCCATAATAAATTCACTTTTATAATTTTTTTTCTTTCCTTCTGTATAATCAAATCATTCAAATAATTTCACTTTGAAAAGACACAGGGAAAGAAAACAATGGACAAAACTGACATTTTCCCTCCCGTTTGCCGATGTCGGGTCATCTAAATCTCGATTCAACCACGATTGATGATTTTTTTCAATGAAAATTTTAACAGAAGGGCATGTTTGATAATTTTTTCAAAGTACAAAGGCATATTTGTTGTAAAAAATAGTAGAGGAGCATGTTTGATAAAACGTCATAGTAGAGGGGCATATTATAACTATAACCATTGTTTTAACTTGTAAGTTTTTTTTATTTATTGTTGAGTATTAAATAAGTTATTAACAACTTGAACTAAAGAACATCTAGCCATAACCGAATATCAACCTTACACCTTTTAAACCCTGATTTTTATTAAACCGACAAGAGAACAAATATTGTGAAATGATGCATTTTTCATCCGAGCTAATTAAGTCAAATTACTTCTTTTATCAAAACCCACCACCACCACAATCGCGAAATAGAATGATAGTACCATAGGAATTTCCATATATATAGTCCCAAACTCGTTCCCACAACTTCTCTTCCACCTTCTATTCATCATTTTACCTCCCATGGCAGAGAACCAATCAGAAAATCCCTTCTTCTTCACTCCCCCACATCAGACCAGACCCAAAACCAACCCACCACCGTTCACCCATCACAACAGCTTCCCCATAACCAGCCCTTCTCTGATCCACAACTCCGGAGCTTATAATTCGCATCATCATCAGCAGCAGCAGCAACATGAGAATGGCTTGTCACTCTCTCTTTCCTTCGCCCAGCAGCAACATCAGCAGCCAGTCCCTCTTGGTCCCTTCACTGGCTACGCCTCAGTCCTCAACAGCTCCAGGTTTCTCCGGCCCGCCCAGCTTCTCCTCGACGAGCTGTTCGGTGTTAATTTCGACCTTCCAACTGCCCACTTCCATGGCCATGCAAGCCAGAGTGGCCCTGCCGACGAGGCCATCCTGACACCTGCCGAGTTTGCTGGTTTAGGAGATCGAATGATGATGGAGTTTCGCTGGAAGGATTCAAGATTCATGCTTATGCTCGATGAGGTAAAATAGCTCTCCAAAAATGTGTGTGTTAGATAATGTCTTAATCCTTCTAGCATTAACGTGTTCGCTGTCTAAAAAACAGAGTCTAATAAAACTGGTGGTTCCTGGTTTGGTTGCTGAGAAAATTAAGAAAGTTTCGGGGTGATGTAAGCAAAGAGCGAAACAAGTTCTAAGGACTGATTGGTACTCGCAACAGTGCCTAAAAAAGGAACGAGCTAGCTAGCTAGCTTTGCTTGTTATCTTAGAATGCATATGTAAATAACAGTAACACAGGATAGCATGAGCCTTTTTCTTTACATTTGCTCTTTTCCTTTGAATCTGTAGTGATGTAGGAAAAAAGTTTTTTGACCTGTTGGTGATAGGAAAAGTTGAATGAACCTTTCTCTTTAGATTGGTGATTGATAATCTGGAATCTGAGAAGAAGAAGATGAAGAAGAGCCCACGTTCAGTACAGAGAACCCACCAATTTCGAAACCAAAAATGGAACTGCTGATTTGACCGTCTCTGCCATGGAACCCCACAGTCCCTCTCTCGGGAAAAGATGTATCTTCTTTCCTTTCCCTGGGGTTCAGATTATTAAATAACCCTCAGACAATGACCACAAAACAGCAAGGGGAGGAAAAAAAGATGTATGGTCTTTTCACCTGTTCATATCAAAGTCACTGTTCCTCTGCAGTCCTGGCCTGATTTTTTTGGGTCAGTTGGACTGAGACCCACTCCAACCCACCATTCCCATAATCACAGCACCTGCTTAGTTAGGATAACAAAGCACATGATTAATCCAACTTAAAACTCATTTGATATATTTCTTGCATTACAATTTGGATCACAAACATATTGAATCCTTGATCGATTCATGTTTTGATTCACATCAGGTTTACAGAAGATACAAGCTGTACTGCCAGCAAATGCAAACAGCTGTGGCCTCATTCGAAGCAGTTCCAGGGCTTGGCAATGCAGCGCCTTTCATCTACTATGCCATTAGATTGGTATCCAGCCATTTCACTTCCCTGAAAAATGCACTTCTCCACCAAATGCGCTTTCTTTCTAGATCATCATCATCAGGCTGCAGAAGTTACTCCTCTGATCAACATGAACATCAGCACCAAGAAGCCCTCCAATACCAGAATCATAATAATAAACCTTCCACAACATTCAACCTCAATTTCTTCCTTCAATCTCCTCCTCACCCTCCATTACCATCTCCGCCTCCTCCGCCGCCGCCGGTCTGGCGATCTCAGAGAGGTCTCCCTGATCATGCTGTTGCTCTGCTCAAGTCTTGGCTCTTTGAACACTTCCTCCACCCGTAAGATTATGGAATTCGTGAAACGATTTCATGGTTTACGTGCTGAATTTGGATTAACCATGGTTTTTTTTCCGGAGTGTATAGGTATCCTACCGATTCAGAGAAGCAGATCCTGGCTCAACAGACTGGTCTATCCAGGACCCAGGTTAGATTTCTAACCCTAACCGATAGATTCTCAAGTAAAAGCTGGAAATCGAATAGCCACAATTTATCAAACAGAAACTTGAGAAAAATTCAAGGTTTTGTTCTTTTCACCTCAGGTTTCCAACTGGTTCATTAATGCGAGAGTGAGAGTATGGAAGCCAATGGTGGAAGAGATTCAGTTGCTTGATTCGGTCAACAAAGCTGCTGCTTCCTCCTCCTCTCTATCCGTACAACCACCTCCTGCAGCCGGCGGGTCGTCTTCAGCAGCGGCGGCGAATGTCGGAAGCAAACGGTCGAGAAACAACCAGAGGCAGCAGAGGCAGGTGGATGTGGAAGATGCTGGGTTGGTTGACTGTTCTTCGAGCGACAGCGTCTCGTTGGCTCTGGGTCTGCCTCGTACAGCAAATTCCCCAGTCAATAATCCATCTCCGTGGCCTTTCAAAGTCAGCACGGCGGCGAATCCTAGCGTCGAGCATCATGGATTCACCGGCTGCGGTAGCAGCAACCGGTGGTATAGCCAGTGAACGAAGATTGAAAAATTCTGTGCTTTCGAAGAACTGAAATGCCCCAAATTCTCGTGCTGATTTGTAGATGAACTGTTATTTTGTGTTAATTGTGTAAGATAAAAAGGTTCGAGAGCCATAGTTGTAATTTTACACCGGGCTTGGCCTTGGCTACGATACGAGCCAGGAATCACAGCACTGAGCCTGGTTCTGTACTGGACTTCCGCGCATAGGCCATTCAGCTAATTATCTGGCCCAGTAGAACGTTAAAAAGCCGAAAAGCCCTTTACTCGTGTGATAAATTGGCCCAAGTATACGAAGTATACAAAGCATGTTTCACGGCCGCCGAAGTTCTACACAGAGGAATCCACGTGGCAGCTCTAGACTGGTACTAAGTTAAAGAGTTACACAGCTGTCAAATTGTAGCGGAGCCCGCACGCTTTACTAGCATCGGGAAATAGAATATTTTTCAAGCACGGAACACCCTTCCCGTTCCGCATTCCGAGCAACCAACCACATCTAGCCACGTCACGTACACTGTCGACAATCACGACCAAGAGGCTTGTCGGCCCCACTTAGCACAGCTAATCAACGGTGGATGACCGCGGTGCAGCAACGCTGACGATGGAGCTGACCGCAGGGGAGTATATGGAAGTCGGTTCGTTAAAGTTCAAAACCGGCAACTCCTGCAAATCGTTTGTTGGTATGGTGGGTGGTTTCGAAAGACGACGACGTTTTGGTACCTGTGGTGGTCGAACTCGGCAGCATTCGTTGGCTTCTTCGTCAAGCTGCCAAACTTTTGATTTCGTAGCCTTGTTGCTCTCTCTCTCTCTCTCTCTCTCGCTTCTGGCACCCAGAGCAAACCTCTCCAAAAAGAAAAAAACGAAGGCGAAACCGAGAAAGCTTCGCGTTTAGGTTCATGCTTTAAGGGCTCGGATTTGGCCGTTTAATGGCGGAATGAAGCTGCGGGGTTTCGGTTCATTATTGTGATCTAGGCGTTTTCGTTTTGGGATAGAATTTGAATTGTACATTTTGTGTTCGACGATTTGCGCGTTCGAATATTCGGACGCGTTCAGCTGAAGCAAGCAAGAGGAGCGCTAGCGGTAAGTGAAATCAGCGTGGAAACACAGAGATGCAGACGGAGGCGAGAGTGGGAGTGGTGGTCGAAGGAGGAGGCCCAAGGGCTCTGAATTCGAATAAGCAGCCGCCTATTCGGCAACAGCAACAACATTCGCAGATCGGAACTGTTTCGCAGCTTCTCGCCGGTGGGTTGGCCGGGGCTCTTAGCAAGACTTGCACCGCTCCATTGGCCCGTCTCACCATTCTTTTCCAAGTGGGTGTTCTTCCCCCCTTTTCCCGGATTGTAATTGAGCTTCTGATTGTTCCCTATTCCAATAATAGCTACCCTTTGATGTTTCTTTCACTAAAGTTCCGTTCTTTCATGGGGTTTTCATTAGATACAAGGGATGCACTCAAATGTTGCAACTTTGGAAAAGGCCAGCATATGGCACGAGGCTTCTCGGATTGTGAGGGAGGAAGGAGTTAGAGCTTTTTGGAAAGGCAACCTTGTCACTATTGCTCATCGTTTGCCTTATTCATCTGTCAATTTCTATGCATATGAGCACTATAAGAAGGTCAGCTCCGACGATATTCCCATTCATTGGATTCCCTGTTTATCTTATCCTCATCATTTATCTTCTGTTGGGTAAGAGTTGATGAAGTTTGTGTGTTGAGTTTGCAGTTGCTGCATATGATACCTGGACTAGAGAGTCACAAAGAGAGGATAGGGGGAGACGTATTTGTTCATTTCCTAGGTGGTGGTATGGCAGGAATTACAGCAGCAACAACTACATATCCTTTGGACCTTGTGAGAACACGCCTTGCAGCTCAGGTGAGTGATAGTCGCCTTGCCGTTCCAATCTATTTCATTTGTTTGCATAGGTTTCTGTTGGTGAATGTGGAGAACATCCAATGTTGTGAAGAAGTATTTGGTTTAGGGTAAATGCTTCTGCTGTAGTTCAACTATGTGCGTTTCTGATGCATCAACCTCTTTTCACGGAATACATTTTTCTTTGTTTGGGTGGTTGAGATCTTATCAATGCCTTGATTTTGGATGTTTGTTGATTGTGTTCTAGATTGTCCTGGTAAAACCATGAACGTGTTAATATTAGGATATTCGTTAATTCTCTCTTCTTTTTTTACTGGTTGTTCATTTTTCATACCTACTGATTACCAATCTTGCAGACAAATGTGCTATACTACCGAGGTATTGGTCATGCTCTTCAAACAATTTGCAGAGAGGAGGGTGTCCTTGGGCTCTACAAAGGTCTTGGAGCCACACTCCTGGTATGCTACTTGTTAGGTCAGCAGTTCGTCATAGTCAAAATCTCTGGTCCGTTGGTGCATGCCTGACCCTTGTTCGTTCGACAATGCAGGGTGTCGGACCAAATATCGCTCTCAGCTTCTCAGTGTATGAAAGCTTGCGCTCTTTGTGGCAGTCTCAAAGGTAAGTGTGTTAGTTAGCTTAGTATATTATCTTGTTATTTACCCTTTTTTTGTGCTAAGTCTGTATATTCGATTGCACTTCATTATATTTCTACCTTGTTTCTTGCTACAGACCGGATGATCACACAGTTGCGGTCAGTCTGGCTTGCGGAAGTCTTTCTGGCATTGCGTCCTCAACAGGTGAATGATCTTAAACCTTGGTTCCTTAATCTTCTAGATTGATATATCCATACTTGCATTGCAGCTCTTGTAAATTGTTCTTCTTTCTTTCTTTCTTTTTCTTCTTTGCACGGTATCTCAGCACTTCTGTGATTGAATTGTTTTCTGGATCTGCAGTCTTCACTCAAAATGTTATCTTATGTTCCTGTGTTACTGATAATGTGCAGAATTACACTCATGATGTAGTAGTGTTTATGACAAGGAGAGAGGTTTAACTAAGTACTTTTTACTAGACGATGTCCATATTAAATCCAAAAAGTTAATTGTTGCACCTGTTTACCATGCTTTTGATGCAGAGAAGCAGGGTGTGGTGCAGGTTCTGCATTAATCATTTAACCAGACACTGACTCCTAGAGCCAGAGACCGACTGGAGTTGTTTAATGTCTTGCATTTTGAGAAATTTACTAAGGTTATTGGGAGATGTGCCAATTCTTCGTTTCTAACTTCATTAAACTAACTGGCACCACCTTTTTGATGACTTGGGGCAGTTCCTTTCCACACTAGGTGGCACTACTCTGAAAGAGGACTAGCACTGTTATTTACTTCTTTTACAAAGCAGATGTGAGATGTGTCCTCACTGGTGTATGCTTCTCACCTAGTGCTTCCTTTGCAAAACGCGTTGCAAGTGGAATTGTCCTTCATGGATGTATGAAGTGCAGCTGTAGAGATGCTGTGCTTTAAATTTCATGCGGTCATGGTCATTTAAGGGGGTTTCTCCGGCTGTTATTATATCAATAACTGCTTGGAAGGTGCTCACGGATGTTCAAAATGCTTAGATGAGAATAGTTGGCCTTCTTAAACTGGTTTTACCTCTGAATTTATGAATATTCTGTCAAACATGATACTTCACTAATCATGAGCTGCAGTGCAGCTGGAGCTGCTATAACTGAAAATCTCGTTCTCGAGCTGTAACAGGTAAGTTGAATTATATTTGATTCGTTTGTTGCATGCTCATAACCTTCCAACTTTGTTGTCTAGCCCTCCGTACCTAGACTATTAGTTACCTGATAGAGTAAATTGAGTTGTGTGGTGGATGTAGCCCTTGCGTTCTCTCCTGCCTATGGCCTTGACAAAGTGCTACTTGTTTTTCATATTCCTTCTGAATGATCTTGCAGTAACATTTCCTCTCGATCTTGTGAGAAGACGGAAGCAATTGGAAGGAGCAGGTGGGCGAGCCCGTGTTTACACGACAGGGCTTTTCGGGATATTCAAGCATATAATCAAGACGGAAGGATTCCGAGGTCTATATCGAGGGATTATGCCCGAGTACTATAAAGTTGTTCCTGGTGTTGGCATCTGCTTCATGACCTACGAAACCTTGAAAGTACTTCTTGCTGATCTGCATGCCACGGTATAGCTTCTAGGAACTTACTGGATAAATTGCTCGTATCGGGAAACGTGGGGCGATATAGAATCCCAGCAAACCAGGCAGCTCATCTTTGATTGTTGTACCTTGTTTCCACACCCCACCCCCCCCCCCCCCCCCCCCCCCCCCCCCCCTTTCAAAATGTATTCTACTGGTCTCATAGCAACCAGTTTTGCTTTGTTGCTGTTGAGAACTCTCATTTTCACCCCATGTAGATAGTTTAGAAGGAAAACTGAATATCAAGTGTACCATTTACCCTTCACAGTAGCCCCTTATTATTTACTCTAGCAAAGTCACATATGAGATTCATTACGATCAACGGGTTCTCAACATTGTTTAGAACTTTTTGTGACAGAAAGTTCTAATGTTTGAGTTCCAGTGACCCAATTTGTTAACCACATGGTACTCACACTTCAAGTTTGTATATATGGTGGTTTTCGTTCAATGATCTCATTCTTTGTGGTTACTCGTTTTGTGTATATTGTCATACTTGCAGGAGATCTTTGTGATTGGAGAAAGTAGGCTACGAAATATACTACACATAGACTATAGAACATCATAGCTTCAGTGATTGTTCGTATGAAAGTTGCTTAATCTCATAATTTCCTCAAAAATGTATTTCACTGGTCTCATAGCAACTAGTTTTGCATTGTTGCTGCTGAGAAATCTCATTTTCACCCCATGTAGTCTGTAGATAGTTCAGAAGGAAAACTGAATATCAAGTGTACCCTTTACCCTTCACAGTATTAGTAGCCCCTTACTATTTAATCCAGACAAGTCTTCAATGATCTCAATCTTTGCAGTTATCGTCTTGTGTATCTCGTATTCTGGTCATATTTGCAGGAAATCTTTGTGGCTGGATAAAGTACGCTACGAGTGTTGAAAAGGGGGAAAGAAATTCCAGATTCTAGAGTCTATGAATGGGAAAGAAAAATATCCTTCAATGTCACAAATTAGCTAAGAAAGCCATAATAGATTTACCTTTTTTATTTATTGGCTTGGAAGATCACATTGGTATCACAAATATGAGGTTCTGATCCAGAACACATAGAGCAATTTTGGGGGAAAAAAGGGAACAAATTACCTAAGAAAGTTACTTAATCTCATTATTTCCCATCTTTGTTAACTTTAGATTCCTCCCGTAATTTTGGATTCGTAACTATATATGTAAACTAAAATAGTAGTACAATTTGTTTGTTCAAATTATATTATCTATGAAATCATTATTTGTTTCTGCATAAATATATTATGATTCACTCCGCTAATTATTTGCATTATTAAAAAATTTAATTTTGATAACATCCAAATACAGTCACATTTTTTAGGTCCAAGTCGAATGCACAACAAGAGTTTACTAAATTAGAATATAAAAGGAGTCGAGATCTATTCCTATAACCATGTAAAATAAAAAATCTACTCTAGAATTTTTCATGGAAATACCTACCGGTCTCCATACTCTTTCGGAATCTTCTAGAATGCTCCTCACTCTTCTTCGTGTTGAAGCATGAACCTTTGCTAGGAAGTCATTCGAATTCTTAAGCCCATATCCAACTCTTAATCTGAGTTTGAGATTCAATACTAACCTCTTCTGTAATGCCTGCATCTATATCTTAAACCCGCTGTAGGTTTGAAGTTATTGCACATATGAAACAGTGGATGGAAGCAGGTAAAGATATTTCTATATGCATTGGGTTCTGTTATCTACTGTTTAAGAGAACAGAGAAAACCAAAATAGCTAAAATGAGAAGATATAATGTTTCAAAGCAGCCGGAGGATGAATTTCTTGGGACACAAGCTTCTTCAAAGTTCAAAGTATGTTTTTGGTCTCCTATGTTTTTGGTTCACGCACATGATCTTTAGGAGCTTGGCGAGTTAGTATGCGAAAAATCTGTCAAACAAGCAAAACTTTAACCTGTCCTGGATGGTTTGACCTTGGAAATGGAGGTGGGGAGATTCTACTCAGTTGCAATCAGGAAAACCCATTCGGGTTCCTCGTCATCATATTTGATGTGGAGGCACAGTATGGAGATTGGGGTATCCAGTTGAGACATGGGAAGCAGGAAGCAGAGTCCTGCAGATCGAAGCATCCGTGCCTAAAACAGTCAAACATGAACTTACTCCAACTTACTTGTATGACTCTCCTGAGTCCTGAACTCCTGATGGATGGTAACTAATAAGTTGACTTCTATCATAGTTAATCCTTAAGCAACACTAAAAATTTAACAATTCAGCACACCAACAACATCTCGGTTAATCTTAATTCTTAATTATTGTTGCTCTTCATTCATATGACTGCTGATGACAGACTTTTTACCCTGCAGATCATCTAACAACATGGCAGTATGGGATGTCCAGATCAGAAAATTCAGGCTTCAATTCAAGCACAGGAGGAAGTGCTGTAATGGCTATTTGCAGTGAAGCTCTGTGAGAGAACTGGGATAGCAATTGGACAGAAAGCTATGTAGGAAACAGCAAGTACTCAAACTCAAGTCGCATTTCATGACGTACTCGAAACAAGGCTGTCAATTAGTAAAACCAGGAGAACAAAGATACATAGTTTTAGATACTACGAGAGTACACCCATGAACAGCAATCAAAATCTCTATGCTCGTAGGAGAGTGATGCCGAGGGAAATGGTGCAGCCCATCAGCCCGAAGATACACAAGAACCCGTATTTACCGATGGTGAGACGCTTCTTGGGATCGCCGGTGGCGTAGCCGGAGAAATAGAAGTAGCGGGTGAAGATGAAGAAAGCGCCGAGAGCGGCGGCGATGCAGGGGTGCCTCAGTCCGCCCAACACCATCAGCATAAAGAACACCGGCATCATCTCCAGCGAATTCTGGTGCCCTCTCTGCCCAATCAAAAATTCCGAACCCAAATCAGCAATCAATCAATTAAACTGAACATCGCCAAGAGTAAAGATAACCCACCTGAACGCAGTTGAAGAGGGAGGCCTGCTTGTTCTCCGACTCGACGGCGTAGAGAGTCGGGTAAGGGACATTGTACTTCTTGCGAGCCTTGACGACCTGGATCGACATCCAAATGTTCAGAATGCAGTAGCCCACCAGTGTCAGAGCCACGTACCCGTACTCCTTGGGCAGGAATTCCGTCACACCTGCGGCTGCCATCTTCGATCTTTGGTTTACAGTTTTCTAGGGTTTATGAATTTGGGGATTTGAGAAGAGTGAGTTGGAGAAAAGAGAATGGTGAGACTTGGATTATATATAGCCACGAGCATAGGCCAGCTATGGCCCATTTCTGTCTGAGTTCACGATGTCATCTCATTTCCTCTACCCCGGTATTTTAATATTTTTTTCCGTTGAATTATTTTAATGTTGGTACGTGAATACGTGATTAATTCTTTTATGTTGTTTTATTTATAAATGACGAAAGCAGTGATGATAGGGTGGCTTTTTCTTCAAGCCAAGGCCGGTCCTAGATTTGCTTGCATTTTGTTCTTTTTTCATTTCCTGTTTTCATACCGGCATCCGCTGTCCTAATTAAGTTTGTCAATCAAATTTTAAACTAGTTGAAGCATGGAAAGCAGGAAATAAGAGTTGTTTCTTGTTTGTAACGGTATATTGCCAATGCCATATTTACGAAATGAGTTATTAAATATTTAGAAAATATAGATATTTGATGATGTATAAAAAAATTTAGTCGAGTTATTTTGTCCTTACATTTATATGTTTTATTTATTATCTCAATAAACCAACCATAAACAAAAATTATTTTGCAATCAATATAAATTATTAGTTGAATACTATTGCTTTTCTAATTTTGAATAATATTTTATGTTATCTTGCTTTACAAATTGTAATGGCTCCACACTAAATAATTTTGCAACCAAGTATATATTTGAAATCAATTTCAAAATAATTACGGCTATTATACTAGAGAATATTGAAAAGTATTATTGGAAAAATTGGAGAGTATTGGTTTTGTGAATGCAAAATAGAGAATGTTAGTATTTACTTATAAAAAAGTCAAAATCATGAGTGGAAAATAGTCTGAAAAAAATGAGTCATTCAATGGAATATGAATGCCGAAACATTCATTTGAGCTTTTCGATGGAATCAAATGACTTAATTCCTTTTTTCGTTAGCAAACAAAATTTGGAGGACCTCATGTTGAAGTTCGTTTGGAAGTTGCGATAGTTTTGTTGAGATTGTCATTATGCATGTATTGTTTACAATGCATCGTTTTTTTGTTTTTTTAGCAGAAACAATACATGGATTGTTTCTGTGATGTGACAGAAACTATCACTCATTTTGAGTGATTGTTATATCTCAACTTTTAGTTGTGATTGTTGAGATAGTTGAGTTGAGATTGTTTTGTCTCAGCTTTTAGCTTATGCGACATACACAATCTCACATACCAAACGTTGTATTCTACAATGCATCAAATTCGACAATACATGTATAATATTATACATGCATTCTCAACAATACATCTATTTAACAATCGCAACTTCCAAACGACCCCGAAGGTTTCATAATTTGTCATATATGCAGGGATTATTTGTGACCGGATAATGTAAATTTCACATCCAAAGTAATTAAAAAAATATGCATATAATCTTTGGTTCTCTATGAATTTAGTACAAAAACTGTTTCAATAATAGTAGGAAAGAAAAAAATATATAACGCGTAAAATATGCAATATTTTAGAAATCGTTCTATATCTGTTAATCGGACTGCAAATACTGAGTACCAGATCTCAAATTGATAAGTAGTTTTAGCGGTACGAAACGGTTGAACTACGATTAAACAATATATTACAAATACTTCATCACTGATTATTCTGGTATAACTTCCAGTAAGGTTTCAACTAAGCAAAGAACAATAATATAGGAGCCTTATATTAATTTTAAATAAGTTTCAACTAAGCAAAGAACAACAAAATGTAGCAAATGCTTGTTATGGAGTAGAGATAGTGCACTGTGGACGTTGTATACCCCCATAAAAATGGAAGGGGGAGCTTTTGCAAACTCTGTGATAAGCTCAAATCCTTTTTGTTTTGTGGATGAAAGTGCTAGACCGTGAAAGGGTTGGTTGATAAGTAACAACTGATGAGTGCTCTTACAATGGGAAGTTTCCAGTAAGACGAATGTGATCCAAGGTTCTACGCAAACCATACTTGTTGACAGCAGCATTACCAGCCCCGAATCCTCCACCATATGCTGGAGAAGCGTCGTGAGCGATTTGATACATGAAGAACTCCCCCAGTTTGTGTTCCACCTCTGATCTCCCACCTTTCTTTGAATTGGAACAGGAGGAAGAGGAAGAAGAAGAAGAAGGTGTTGTTGCTGATGTTGATGCCATATTGCTGCTTCTGGATCCTGGTAATACTTCGGATTCAAGCCACATATAGGAGAGAACCTGACAGATTCCTTCCTCTACCTTAGGGTTTAGGTTCCTTTACCCTGGAAAACCCAATAGGGAAAAACAATCAGCGATGGCTTGTTGCAGAAGAAACCTGGGGTCTCTGTGGCTTTGTTGTGTTTGAAAATGAATGTTATGTGTCTCCAGAATGGCTCCTGCTAGTAACCTTGGAAGACCATAGAGAACAAGAATTGCAGTGACTTCACATCTCCTGATAAGCTTCTGAGGTTGTGTTCTCATCCCAGCAAGCCGGTGCTCGCCTATCCTCGATCTCCTTTGAACCTGTTGGGCAGAGATCAAACAGCTTCATAACAAAATTAAAACGAAACTCGGACTGATAGAAGTGGCAAGTCATGCAGGAATGACCATACACACTAGTAATATTCTGCTCTTCAGAAAGACATAGCCCCCTTGTCTCAGGCATGTGATGATACCCCTTGATATCACAAGCACATGCGTTAATATCACTAATCTCATTCAAAACAAATCGAAGATATTGAATACTGCAATAAGCATTACGTTATTCTGTCCGATGATGGCTTCATTGAGGGCTTGTCTCTCGACGAGCAACATATATAGGGATCTGCTGATGATTCTAATCTCATGTTCATTCCTTCTTCGTAGTCTCTGATCGCATGGTAAAGTGGTTGGCAATCACACCAGTGTCCATGATGGCTGATTCCATGCATTCCAAGCATAGGCTTCTTCCATCCTCCAGGGAGTAGTATCATGCATTCCAAGACTACAGAATGGAAACAGAGGAACCAAAAGGGTCAATGACAGCCCTTGCTTTTCTTGAGCAGAACAAGCACTGGAATGGCTAAGCAAGAGTGAGAGTAGCACCTCCAATCGTGAGAAGGGCAATACTTTTGTGCCCAAAATGGGTGGCATCTGTACTCTATCAAACCAGATGAATTGGTTGGAATATGATACAATATTAGATAGAAGAGCAGATTATAATTGGTCGCAATGATATAAGGGCAATCGGTAGTTCTGCAAGTTTGCAAATTTTATAACTTTATGTGAGTGTTGCCTATTGGAATTGCTGATCAGTTTCAGGAATGCATATGTTACTAATTTATTGGATGACGAAATCGCTGAAGTTGTTGAAATGACAGTTTGAAATTGCAATTGCAGGAATGGAGCTGGTCTAGGATCTATGATTAGTTTAGGGCTTTAGGCAATGAAGTCAAGTTCTTTCTTCATCGAAATTGCACTGTCATAGAAAAGCTAGGAACTTGCTTACAAATTGGAGGCAGACTTCGCATTTGGGATGAGTCAGTTCCTTCAACCACCATATTTTATGCATCAACGGGAGAATCCAGCCACGACGCTTGCTCGAGGATGAAAGCAGGTTATAAAGGGTTATACAAACGTGATAGATAGTTCAAGCGATGTTACTATCAGGCGATGCTCACAACCTAAAACTAGGAGTGCTCTGTCTAGGGGCAGAAAGAGTGGAGCCAAGGGATTTGCTAATACTGAAAAGGCACCAAGTGACCTCTATACTTAATACTTAAAGGTACTTACGCTCTTAGCATGTTCTACGAAATGAGGGGACTTTGTGATTAGTTGTTCCAACTTCCAAGCTTCATAATACGCTTGTTTGATGGGCTTTTGTATGATGTATTCGAGGCTGTTTTAGTGGTGGTTGGTTTGTGTTTATTTACCTCGACATGGTGTTTGTACTCCAATTGGGCATGTTTGTTAAATGGTTTGGTTATGTTATGAGCTTTCTCAATCGGATGAGGTTCCATAAGGGATTTCATTATTGACATCGATCTCTTTAGAGAATGTATTTTGATGGATGTATGTGCTCTCTAAATCGTTTGAGTATATTATTGTTAGAGAGTTTTGAATTGTTCGAAACTCATCAAAATTTCAATAAATCTTAATTTTTTTTCGAAATTTAGTTAATAAACATTGAAGTTACTCACCAATTCACTTAGCAGACATTAGAGGGTTGGTTAGTAGAGTTATTAATTGGAAAATTTAGCCCCCTTAGTTATGGGCTTATTAACCTAATCCGGTCCGTCAACAAGCCCAATTGAAAGGTGAAAACGGAGAAGGCAAAAAACAGTAGGCAGAGTAAAATGAAATGTTCAAGAAGTAGAGTGATTTAGGTGATCGCGGCTGCGCTTTGCCTCTCTTGGGGCATTCTATTTCAGTATTTCTCAAATCCATCCAGTTCAATTCAAAGGAACGCCCAATTAGAAGAAAAAAAGACCCAAGAATTTTTTTTTATGCGAATCCCGCAAAATCAGAAGCCAAGCAGTTGGCTCCCCTCCAACTGGGCGTTTTGAATTTCATTCAAATTCCGCAACTTTCAGCCGTCTTTGATCAACTGTTCGGGCGGCTGTCTATAGGGAAACCCAAATTGTCTGCACGTTAGATGATGAAGCTGTCAGATCCATCAATGGCGCTACTTGCCGCTAGTGGCGGCGATGCTGTCAAGCTCTTCAATGTTTCAGTGGAGTCAGGGGATCCCTGCACCTTGACTTACACTCCCTCACCTGGTTTCCTGGTCAATTCCGTTAAGTGGAACCACACTAGTGAGTTCAGTTCTCCTCCTCCTCCTCCTCCTCCTCCTCCTCCTCCTCCTCCTCCTTGTTTTTTCAGTCTCTTATGGTTGTATACTTCGTAATCTAAATTTCAGTTTCTAATTTGATTTGGTTGGGATCGATTAGGGTTTTCCAGTTGGGAAAGTGGTTGGAAATGTTAACAGAAAGTAGAATGTTGGTTGGAAATGGGAAGAGTAAAAAATTCAGGATGTTGGGTTGCTTGAAGTCTTTCGAGTCTCTATCTACGTTTCTCTGAACTGCCTCCTCGTCCTCCTTTTCTTCTCTTTTCCGATTCTTTTTTGCAGATTTAGTTGTCGCAAGTGCCGGCGAAGACAAGAAGATTTCGCTGTGGAGGAAAAATGGTCAGAGCATGGGCACAATTGCCATCTCTGGGACGGACAGTGGAGACGGCATTGAGGTGGGTTAGTTGTTTATTGATTGCATAACTCAATCAACTTGCAAATTCGTAAGGGCATTAAATCAACTTGTAGCGTGTCTATAATTTCCCAGACAAACAGAGTTCTCTAATTATGATATCCAGCTGCACTTAAATATTTTGCAATCCACGGATGTTCATTATATATTATAATCGCCTGATTTGGTTGAACGAAATGATCGAGAAGCACTGTGTTGGGTATAAGCAAAAGCCAACTGGAAACTTAATGAAAGTATTAATAGATAGTGTGTTCGAAAGAATATAACAAGCAACTGTGTCCTCCTTTATGAAGCAATGATGATTGTATTTATAAGTAACCTCACCCAGGAGCAAGGAGTTTTTTCTTGTGCGTACCCACACATCTGGCCTATATAACAAACCTGTCACGTTCAGTTAACTGACGGGTGAAGATCACTGTGCTTTTTATCTGAAGCTTTTCTTCTGTGGTCATGATACCATTATTTTGTTCGTGTTCTCTCGATGTTTGTGGCTTTCTTGTCTGGTGATGGAGTTGTTGTTTCATTGATCATTTTGCAGGAATCTATATCGGCTATTAGCTTTAGTAATAAAGGATCCAGATACATATGTTCTGGTGGAAGTTGCCAAGTTGTAAGAATATGGGATCTACAGAGGAAACTCTGCATTAAACGGTTGATGGGTCATACAAATACTATTACAGGCACTATGTACAACTGTAAAGATGATCACTTGGCATCCATAAGTCTAAGTGGAGATCTCCTTGTTCACAACCTTGCATCGGGCGGAAGAGCTGCAGAACTGAAGGACCCCAACAACCAGGTTGTTGTATGCAAGTGCAGACGTCTTTCCTTCCCTTTTCCACTTGTTTCAGCAACTCATTGTTGATCTGATGGGTTTAAGACCAGGTACTGAGGGTGCTGGATTATTCACGGCTCAGCCGTCACCTCTTGGTTACTGCAGGTGATGATGGATCGGTACATTTATGGGACACTACAGGACGCCATCCGAAGGTTTGTTTATATAGGATAAGAGTCTAAATCCATCCTATCTAAGTGGATAACTTTTCACCCTTTTTCCCAATTATGTTAATAAGTTGAAATGATTGCCAATGTAAAAACTTTGTCATGCTACTGAAACAAGTAATATCTCGCACTAGTTGTCTCCCTGTCATAATGTTTGTGCATGAAATATTGTAACACTGAGAAACCTGCTTTGCAGAATTCTTGGTTGAAGCAACATTCTGCACCAGCAGCTGGTGTTAGCTTCTCTCCATCAAATGATAAGGTCTCGTACCAATCTAAATTCTAGTGGATTTATTCTCCCTAAAAAATCTAGAAGCTTACCTGTAGTGAATTCAGATAACATATGGCTATCTCAACCTTTGCAGATTATAGCCAGTGTTGGCCTGGATAAAAAGTTATATACATTTGATTCTGGGTCCAGACGGTCCTCCTCTTGTATTTCTTATGAGGCACCTTTTTCCTCACTGGCATTTAGAGATGATGGGTTGGTTCTTGCAGCTGGAACCAGTAGTGGCAGGGTTGTCTTTTATGATGTCCGAGCAAAACCACAGCCTTTCACAGTTCTTCGTGCTTATAACAGCTCAGAGGTGGGTTTTACCCTTATTTATTCTGGCCTGGAGCACATATAATTTAAATCAGTTATGCTTGATTCTGTTTCGTGTATATTTTCGTCGAGTGTTATCGTGAGTATACTAAACATGCAAAGTGGTGAGAAAAGAGGTGAAAATTGTGAAAAGTCCTGTAAATGCTCTCTTTGTTTTGAATTATGATACAGAACTTTAAATAGTTTTCATGCAATTTTGAGTTTGAGCCGCTCGTAGATTTGTTTGAGCACTTGTATATGTCAGGTGGGTTTTGGATTGCTTGATAACAATAAATCTCGGCCGTTAGCCAATTTTATGCCACTTCAGAGCGAGTTTGTAAACTTCATTTGATGAATTACCTCTTTCATGCCATTGTAAATGGTTCTTTGTCAGGCTGTTACAAGTTTATGCTGGCAAAGATCAAAACCAGTTGTTGTAAATGAGAACTGTACAGCAGAGATGGCTCTTCTTGGTGGATCTGTTGAAGATTCTATACTTATGCCTGACCCACTTCCCTCCATGTCCTCTGCTAGTCATTCAGAAGTTCCCTCCCTTTCAAGAACTGGCAGTGGGTCAACCTTGCCTCCTGTTATTTCTTTCAATGAAGAAACGCCACTTCGACGGCCAGGTGGACCATTAACGAGATTAAAGGCTCCACGTACTAGTTATAATTTCATGGATGACATGGAAGTATTCTCACCGCTTGTGGAGGTTCAGCCTATCACACCTTCTCTTGACAAGTATTGGGATAATCATGAGGGATCAAAGTTAGATAATGTACTAGCTGACAAGAAGCCTTCATCCTTCGTGTTTCCCTCATCAAGCAGCAGGAGATTTCCATTTGCCGAAGACGGAATCATCAATGAACATCCAATATATGATTGGAAACCCAGTTCAAGTTCCAGACAGGTCTGAAATTTCTATACTTCCTTTTTGATATCCAGGTGTTTTGAGTGTGTAAAAATTTTCTGTGGACTTTCTAAAGGTTCAGTTGCCTTCAACTATCCTTTTGCTTTTGTGGTGCATTTGCCTGTGAAGCCTCAACTCCTTGAACTTCTGTCATGCATTCGCTACTCAATCGGGAGTTCTGTGTGTGCATAAGCATAACTTCTTCCGGAGCTTTTATTTTGAGCTTTTCCGTTGTTAACTTGGGAAAGAGGTATTTGATGTGTGTGGTAGTATTTGATTGATTTTTCTTTCTCTGCCCTTCTTTTTAAGCAGGATGACAGCAGATCATCCCATGCCCACCTAAGTGGGTCGACTCCTCCTCCATCTTCCAAAAGTGCAGAAACCTCAATAACTCCTCCAGAAGCTTGGGGTGGTGGTGAGAGATTTGATAAGATTGCACATCTTCGCCAGACATCAAATGTTCTTCCACCTCGCTTGGGGATCACAACTTCTTCTGCAAGTTTCACTTCAGGAGGCTCTATGCTGCTCTCAGGCATGCAAGACGTATCCTCCACCTTGATGAATCAAACAAGCATGAGCTCAGTAACGACTGGTTTGACAAATGCGAGACTTAGAGACGTTTCTATTAGTCAGGAGACATCGATTGCTTATCCAGAACAATTTCCGTCTTTCGGTCACTTGTCGACTCTGCCCCTGGGTTCTGCAAAAAGCATTGTGGGGCTGACTAGTAGTATTGAAGCACCATCAGGGCTACTGGCATCATCAAGCCTAGCCCGTAGATTTTCAACATATGCAGAGAGAATCAGCACCACTTCCTCTTTTAGTGATGGGATATCCCTTGGGGTTGCTTCTCCCAAAGTGAAGAAAACTGGATCTGAAACCAGGGAAGACCTCTTGAATAGCCTCTCATCAAGGTCCGAGTCCTTAGCTGCTGTTGCTACTGAGCCAGGAGTTCTTCCATTAGCAAATGTAAGCAGACGAAACATGTTCTTGGAAACTGGCTTTTGTGTTTCTTTGCAGCAGTCTCATTTGTGAATTATGTGTGGCAGGGAGGGGTAGCACAACCTCATAAGGCTCTTCTACAACCTTCTGATATGCAGCAGGGGAGTTCATTTCCTCTTCAGCTATTTCAACGTCAACTGGAAGAAACTCTGGGTACATTCGGGGAGTCTCTACGCGAAGACATGCGGAACGTACACATTGAAGTCCTTAGACAATTCCATATGCAGGAGGTAAAATCTTCAAATCTGCAAATATATAGCATGTATTGATCTTCATCTTTGTTCCGTCATCTGTTGTCCTTCTGGTATCTAAAATTTGACATTGAGGAGGTGATGGATATATGCAGTGCTTGTATCTTGAGAAGCAAACTGAGATGACGAAGCAAATTGAGTCCCTGCAGAAGGAAGTCCAGGAACTCCGACAGTTGTTAAGACGGTGACCTCATTTGTTTTGAACCCTTAATGATGGTGATGATGATCAGAGTTGTGGAGTGAGCAGTCTTTTGTGGGACGGCATATTACAAATACGCTTGCTCTTCTTCAGGCGGGTGGTGGTGGTGTTTTTGGGTGTTTCTGTTGTTTTGGTTAATGATTAAGAGGGCGTGGGAGTTAAAAAAATAGGCCTCCAGCTGAGGCAAAGTAGAGGGGAAATGGCATTCATTATATGCCTGGCATCGGCACCAGTTGAGCATATTTGTTTCTTAATTCTGTACAGGCACATTTGCTCAGGTCCAATGAAATGAGATTATTCTTTCTTTATTCCGTGGAAGTTTTCAGTTTTCTCCATCCATTTACCATGCCCTTGGTTCATTTCTTCAATGGTTACAAACCTGTGAAGCTTCGTCGCATATGGGAAACTACTCGTCAATAGCTGTGGATTATGGTTGAGTCTCACAGAGAAAGAAGAGTTCACGAGCCTTTGTATGATCCTAGTTTGTTTGAGCAATCTGGGTGGAAATGAATCAATTTGAAAGTTCTCAAGCATTGAAATCCACTCAGATCTTGCACTAGAATGAATTTGAAGTCTCATTTCTAAGGAGAATTCATATCTCTACTTTGTAGGATGGCAAAGACATACCATTAGCAATCTGAAGCCAAGAGTAAAACATGATATTTATTGTTTTGGAGCACGTTCAAGAGATACAAATGTTACACAAATTAAATACAGAAGTTCCCGCAACGTTATCATTCTAGAACTTGCAACGATAATCGCTAAACTGTCAGAATGTCTGACAACAATAGGGGCATGCACTATTGGTTGACGATACCATGCTTCAAAGCAATCCAGACCAGCTGAAGTACTGTACACCAACTTTCCTTGCCGGCCAGTCGATCTGTGGCATGGTATGTATCCAATGTATGCATAATTCGGGGCAGGCTGGGGACTTCTTTAGTTGGGAAAACACATCCAGCTATACTTCACTTTTAATTGGAAGATGTGTTCGAAGCGCCCAAATCAGAAAGAAATCTTTCAAGAATGAATGGTCAAGAGGGACACTCTACTTCCTGATTAGTTTCAGTACATCACCCACGAGATGCAACGAACCAGTAACTAAGACCTGATCAATGGCAATACAAAAGGGTAAGAAAGATGATTAAGTTGCTAGCAATTGCCAATAGTGAGGGCTGCATCCACTGTACCAATTTATTGAAAGGTTAAAAAGAAAATATATCAGAGAGAGGATTGAGATTACCTGGAGGCGAACAGATTGATTCTGTCTAACAGTGTCCCTGAGCCATTTGATAGCTAAGGGGAGAGAAGGAAAAACTACACTACTGCTCTCATGACTCCCACCACCTTTTCCTGTATCGTCCTTCATTTCCTCGGCCACATGATTTACTTGCTTGGCCTCCCTTCCTACCATCCAAACCCCGAGCCTTATCAATGATTAAAAGACAGCAACTTTTGCATCAAGTTTCATGAAGAAACTCAAAACAGCCGAAAAAAAGAACTTTGCCACTGTATATATGATATGATACCTTTATCCTTCTGCATGGTGTTATCCCACACTCTTTGAAGAGTGAGCTGCCATGACAAATCAGCTTCAGGAACAGCTGATGGCAAAGCATGAGTTCCAACCTTATGGTACACCGACATATTTGGGGCAAACAGTGCCTTCTTGAAGTAGACATCTGAAATGAAGAGATTTCGAATGTCATCAAAGCAATTGTATAATTCTGATTCACAGTTTACTACCCGAACGGTAAAATGGATCCAATTCTCATATCTGTAGAAGAATTATTATGCCGATTAGCTTTGTTGTTGAGTTCTTTGAAATTAAAGTTTGGGGAAAAAAGAGTTGGATCCTTGCTCTCACAATTACCTTGACTAGCACATGTTTTCATCAATTGTGGCAGAAGCAGCTCAGGATCCCGTACTGTCATGCAGTTGAATAACAATATCTGCATGAATGCCAAAGAACTGGATGATTTCAGCGTTGCCAAAAGCTAAGCACCTTCAAGCACTGGATACCCACATTGAGCAGTGATATAAAGAGAATTCAAGAGAGATGCCACACAAATCAATCTTCGCATTTAAATTTCATTTCATTTTTAATTTTTATGCCAGGTCAGTGGTATCTTTTAAAAGTTTATTGGAACTTGGAAGGAATATAGAATTAGAGATTTGGGCTAGAAAATATGGGGAAAGACCTCTAGTTGTACTCTTTCAGCTGAAGAGGGATCAAATACCTGATTTAGACAATGACAAACAAAAGAAGAGTTTCAGGGGGTACAAAATAATATTAAGAAAAATTACTTGCAAACAAAAGACAAAGGAGAGCAAAATGAAAGGACAGACATAAGAGCTCTTTCAGACTGAGATCCGACTCATAAGAAGTACGATTACACCATAATATTACCCACTTCCCATTAATTATCTGATCACAGTACACTCCTATTCATCTCTTCGCTGGAATTAACTAACCAAACGAGTAAGAGAAACATGAGAATGAATCCTTGATATGGGCTAGGAAATAAGATAGTTTCATAGCAACCAGAAAATTCCTTGATACTTTTTACTTGTTGGGGATGTCTACTAGCAAACCCTAAAAAAGAAGACACTTATCCATTCTTCTGCAGGAGCGTCGCCTACTAATTTCAACTTTCACTTACTATCTCAGACAGGAGCTTGCTCTCATGGAGAGCACATTGATTAAAGGGATGGACGTTGATGCTTACCTGCATGATATTCTTCTTTAATTGATGTGTGGATGAACTCACTTGTGGTTTTGCTTTATCAGATTGGTGCTCACCTTTAACAGCACCAGAAAACCATTTTGCACAGATTTCCATGCTTTCAGGACTGTGAGCACCATCCAAATAAAAGACAAGATCCCCATCCTTTTCACTATCTACATATTGATCGGGGACAATCTGGGCCCGGCCTTGGAAACTGGCTGCTGTTAACCCCTTAATGAACTGCTCAGGCAGTGAGTCCTGATTCGTGGAAGTACGATTAAGAAAATGGTACTGAGAATATAACATGCTTCCAAATATAACTATAATGCACACAACTTACAGTGTGGTCCTGGTTGGCAAGTTCAAGATGACCTGTCCTCTTCAGCCAAGTGAAAGAAAGCGCAATGGCAAGACCAGCATTAACATATTGGTGCTCACCTTCAAGGCCAAGTTTTTGGCCATTTAGCAAATTGACATCCAAAGGTGGTACAACTTGAAGATCAACCTGTAGTCAGCATCACCAATCAGACTAAAAGTTCTAGGACCCTAAGCAATCCCACCAAATATTCCCATTGGGATAAGATTAAGAAACCTCCAACTGACATTTAAATTGGAAGCTTTGTCTTCAAGGACACACATTGCTTCCTCAGGTTGTTGCACTGTAAAAGCAGGAATGCCACGCTACATCAAACAGAGTACTCTGTGTCATGATCTTGAAGAATTTCAACAGATGTAAATGCATCAAGTTCTTACCTTTAAAATACCAGCTTTTTCACCAGCAATTTTTCCAAGGGTGTCCCCTGTTTGAAGCATGAATACAAAGAAAAGAACTCAAGCTTATGAGTTTGGCAGAGCAAAAAACAGGAATCTAAAAGGTAAAAATCACACTTAAACCCCTTGGCCCACATATCAAAATATAATGAGCAACAAATGCAAGAACGCATGAGAATGACAGGCTCAGGCCTCCAGTATAATGTGAAAGATTAAGTCTCCATTACGCTCTTCAATCACTTAAAATATCAGATTGCATGAGCTGGTCATTCCTTCTCCAATATACACAAAGTAATCTCACACTGTACATGTCAACACAGAAATCCGGACGGGGATATTTGTTTAATGCTTAGCCTAGCCTGTAATCTGACAATCACCTTGAGAAAGAATCCTAAACAGCTATCGCACAAGCAACAGTTAGCACACATTTCCCAATTACCATAGTAATTGCCAAGAGTATAGAAAAATAAAACTAACCAAGAATCTCCATATGGTCATACCCAAGAGAAGCTATCCCGCACACAACAGGTTTCTGAACCTGAAACATAGCATAACAGATTAACATTAAGGACCTGACACCAACCTAGGCACAAAAACACAAATCATACTCAGCTGTACTCACTCAATCCGCAAACCACATAATTACATACCACATTTGTCGCATCAAACCTCCCGCCTAATCCCACTTCCAAAATAGCAACATCTACCTGCACAAAGAAACTATAACATATCAGATCCCAATTCAGCTGGGTTTCAGAGGATAAACAGGAGAGACAGTGTTGAAGATGAAACCAATACTTATGAACCTGCTCTGCAGAAAAGATCTTGAAGGCAAGTAGCGTAAGAAAACGAAACAAAGGAGGCATTGGTACATCTTCAGTTGTTCTTTCCTGCCCATACCTTCCAAATTCAGCAGCATGGATATGATACAAAATCAATGTAAAACAAGTAGTCTGATACCAATAGAGGAAGAGTTAGTTCAACCACAGAGGGCAATGCTATTTCAAATAGATACTCCAGTTGAAATATCTTAAGTCCACAAGGTTACAGAAAAGAAATGTTTTCCACTAGCCTTTCTTTATTCTCACATGTTTCATAGGCCAGGACCAAATTAATAACCTTAACAAATAAAATATTAAATCACAAAAGCCAAAAAGAGAAGGATAACGTATCTCTCTCATTCATGTTGACATTGAGTGGCCAATTTGATAAGGAACTCTCATATGAACAAGACCAGTAAACTTTAAATCTTTCTGAAGAGAAAAAAGTCCAACAAGAATCACCTTTAATCTGTTGAAACACCACCAGAAATAGGCCAAAAACTTTTCCTGGGATATATCAACACTGCAATAGACAACAAGACACCATACAGTTTAATCCTTACAAGTAACATTAACAAGACAGAAAAATCAATATAAAAATAATCTGGGAGGTGAAAAAAGAATAATAGAAACCAAACAGTAAGCTAAAAATAATAGAACCAGGGCATGCACAATTATTCCTCAACTAGCCAACCAATCTCATAGCTATACTATCCAAATCATAATAACAAACATGAGAAACTCACCCATCCAAACGAAACCTTTCTCGGACGTCAATGAGGTGAGGTGAGGTGAAAAGCCCAGTTCGAAACCCGCAATTCCTCAGTATAGACTCCGTGAAGGTGCAAGTGGAACCCTTCGCCCAAATGGGAAATAAATTATAGCCAAAACAGACAACAATTCCATACATAAAACCATGCAAAAGTCACTTCAAGATTTCTAGTTCTTCCTGGCTCCTGCAGTCACGCCTACATTTCGATGTGCTAGTTTACGAGAAACATAGCAAAGCCATTACTACCACTGTGGAGTGTTGAGATTATAACCATTTATAGTAACTGAGAAGTAAGATAGTAGTATAGCATTACCTTTCCTTTGGTGCCTGCCACATGAACAATCTTCAAATCATCCAATGCATCCTCCAGCTCCAGAATCTGAGAGTCAAGCAAGCAGCAAGTGAAAATGTTCAATCGAATTCCCCCGAACAATGAAACATACCAAAAGATAGAGCGCCGGAAATTGAAATTGACTTGAGTTAGTGGTAGCCTGGCAGGTACGAAACCTTCAGGTAATGGAAGAGCAAATCGAATTGATTTCCTTTGTTGCTGTTATTGCCACGACTCCGCTTGGTTATCAAAGAAGACAAGGCCTCCATCGCCTCGTCGTACGACGTGGGAGCATCCGGAGATTCCTTCTCGCCTTTGAGATATGAAACAGACAACAACATCAATAGCAAGCGGGAAATAAAAAATACAAAAACAGACAGAATTGATTCTAGGAGTGGAACATAAAGCGGCAAGTCAGACGGAAAATTGAAGAATTCGATCAGAACTAACCATCCGCCATATCGCAATATTCAAAGAGGCGGCGGCGGGAGGAGACAACGACGGCGGCGGGGAGTGTGGAGCGAGTGGAGATGAAGCGGAGCCGTTGGTGGCGGGGAAGAGATTGGATATAGGAAGCTTGAAAAACACTGGTTGGTTGGTAGCTTCGGGGAGAATTGCCGATTTCGCCCTTCAAAGGCAACGGAAAAAGACAAAGAGCTGTTGGGATATGACGTACGCGTATCCGTCACACAGAGCCCAAAAGAGATAATGTCTGTCTCAGACAAAAAAGCCCAAGCCCATATTAATTCAGGTCGCTGGCTCGCTGCAACAGAGTGTTGTTGGGCTTTTGTTCAAGCCTCTGGCTTCTTCTACCCGAGTCAATTCTCTCACTAAGCTCTCTGTATTTCTCGCCGCCAGAACAAAGGCATTTGCCGTTTCCATTCCGACGAGACTGAGCGCAGAACAGGTTTTTCTCTTCTTTTCTTCCCTCTTCATCTTCTTTTTTGTTTCCGCATGAAGTTTCCTTGTCTTCAAGTACTTCCTGTTAATGGAGCTTTTCTTGGATTTCTTGTCGATTCGTTGATGCTGTAGGGTTTTTCCCATCTCCCTTTTTATTTGTACTTTTCTTCCTGGCACTTCCTCTATATTAGTGGTCTGTCTTTCTTCGGTGGAAGAAATTAGGTTAAATGTTGCATCTTAGCTCCCACTTGCTCGCCTGTTGGGCGTATTTGTTTGAAATGATGAAAGCAATTGCCTGCAACTGTGCGATTCTTAGCAGGTTAGAGATGGGGTTTATTGCTAATCCTTTTAAGTAGCCGCCCAATGCCTGCCAGATATTCTTGTACTAAGCTTACTTCAATGCTTAGACGAAGTAGGCTGTCAGTGATTACTTATTACCTCTGCTCTGTGCCTGCTTTTGGATATGAGAACTTCATCTATGTTTGGAGATTGCCGCTTTGGTGAAAGAAAGCCAATGTTCCTAACTCTAATCAGGGTGTGTATGGACGTTTACAGAGTGACTGATTTGGTAGCACAACTCAACCAGTAGAGTGAAAGCAGCAGCAGCCATGGCCAAGCATCATCCTGATTTGATCATGTGCAGGAAGCAACCGGGCATCGCCATTGGACGACTCTGTGAGAAATGTGATGGAAAATGTGTGATCTGTGACTCTTACGTGCGCCCTTGCACCTTGGTGCGAGTTTGCGATGAGTGCAACTACGGATCGTTCCAGGGTCGTTGTGTCATCTGTGGAGGTGTAGGCATATCTGATGCGTACTACTGCAAAGAGTGCACGCAGCAGGAGAAAGACCGGGATGGCTGTCCCAAGATTGTGAATTTGGGTAGCGCGAAAACTGACTTGTTCTATGAGCGTAAGAAATATGGGTTCAAGAAAAGATAATTAGCATCGGGATAGATTGGTTATGGATTGTGGTTTGCTGACCTTGTTTGCAATGTACGCAAGTTGATATTGTAGCAGCTAGATGTTGGTTGCTGTGTGGTGTAGTAGTCTTAACTGGGACTAGATGTACCTCTTCCCTGTCTGTCTGTCTGGCTGTCCATGCATCTTTTACTAATATGTGACGCAAGGTGAATTTACCATTCTTGTTGGAGTTCCTTTTCGCCCATAACTTGAGTTTTCAAGTAGATGTTGATAAGATAAGCTACAACTTTGAATGAAATTGACCAGGATGACGACTCAACAGCAATTGTTGAATCGATGTGGATTGTGTTGTTTGTGAACGATTTCATTCGTATTGCTACTGCTTGGTAATATGCTTGTTGTCTGTAGCTCTTCAGAATTATACCTATGATAGGTATGTCCTCTCACAATAGTTCATTAACATAGGCAATGTTGGTAGGAGTTGGTTGCCGGATCTTCTTATACTCCACAGTTTGTATTGCTAAGTGAAACTTTTTAATGCTACCGGGGCGAAAGGTAACCTCCCTTCGAGCTTTTTTGCTCTTTTCTCTCTCTTTTCCTTTGCCGTTCTCCATTCAATTGGTGGTGACTGCATAACGTCCTTTGTTAATGTACGGCTGCTGGGATTGCTTCATTTGTTGTGAATTTGTTGAAAATGTAGTGGTAGTTCTGACGAGTCTTGGAGTCTGACCATGAAGATTTAGACCTGGAAAAACTCTTGAAGGAGCAGACCACAAGAACTGCAGAAGCAGCTCTGAAATTCTACAGTGAGCGTGACGTGGGTCTTTTCCTCTTATTATTGTATTCAAATGAACGAATGGTTCATCGTTTGGGATCTTTTGTTTATGAACTATTTTCTGTTTGGGGTTCTCGATATGGTTATAAGGGTGTCCAATTTGTGCTTGACGAGCCCTTGATCTGCAATTCTTATATGCTTCCCTGTAATTTGTCTACGACGCCAACTTCACTGCTAAGCAGTTCGTCGATAATGGTACTCACACTGATAGCAGCAGCCCTCCCAGTAGTGAGATGTTTTTCGCTGAGGCAGCCAGAATCTACGTCAAGGTGCTCTGTGTTCTTGTCTCATCAGCAATCCTCGTCAACGAGGTAATTAAATCCAATGTCTAATTATTGTTGGTTTTGGTACCTGAATGACTCGGTGACTGTTGGCATGTATGGAATGTCGCCCCTTTGTTGGTTTGAGAAGCTTCCTTGACTATGCATTAAACATGATTCTGATTTATAAGTAGTAATATAGTGTCTCCATCTTGCAGTGTCACCTTTGTTTCTATACAAGAGACCAATCCGCTGATGCTTCTATAGTATAGGGTTGCTAATGAATCGGGTTAATTGAGATCAGAGCCTCTTGCTCCCTCTGGTTGAGAATTCGAAGAAGCAGTGAATTTTTTGTTTCCTGTATATCTATTTGATGCAACCAACTTCTTGTCTTGATAATGGATTGCATTCTACTAGCTGTACTAATTTCAGTTCAGGGCTTATATATGGTAGCTAAGTTGTAGATAGGATGACAGATACTCGATTTGTGTGGATTTTGGTGCAGATCATCCGGTGAAGATCTGCAAAGGTTGTCTATATTGTCCAGTCAAGGTCAATCCAGCTATCTACCATCCCGAGGGACAGTGCATCATGGTGAGCATAAGGAGCATGTGTCAGACGAGTTCAGTACCCTGGACAGGTTTCCATCCAGTTCACCCCCGCAGCTTCCTGGGACAGACCTGTAATGCAAATGCTCAGACATGGGAAACGGTAGGAGGAACATGATGACAACCACTGACACACTTTGCTTCTTCTGTTACTACGTGTTTAGGATATCTTCGTTTCATGTTAAGAACTTAGCCGTTAGAAGAACAGAAAGTATGCGTGTTAATACCGTGAGCTGTCAAGATTCCGCTAATAATATAAAATGAAAGTGACGCGCGACGATGACCGATTAACCTCCCAACTGAATTAATTAGCATATTAACTTTCAAGAGCTTCAAGTGACCCATAAATCGTTTATCCTCTCAATTTTTATATCATACCCACTCATTTCTTCTTCCTCTTGCAGATAATTCCATAGCCAGGCAGAAAGAAGATCTTGATGGAGCTGTTGATAGCTGCAACTATAGTTTCAGCACCGTTCATCCTCTTCTCCGTTTACTATCTGCTTTCCAAATATGTGCATTCAGGCGGAAGGTGTTACTTGCTGAGCTACCAGTGCTACAAACCTCCAGACGAGCAGAAAATGAGCACCGCAAACTCCCTGCAGATCGCCCTCCGGAACAGCAACCTTGTCCTGGAAGACTACCGCTTCCTCCAAAAGGAGATGGTCAGCTCGGGGATAGGCGACGAGACTTACTGTCCGAGGAACATCATGGAAGGCCGGGAAGCCTCCCCATCGTTGCAAGAAAGCCTCAAGGAAATGGACGACATCGTCTTCGATACCCTGGACCGGCTCTTCGCCGCGTCAGGAATCTCCCCTTCCCAGGTCGACATCCTCGTCACGACAGCATCACTCTTCGCGCCCTGCCCGTCCATCTCATGTCGGATCGTGAACCGGTACAAGATGAAGGAAGGGATCAAGTCCTACAGCCTGTCCGGCATGGGGTGCAGCTCCAGCCTGGTGGCCGTCGATCTGGTGCGGCAGCAGTTCAAGCTGCAGCCCAACGCCCTGGCTGTTGTAGTGAGCGCGGAAACTATCGGGGCTAACTTTTACCGTGGCAGGGACAGGTCGATGATGCTGCAGAACGTCACGTATCGAACCGGAGGCGCGTCCATCCTGCTCACAAATTCCCCAGCCTTGAAGCATAGCGCCATGTTGGAGCTTACAGCTCTGGTCCGGACCCATCCGTCCAGCGACGAGTCGTACGAATGTGCGATTGAGATGGAGGACGAGCAGGGCTACCGAGGCTTCCGCGTCCTGCTCCCCAAAGTGGCCAGAGTAGCGAGGCAGTGCTTGGTGGAGAATTTCAAGGTTCTGCTCCCCAGCGTGCTTCCCCTCTGGGAAATCATCCGATTCGCCGTGCAGCTATCGACCCCATTCCGCCTCCTCCGCCGCCGCAGCAGACGCAAGAGGATCAATATGAAGACAGGGATCGACCATTTCTGTCTGCAACCGAACACGAGGGCGCTGATCGACGGGTTCAAAACCAGCTTGGAGCTTGAGGAAGATGATTTGGAGCCTTCGAGAATGACGCTTCATCGGTTCGGATTCACGTCCTGCAGCAGTTTATGGTACGTTTTGGGGTACATGGAGGCGAAGAAGAGGCTGAGGAAAGGGGAGAAAGTGTTGATGGTGAGCATGGGAGCAGGGTATATGTGTATTACTTGTGTTTGGAAGGTGGTCGGGGACGACTTGGGGGATCCCAACGTGTGGCGAGATTGCATTCACGAGTACCCGCAGCAGGCGTCGGTTAATGATTTCGCGTTTAAGTTCGGTTGGATTCAAGAGGATTGTGTCAACTTTATTAGATACGATGATTATGTTCGTGCCCAGTACTCTCGATACTAAGGATAGAGTGACGAAATATTTCATGTATTTCACGATGATTGGGTTGTTAGTGGTGTTACAACTTACAAGTGAAGTGATGACTAATACTTTTTAGATCGGTTGAGTTCGCTGCTTAAAGGTTGAGGTGGGTAAAGATGCCTGAATTTTTTTTCTTCCTGATATGCCTAATACACTTGAGAAATGAGATGGTATAAGTTTGCTACTTCAAAACGCAAGTGCTTAAAGATGTATAATATTCTTGAGAAAACACAATTTCCTGAGTTGAAGAGTGTAGTTTGTTTCTACAAAAAAAGAACAGTGTAGTTTGTAGTAATGCCTTATAACTCTTTGATGGTATGAGTGGGCTCAAACACGGGACGGGAGCAGATCTAGTGAGTAACTTTGTGGTGAGTAACCCCATGCATAATCCAATAAGTATCTGACACATCAGCGCCTCATTCTCTCTCCTGGAAAAATCATTAATTTTCTTTTCCTTAATCTTTAACGGACGATTTCTCACTCGTTTTAACTCGAAATTTAAATTTGTTTGCACAGTTAGATCAGATTAATTGTGCTCTTCAAAATGATATCGACTTTGATATTTTTTTGAACAAAATTTTTTTGCCAAGTATTACCAGTCTATACCATATGGTATTGACTTGTATTAAATAACAGCATATCATATGGTATGAAAAATATCAGTCAATACCATATGCTGTTATTTAATACCATATGGTATTAAATAAAAGCATACCATATGGTATGAAAAATACCACCTCATACCAGGGTGGTATAGTATGGTATGGAGTTGGTAACGAGAGGTTTGAAATTTTTCCCCCCAGCAAATTTTGAAATCCAATAGATCATATGATTAAATCGTTCCTTTTGTGCAAAAATTTTCGAAAATGACTAAACAATGAAGGAGATACCATATGGTATGGAGTTGGTAACGAGAGGGATGAAAAAAAAATTCTCAAAAAATATTAAAAATGGATATAATTTTGTAGAGCACAACGAACTCGTTCCATCTGTGCCAAAAAAATTGAAATCCGAGTTAGAATGAAGAAGATATGATCCAATTAAGAAAACTAGGGAAAATAAATTCCTTTAATTCTCCACCCTTAGATCCGCAGTCACTTAAAAGAAGGGTCCAGATTTGGTTACTCATTGTTACTCATCCTAAGGTTACTCACCCTATCTTGAGCCCTCAAACACTCTCCTATATAAGAAATATCAATTCCAAAACACGATCTAGACCTTACCCGAGGTTAATGATTTTTTTTTATATAGATTTTCTCACTATAAACACTATCTATACATATGTAGGGATGTCAATGGGTCAGGTCGGGGTGGACAGTGCATATCCGTTACCCTACCTAAAGTAGTTCGGGTTTTACTCATACCACCCATACTCGCATAAAAAACGGGTTGAAAATCAGAACCATGCCCATACCTGTTCGTGTTTCGGGTATCCACGGTTATCCTTAGA